TCTGATTATTATTTATTTTTGTCTCTGTCTAACTTTTTGGCCATATAATTTGGCCAATAAACGGTTCAATTCCGAAGAAGATGTCAAAACCGAGGTTGATCTTTTCTTCGCCTCTAAGGACCAAGATTTTTATTATAATAATAATATTGGGTTGATGCATAATTATCCGGACTTCTCTTTGCGTGCTTGTATCTTTTTTGTTTTGAAAGCTTTTTGTCTATTTCTTTTTTTAAAATATTCGTTATTCTTTAGTGAACAAAATGCGTGTCGACAATCATATCCATCTTCGCCATATCATGCTCTACCACTTCGAAAAGGGATGGTCTCCCGCAGAGTCGTTTCGCGATCTCAAAGAACTTTTTGGTCAAGGAACAATTGGACGTGCAACAGTTTATGAATGGTTCGATCGTTTCAAGTCCGGTAACACAAGTGTTGATGAGTTTTGAGTCTTCTTCAACGGCTTCCAGAAGTGCCTTGTCATCGAATTCTGATGGCCGTCCTCTTCCTGGTTCATCATCAACACTTGTGTTACCGGACTTGAAACGATCGAACCATTCATAAACTGTTGCACGTCCAATTGTTCCTTGACCAAAAAGTTCTTTGAGATCGCGAAACGACTCTGCGGCAACCATCCCTTTCGAAGTGGAGAGCATGATATGGCGAAGATGGATATGATTGTCGACACGCATTTTGTTCACAAAGAATAACGAATATTTTAAAAAAAGAAATGAAAAAAGCTTTCAAACAAAAAGCCGGATAATTATGCATCAACCCAATAATAATACTTTATTCAAACGATAAAGTGAAAGAAATCATAGAGAAATGCACAGTGATACTTAATCATACAATACATACTGAAATCCTTCATCGTCATCTTCCCTTCACCACCAAAAAAGCTATTTAGTTCCCCATTGAGCTTAGGGTTAGGGAGCCGTCTGTCATGACGTGGGTTAAGTTAAGATATAGCCTAGTATTGTGTGTGTCGTTGTATTGTGATTGATATATTTCGTGTATGCGATAAATTCACCACTGGTAGCCCCAGTCGGTATTTTTTAATAAACGGTTCAATTCCGAAGAAGATGTCAAAACCGAGGTTGATCTTTTCTTCGCCTCTAAGGACCAATATTTTTATTATCGTGGAATGTCTTTACTTGTAGAACGTTGGTAAAAGGTTCTTCTTACGAATGGTGATTACTTCGTTGAATAAAAATTATTTTAACGAAACTTATGGTCTTTTACATTTAAACGTAAAAAACGTGGATTACTTTTTCACACACCTAATAGTATTGGTTTATTTAAACCCAATTTTTAGTCATTTAGCCAACCATTTAATTCCGTTTTCATCTTCTTTTTAGAGTAGTCGATTCTTGATCAATCTTAATCTAACCAATCTTTATCAAAAGTTCTAGGTTTCTTTGTGGTTAACTTGCAAATCAGATTTCAGATCAGAATCGTTGAAAATCAGATAAAGTTAGAGATTATTCTTTTCGTTTAGATCATTAGTGACTTTCCGGTTCTTTTTAGAGAGTGGTAATGGTAATGTTAACCAATCTAACCAATGGTCATGGTAATGATCACTATTAGGGTAATGATAACTAAATCTTTTTGCTTGTATTTTGCGAGCACCAACCAGAAGAGGTGTTTTTCTTTTGACTCAAAATTTTGTTTCTTGTAAATTCGCTAGAAATTTCTTTACCTATAGAGTAGCAAATGCTTGGAATTCTCTTCCCGCTTCTTTGCATGATTTAAATTCTTTTTTACCTTTAAGCTAGCATTAACTAAGCTCAAATTAAGATAAGATAAGATTTATCCAACCGAAACTTTTAAATTTGAGCGGTTAATGCTATTAGGGTGGTGCAAAAGAGACTGCCGATGGGTATCAGCTCTTATTTATCAGAAACGAGCGATGCTAACGGCATTATTTTTTTGTTTTGTTGTCATATTTGTTTGCTATTTATTTCGACATTTGAATTTTTTGGTTGTTGTTTATTTATTCTATCTGTTTATTTTATTCAAAAATGCTTATATTTTTTATTTAGATCATGGTCGAGCAAAAGTTTGTGCTACGAGCAGCATTACTATCTAAATTTGGTTCCTTATCTCTCTAAATTTGGTCCCTTATCTCTATAAATTTGGTTCCATAACTCTCTAATTTTGGTTCCTTATCTCTCTAATTTTGGTTCCTTATCTCTCTAATTTTGGTTCCTTATCTCTCTAAATTTGGTCCCTTATCTCTCTAAATTTGGTTCCTTATCTCTCTAAATTTGGTTCCTTATCTCTATAAATTTGGTTCCTTAACTCTCTAAATTTGGTCCCTTATCTCTATAAATTTGGTTCCATAACTCTCTAATTTTGATTCCTTATCTCTCTAAATTTGGTTCCTTATCTCTTTAAAAACTTCAAAATTGAAAAGTCTGCTGCTGAATCGCATCGTTCTCTCTGTGCTGCTTTCGGCAGTTTGTCTCTCAGACAGTGTCAGACTTGGTTTCAACGATTCCGAGAGGGAGACGAGACTTTGGAAGATTACGAGCACGGTTCGAGGCGTTGGGTTCGGCCAGAAGTCGTGAACGAAGCCAAGCTGAGGGACGTTATTCAGGCCGACGGCTCGAGCAGATCCATGCCAATCTGTTTTGTTCGCATATTTGTTTGCTATTTATTTCGACATTTGAATTTTTTGGTTGTTGTTTATTTATTCTATCTGTTTATTTTATTCAAAAATGCTTATATTTTTTATTTAGATCATGGTCGAGCAAAAGTTTGTGCTACGAGCAGCATTACTATCTAAATTTGGTTCCTTATCTCTCTAAATTTGGTTCCATAACTCTCTAAATTTGGTTCGCATAGCGGATAGTCGTTGAGTGGCAGGAAAATTTGAGAATTGAGATTTGTTTTACTTCTTTTCTTATTAAGTTCAGTTACTCACGATGGGCGCTTTCTTTCAATAGGACTTTCAATAGGCTTTCTTTTACGCCAAATCTGATAGATAGAAAACAGTGTCATTACATCGTTCTATCCATTCATTCCATTGCAAAGCTCATTCTAAGCCTCAAGTATCTTAATAGATTATTCAAAGTTTTTTGCTTTTGCAATTGTTTTTGCAACAATTTTTCCTCAATTTTATTTACTGGAACTTTTGAATTTAGAATGACCCATCGGCTACTCTATCTACTCGTCTTAATTTCGTCGTGCTGTGTTTTTGCCCAGTACTCAGCCTTTCAACTCACGGATCACACATATCTCGATTCGCTGACAAATGAGGAGTTGGATCGAGCCGAACTGCTCCTTTCGAAAATACGAGAAAAAGTAAAAAAAATTTGAGGAACGCAGGAATGCATTACCGTAAAAGCCGTAATAGGAGCCCCCTTCTAATATTAGCCCCCTTCTAATAGTAGTCCCCGTCCCCCTCCAATAGTATCCCCCCCCCTTCAATAGTATCCCCCTTCTAATAGTAGTCCCCGTCCCCCTCCAATAGTATCCCCATCTCCCCCTTCAATAGTATCCCCATCTCCCCTTCAATAGTATTCAATAGTAGCCCCGTCCCCATATCCCCATCTCCCCCTCCAATAGTATCCCCATCTCCCCTTCAATAGTATCCCCATCTCCCCCTCCAATAGTATCCCCATCTCCCCTTCAATAGTATCCCCATCTCCCCTTCAATAGTATCCCCATCTCCCCTTCAATAGTATCCCCATCTCCCCTTCAATAGTATCCCCATCTCCCCTTCAATAGTATCCCCATCTCCCCTTCAATAGTATCCCCATCTCCCTTCAATAGTATCCCCATCTCCCCTTCAATAGTATCCCCATCTCCCCTCCAATAGTATCCCCATCTCCCCCTCCAATAGTATCCCCATCTCCCCCTCCAATAGTGTCCCCATCTCTCCTTCCATAGTATCCCCATCTCTCCTTCAATAGTATACCCATCTCCCCCTCCAATAGTATCCCCATCTCCCCTTCAATAGTATCCCCATCTCTCCTTCAATAGTACCCCCCTCCCTAGAGGCTTAACGATTGACGTTTCCTTTGAAAGTTCACATTAAGCACAGACTTTGCACCTATTTTGCATCTTATCGTTAGTCTAGAGTTTAGTTAGATCTCAAAAATTAACATTTTTAGATTTATTAGATTCGCCTACTAACATATTGATTAATTTGTCGTCGATAAAATAAGAATAATAATCGATAGGATCTTGAAAAGTACTGAAGTCAAATCCAAATCGTTCTTCATCAAAAATAAATGGTGTAGGAGACTCTCTTAAATCTTTCCAACCATCTGGATAAACTGCTTCGGAGTCAAAAATGTCAAAAACCGAAATCTTTTAGAGGGCAGCGGCTCTACCTTCAACATCCACCACGACCACAACCACAACGGCTCCTGTCTGCTTCTTCTGCCAATTCTACCCTCTTTTGATCAATTGCACCTCTCCAAACCTCGATTTTGTTTGCACTGCGGTCACCACAACCACTACCACAACAACCACCACGACAACGACGACCACAACGACCACAACAACTACAACAACGACAACGACTACAGTGACAACTACTACAACGACAACGACCACTACCACAACGACTACAACGACTACGACTACTACAACTACCACGACAACCACCGTAACAACTACCACAACAACAACCACGACAACTACAACTACAACTACCACCACAACGACAACCACCACAACTACGACTACAGCAGTGTCAACGAGTATTCGTAGTACTCTTTGCTCTCCAATAACAACCACTACAACACCTGCAGTCTGTTGTCCATCAGCGGGGATTTGGACTGAGTGGGCTGCTCAAAGCAAATGCCCGGATTATTGTGGTTCTTGTGGGAATATCACCTACACGAGAACTTGTTCTTCGGCTGATGCCGGATGTCCTTGCACGTTTGTTTCAATAAATGACAAAGAAAAGAGATTTTAGTGGTCAAACGACAAAAATCGCGCTTTGCGGCATTGGTGTTTGTCATTTCCCGCGATTGTCTTGTTGTCCTGGGATGTTGACTGGGGTCTACGAGAATACGAATGCTTGTGGACCGTTGATTACAGTGAGTAAAATAGGCGAAGAATAGGCTTCATGCTCAGGATAGGCCTCATGCTCAGAGTCTTTTAAAGGAGAAGCTTTTAAAGGAGAAGCTTTCAAAAGAGAAGCTTTTAAAGGAGAAGCTTTTAAAGAAGAAGCTTTTAAAGAAGAAGCTTTTAAAACATATTTTTCTGTATTTAAAAGTACGTTATCTTGTGCATATTTGGAATATTTTTAAACGGAATCTTTTTAAACGAATAATTTCTTATTTTTAAGATTTTTTTTCTTGCTTTAGAGAGCTTTCCTTCTTCTTTTTCGACTTCAAATATATCAAGTTCGCGTCTGCCTATAAACGAGCGTTTGCACTGCTTAACTCGCGAGGAAGCCATTTCCCGCATCTGATCGTTCTAATGGCGCATTTGATCGTGCCAATGGCGTGGAGATGCTCATCAATAGTAGAATTTGAACCTAGAAACTGTTGAGCAAGTTCACGCGTCTTTGGCATCAGCAAACAGTCGTGGAATCCCATCGAGATTTTGTCAAAGCATTTGGGAATGATGTATTGTCCGAAATCTGATGCCGAGCCTGGTTCCAACGCTTTCGGAATGGTGATGAAAGTCTCGAGGATGATGAACACTCTTGTCAAGAATATCGTTGTCTATCTCAAGCAGTAGACAACGATATTTTGAGGGCTGCAATTGAATCGGATCCATGTCAAACGACGCGTGAACTTGCTCAACACTTTCTAGGTTCAAATTCTACTATTGATGAGCATGGAACGATTGGAACGATCAGATGCGCCATTAGAACGATCAGATGCGCCATTGGAACGATCAGATGCGCCATTAGAACGATCAGATGCGCCACTGGAACGATCAGATGCGCCACTGGAACGATCAGATGCGGAAAATGTCTTCCTAGTTAAGCAGTGCAAACGTTTATATCCGAACAACCTAATAAATAAGATAGATTCTTGTTTCGATTCTTGTTTCGATTGTTTCGTTTGAAATTTTTGTTTTAAATTATTGTTTGTTTGTTTGTTTTAGAGTGATGACGTTTTACCTGTGAACAATTGTTCAACAACGTGCTGTCCTAGTGATGGTAAGAAGATTTTCTTCTTCTTTTCTAAGAGATTTCAATCAATTTCTAAGAGAATTCAGGCATTTGGAGTGAATGGACAAACAATGGAAATCCGAAATTGGGAGGTGTCGGTTCAAATCTGACATGTGGAATGTGTGCACAGCAAAATCAGACAAGAGTCTGTCTCTCGGCTACATACGGATGCCCGTGCACGTAAGGGTTATTTGCCTAGCTTGTTAAAAGACTTTATTATCTGATTTTAAAGCAAGAGCAAAAAAAGACAACCTTTTAACTAAATCATATTTATTGTAAATGAATAAATGAACTATCAACCATTAGCATTGGAGCAGGTCGCAGGCGTTTCGAGAAGGCGGTGGTGACCAAATAGGCTGCATCGAGCTCTTCTAGATGTGCACTTCGAGGAACCATAGCATTCGGCTGAGATTTGGCCCATAGTTTTCCCACTTCCCACGCCTTCAACGATGACTTCTTCAAGCTTTAGATTTTTTGTGGGGCTTTGAACAAGCTTTGGTTTCTAGAGCCGACCACGCTGAAATCCATTGGGTTGAGGTCTGGAGAGCTAGGTCCTCTAGAAAAAGCTAGAAAAAGAAATGAAGTCCGGGAAGTTGTTTTGGCAGAACTCTTGGACTTTCTTGAATTTGTGGACCGATGCGCCATCTTGCTGATAAGTCCAAATGCGATTTCCTAAACATTTACGAGCCCATGGCAAGAGTTCATCCTTGAGAAGAGCCAGGTAGTTATCGGAATTGACTTTGATGTCTTGGGGAAGAACTCGAACTTCAAGATTCAACAGGAAAGACTCCTGTTGAGTTTTTCAACAACAACAGTTTTTCAACAGGGGTGGGACAAATGCGACCTTTTTTTTGCGCACCTGGACATTTGCGCACCTTTTTTTTGCTGGAAAAGGCCTTAGGCAAGGCCGTAGAGCTTCAAAAATGTTTTCATAGAAGGGAATCGTATGCGTAGATTCCGAATTTCGACAAATCAGACCTCGCTGACACGTCAAATTTGGGCTAAAAGGCAAAAACTACGCAACTTAACGCTTTTCCGCAGTTTTTGCCTTTTAGCCCAAATTTGACGTGTCAGCGAGGTGTGATTTGTCGAAATTCGGAATCTACGCATACGATTCCCTTCTATGAAAACATTTTTGAAGCTCTACGGCCTTGCCTAAGGCCTTTTCCAGCAAAAGAAAAGGTGCGCAAATGTCCGGGTGCGCAAAAAAAAAAGGTCGCATTTGTGCCACCCCCATTTTTTGCAATAATTTTTGCTAAAAGTACGCTAATTTTTCCCAAGTGTGCGTTTTAAAAAACGCATTACTCGCAAGGAACACACTCTTTTCTTGAGTGATGGGAGATAGAAATTGAGTGAATATGTTTGCTAAAAGAGAAATGCAGCTATTCTACTCGATTGCTAAAGCACACTAGCTAAAGTTACGCAAGAAAAACACGCTATTTCACTTAAACCAACCAAATAATGCCCAAGAGCTGGGGAAAAAAAGCTGGGAAAAATTTCGGCGAAAGTCGACATTCCGTTCTGTCCAAGCAAAAGTTTCTTTTGCAAATCGTCAACAATTCGAGGCTAAATTGCATTCAGTTAAACGGCTGAATATCTTTTAAAAAGAGTCGTATATAACTCGTCGCTCGTGATTTTTTTGGGTCATTTTTTTTTGCAATAATTTTTGCGTCATTTTTTTTGCAATAATTTTTGCTAAAAGTACGCTAATTTTTCCCCCAAGTGTGCGTTTTAAAAAGCGCATTACTCGCGAGGAACACACTCTAGTGAAAATAAACCGTTTGATGACGTTAGTTTTCTGAAATAGGTTTTTTTTAGAAAGTACATTAATCGAGAGCAACGAAAACCAAGAATTCCATTAAATGTGTCAATTCAGTGGCTCAACAACCCAAATCTACACTTATTCAAACGCTCTCTGCCAGTTCCCAATGACCACGTGTTGTCCACCGTATGTGAAGAAAATTGACCTCACAGCGAAGGCCTATCTCTGCCAGCTAGAGAACGCCGTCTCACTGCCATCCATTCAAACGACTACTTGCTGTCCACCAGGTTTCACTTAATATATCATATATTCATAGTTCTTTTCTGATAACAGCTTTATAGAGTTGATTTTTTTCAGACGGAAATGGTTTATGGAACTATTGGAGCTCGTGGAGTCGATGTACTGCAACCTGTGGTCTTTGTGGAACCCAAATGAGAAACAGAACTTGTGCATCGGCTGCTTATGGTTGTCCTTGCACGTTCGTTTTGTTGAGAAGAGTTTTCGTAAATTGGAATTATGGAATTAAACAAAAAAAAAAAGCATCTTTTGTGCTAGAGAACTTTTTAAATGACTGATTTTCTTGACTTATTTCAATAATTTATCAATAGTTTATCAATGATTATTGAGATTTCAGCGGAAGTTCGACCGAAACTCAAAAATGCGGAAACCCGGGTTGCACAACAGCTTGTGGTTGCCCATCGGCGTGTTGTGGTGGAGCCTATCAAGCCGTTGCCTACGATGGAACGATCTATTGCTCATTGGAAGAGGTTCGATACTCAGATACGTTCGATACTCTGATACGTTCGATACTCAGATACGTTCGATACTCTGATACGTTCGATACTCAGATATCCCACAATTAAAGCAACCAACCAACTCCACAACATTGGGAACAGCGCATTGACTTGGAAATTTTTCTAAGTTCAAACTAAGATAAGCATGGCTTAGTCTTTAGCCTGAGGTGGCCACCTGGTAGGATCAACCAGATATGAAAAGTCCAAACTAAGATAAGCATGGCTTAGTCTTTAGACTGAGGTGACAATCTGGTAGGATCAACCAGATATCTGAACTAAGAATGGAACAAAATCAGAAGAACCTGTATCAGAAAACCTGTATCAGAAAAGCTGTATCAGAAAGCCTGTATCAGAAAAGTTGTATCAGAAAACCTGTATCAGAAAAGCTGTATCAGAAAGCCTGTATCAGAAAGCCTGTATCAGAAAAGCTGTATCAGAAAACCTGTATCAGAAAACCTGTATCAGAAAACCTGTATCAGAAAACCTGTATCAGAAAACCTGTATCAGAAAGCCTGTATCAGAAAAGCTGTATCAGAAAACCTGTATCAGAAAGCCTGTATCAGAAAAGTTGTATCAGAAAACCTGTATCAGAAAGCCTGTATCAGAAAGCCTGTATCAGAAAACCTGTATCAGAAAACCTGTATCAGAAAGCCTGTATCAGAAAAGCTGTATCAGAAAGCCTGTATCAGAAAAGTTGTATCAGAAAACCTGTATCAGAAAGCCTGTATCAGAAAGCCTGTATCAGAAAACCTGTATCAGAAAACCTGTATCAGAAAGCCTGTATCAGAAAATCTATCAGAAAACCTGTATCAGAAGAACCTGTCCAACATTAGTCTTTAAATAATTCATTCAATTTTTATCAATGTCTATTCAATATCAATGTTATCAATGTCCTTTAAAAAACTCGAATTTCCAGCCGATTTCCTGTGTCGGATCTTGGGAACCATGGTTCAACTACACGTTGTGCAATGACACGTGTGGAATGTGCGGCACTTACACACAACAACGATACTGTATGCCGCCTGGCTGTCAATGCACGTGAGTTAATCTAAAGTCTAATCTAAATAACTGTTTAATTTTCAAGTATATCATTTCATTTTTATATATAATTCAATTTTCATCCAACTTTCCAGCGGCTCTTTCACTCAAACAATGCCTTGCGCTGCATCCGTCTGTGCTTCTCCGCGGAGCGCTTGTTGCACTGGGTTCACAGAAAAAGCGAATACCTGTTCTGTATCATAAAATTTCTATATATAAGCGCATGTAGTTAGTGTGAATAAATTTGAAAATCACAAAAGAAACAACGCTTAATAGATGATGAATGACAGCTAGAGTATCAAAGAAACTCTAGATTGCTCTACTCCAGACTCTAACTCTAGGCTCTAACTCTAGGCTCTAACTCTAGGCTCTAACTCTAGAGCCTTAAAGGCTTAAAGCTTGAAAGCTTAACCATAAAGCAACTAAATCATCTATCTACGAAATGCAGAAAGGCTTATTTAAACGCTAAATTTCATGAAAACTACCGTACCGTCTCTAGTTTTTATCCGATCTATTCACTTTTTGAGTAGTTCAATATCCTTTGTGAGTCAGATCAAAAGTATCGGATTCTAATAGAGGCATGATGACGGGGTATTGCTCGTTTTTGCTCGCTTTTGCTCATTTTTGTTTAGGTGGTATCTATTTTCACAGACATAAGCCTATTTGCAACAATTTATAGTAGAAATGGGCCTAGAATCGAACCGAACCGAATCGAATCGAACTGAATCGAACTGAATCGAAACGAATCGAATCGAACCGAATCGAAACGAATCGAATCAAACCGAATCGAATCAAACCGAATCGAATCAAACCGAATCGAACCGAATCGAACCTAATCGAATTGAAATCTAATGGTAGCCTAATCGAAATCAAATCGAACCTAATCGTAACCTAGTCGTAACCTAATCGTAACCTAATCGTCACCTAATCGAAATCTAATCGTCACCTAATCGTAACCTAATCGTCACCTAATCGAAATCTAATCGAAGCCTAACCGGAACCTTATTGAAATCTAATCAACCCTAATCAGAACCTAATCAGAACCTAATCGGAAACTAAACGAAATCTAATCAGAACCTCATCGAAACCTAAAGACAAAGTTCAAAGATATGAATCACAGGCTTTCGAAAGCATTTCTAAACGAAAAAAGAGCTGTTTTTGTGAAATGCGTCATTCCTTATCTCAAAAGAATTCATTGTTTAAATTACGCGCAGATTTCTAGACGACTGTGTCACAAGTCAGCAACTTCAAAAGATAATACATAGATTTCTTCGATTTCTTTCAAATAAATTGAACTTCTGAAATGGAATCCGCTGAGTTTTCTGTGGATCGTCAAGCGATTCTGATCACCGCTCTAGATTATTCTAATTTCTCCGACCAACTGCCCTTCTTTATTACTACAGACGTCGAAAATCAGATCGTTACAACGGAAATCCAAGTCTCATTGAATCTTCTCACAACTGATGAAGCGAAGAGATTGATCAATGTCCTCTACTCGAAGATCAGCTCTTTTCAATCGGTTTCTCCATGCATCCAACAGTCCTTCAAAGCTTCCCACCTTCGGAGATTCCGAGATTCCGTCCTTCACCACAGCAGCCATTACAATGTCCCGACGACAAAATCCGAATATCAGGCTTATTTTCTGAAAAATGGGTCGGGGAATCGTTGCTCCTTGTACATGCTCAGTGTTAGCGTCAATGAGGAAAGAGGGGCCATCGAGGTTAGTGTTAGCGATTTAAAATCAAACAGCACAATTGTTCACAGGCAAGTTCTTCCCCGTAATCCTGGACAACCTATAGAAATTTTTTACTTAGAAAATAGCTAAAAGTTAAGCTAAAAATGGAAGCTTAAGCTTAAGCTAAAAATGGAAGCGTGCTGGAGAGTGATCGAATCGGATTGGACTCATTTGAGGGTCTGAGAAATTCGCTGCAAAACTCTAATCAAAGATCTTTTGGTACAGAAATGTAGGCAAGAATTCAGGCTTCAATTCTCCATATAGCACTTGGGGTTTTTGAGTTGATTGTGGGTCTGCTAAAAAGGTATAGCCGTAATTAGACTTGTGTTTCGGTTGGCTCTTTTCGGCTCGGTTTCGGTTCAACCGAAGTCCCGAAACCGAAACCGGTTAACCAAAACCGAAACCGAAACCGGAACCGGTCAACCGAAACCGGAACCGGTTAACCGGAACCGAAACCGAAACCGGAACCGGTTAACCGGAACCGAAACCGAAACCGGAACCGGTTAACCGGAACCGGTTAACCGGAACCGGAACCGGTTAACCGGAACCGGAACCGGTTAACCGAAACCGAAACCGAAACCGAAACCGAAACCGGAACCGGTAAACCGAAACCGAAACCGAAACCGAAACCGGTTAACCGAAACCGAAAGTTTTATTCTAGAGACTCTTACGGACATTTTGATGCAAAAATCATCAAATTGGCCCAACTCTACAAAAAGTTATAACATCATTAAAGAAATTTTGCAAAATACATAAAAACATACGCAAAAACATACGCAAAAACATAAGTGGAAACCGTGGCCGAAACGAATTTAGAGAGATGTTTCGGTTGGCTCTTTTCGGTTCGGTTTCGGTTCCGGTTCAACCGAAGTCAACCGAAATCTTTCGGTTCGGTTAACCGAAACCGAAACCAGTTAACCGAACCGAAAAAGAACGTTTCCGGTTCAACCGAAACACAAGTCTTGTCGTAATTCTGTAGAAAGGCAAATAAAGTTCAGAGAAAATTGATGTTTCTGAAATGAAAATGTGGATTTTGAATGAAATTCACGATCTTTTTGCCATTAATAAAATTAATAAACAGTCATTAATAAAAAAAGTGAAACCTTTAGGTAGAATTGCTGATTAAAAACCTCGATAACTATCAGCAAAGTCAAACAGCGACCCCCATCGATTTGACCGAATCCGGAGGGCGGACCCCGTTGATCTATGTGGGACCTCGTTTCCCTCCAGAAATCATCAAACGAAAGGAAACCGAAAAAATCACGAAGCTAACTCTTTACATTTGCATGATCATTTTCTCTCTTTTCAGCTTTATTGGCTTAATTTTGCTTTACCACTTTTTCTGTTACTATATGATCAGACTTGTATTGTTCCTGAATCTTGTCTGGTATCTCATTTTTCTCATATTACCTCTAATCTTAAGCTATTTCACGTCCGGGATAAGTCCACAATCTCCAGAAACATTTTTACTTGAAACAACCAAAAGTATCGGGTTGAAAATGATTTTAAAAGAGACTTTTTCTCTAGGAATCTTATTCTACTGTATGTTGACTCCTGATTGGGAATACTGCAGCTTGTTGGCTATTTTCCGGAATGTCGTGTTAGGTTTTATTTGAGATAATTCATAGTTTTGCTCATCATTCATTCCACAGTAAACTTGTATGACTTGAAACTTGACTTGTATGACTTGTATGGCTTGATAAACGACTTTTATGGCTTGAAACTGACTTGTATGACAGCCACAGTGTATGACAACCACAGTAAACTTGAAAAGAGATGCATTTATATTGATTAGTTCTCATGATTCCATTCAGGAATGGGTGAAATCCCGAAAAAAAACCAGTCCAGGTCAGAAGCCAGGTTCAAAATTGAGATAAGAGATATTTTTTTACTAAGAAGGGACTGTCAACAGGATGTGGTGACCAAATGAGGTGTGATGACCAAATAAGATAAGAGATAAGCCATCCATTTGAGGTGAGGAGGGTTTGGAGTCATTGCACTCAATCATTGGCAATTTATGCCGTCAACGTGGTGACCAAATGACATAAACCATCTACTAACCAACGTTGAATTTTCCGAATCTGCTTTCCGTTTTTGCAAAATCGCAAAATCGCACTAATCAAAAAATTGAAATTGAAAATCACTGGAAATCATTTGAAAATCATTAAACGCAGGGGAAAAACGCAGTTATTAGGGAGTCCTAGCTATAAGGTGCACTACCTGTTCATGCTCGGTATCTCCCTCAGCCTAAGTGCCCCCCCCCCCCTCCACTATGGCAGAAACCATTCAGTGATCTAGGAAGCTGAGCAGAGCAGCGATAGTTAGCAAAAATGTTAGCTGCATTCTAGAAAGACCAAAAAGTTTTATATTTACCGTATTTTCTCTAATAGTAGTGCACCCCAGCGAGCCGAGTTGGTGGCTATTTTACGGTTTCCAAGCTTTTGCAGAAGCTGCAGAAGCTGCAGAAGCTGCAGAAGCTGCAGAAGCCCAATCCTCAAATCCCCCACTAGATCTCATCATCAGCTACATTTTCCGATCCCACATCGATAGGTTCTCGAGATTTCAAGCAATTTAGGCGACGCTCATGGTGCACTACTATTAGAGAAAATACGGTATTCCGAAAATCTACCGTATGCGAAAGAAAATTCATTTAGCACGGCTTTGTTTGGGGTTTTTGATTACTGATTAGCTGAGCTCAAATGATGAGTTGTGCTTTAAATTCTTTTGTGATATTTTCTGGTGATTTTTTTTACTTTTTAAATTATTTATTAGCTGTAAATCTTTATCTAATAATATTTTTCAAAATAAATAACGTAGCAAGCTTGCTACAGGCTATAAGCAAAGTTACAGTAATCTCGGCTATAGTAAAACCAAGCTACAGTATTCCAGAGACAAACAAACCCCAATTGCATGAGGGTACTTTTAGAAAACAAGCGAAAAACGATTTTCAGATCTCTAAACGTTCACGTCACGGCCGCGCTTTTCATCTCAAAATACGCTGAACAACACTATTGCAAGTGATCATTTCAATGATTTTCAATGATTTTCGAATTGCTGCTATTCTAAAACGTTCTAATTGTTAACGGCTCTAAATTTTATTCTTTTATTGCTTCTTTTCTATCGTTTACTGTTCATCTGTAAATCCACCTTTCTGGCGCATTAAAATTGAAGAATTCAATGCACCAGGGAAGAGCACAAAGAGATTTTTATTGTTGGCTTGGTTGTTGGTTTGATTGTTGGGGTTTTACGTTATTTATTTTGAAAAATATTATCAGATAAAGATTTACAGCTAGTAAATAATTTAGAAAATCATCAGAAAATATCACAAAAGAATTTAAAGCACAACTTAGGGGGGGAGGGGGGGAGGGGGGTTACGGTATCTGTCTGTCTTTCTGTCTGTCTTTCTCTCTGCCTTACTGTACGGGCATTTTTCCAGCCGTATTTTGACCAATTTTTCATTTTGGTTTTCAAGAAATGCCAAATTTACGAATTTTCACAAAACTTGCAACAAAACTTGCATTTTAAGCGAAACTACTAAATGTATCTTTTTGGAAATTTGGCTATAAGCCTAATTTTTGATTCTCTACAACTTTTCTATTGACACCAAAATGGGTTTCTTTTGAAGAAAGTGCTCAAACTGGGACATTCCTCCATTTTTGAGTCTCACACACAAACCAAAATCCTACCACGAAAGAGGAATCCGCTTGAATATTATTTATTCCGGATCATGAGTTCCGGATGCAATCAAATACAGTGAACAGTTGGAAAAGGTGAATGAATCTCTAAAGAAGAATAGGCCCTTCAGGTCAAAGATCGTTCTCATCGCACGCGCGCCCTCATGTTGCAAAACTGACTCGCTCTAAAATAAACAGCCTTGGTTGGGAACTTTTGGCGCATTCCCCATACAGTCCACCCCTTTTGATTACTATTTATTCTGGATCATGAGTAATGAGCTTGCGAGAGAACACTTCGATTCGGAAGAAGCAGTCAAAAATTGGCTTTCAAAGTTGTTCGATTCAAAACTTTTCATCTTTTCATCTTTTCATCTTTGAAATCATTTGAAAACTCATCATTTGAGCTGAGCTAATCAGTAATCAAACCCCCAAACGAAGCCGCGTGATTACATAAAAATGAAATTTTTTTTGATTTTTTCGAAATAAGCGAGATTTTTTCACAAGAAAATTCATAAATCTCTTATTTTTCAACATTTTTTTTCGATCTCTCTTCACTTTTTATTAGAAAAGAGATCTCACGGCTCTAGATCGGAGATCAAAGAGATCTTTTAATATAAAAACCACCAAAATCGCTCAACTTGACTTGTATGACAGCCACAGTGTCTCTGACAGCCACAGTAAACTTGAAAAGAGATGCATTTGCATTGGCTAGTTCTCATGATTCCATTCAGAAATGGGTGAAATCCCGAAAAAAGCCAGTCCAGGTCAGAAGCCAGGTTCAAAATTGAGATAAGAGATATTTTTTTACTAAGAAGGGACTGTCAACATGTTAACAGGGTGTGGTGACCAAATGAGATAAGCCATACGTGGGTGGGGAGGGTTTCGAGTCATTGCACTCAATCATTGGCAATTTATGCCGTCAGCGTGGTGGCCAAATGACATAAACCATCTACTAGCCAACGTTGAATTTTACGCTGATTCCGATTCTGCTTTCCGTTTTGGCAATGCAGCACTCTATCAAAAGTTATACGCATGCAAAGTTTTGTCATCATCATCATCATCATCATCATCAGGGATTTCAAAAATCATCCCTCGCATCTATAGGCAGATTTACCAGCCGTCTCAAGAAGCAGTGGTGGCCGAGTGGTAGTCGGCTAGAATGCCACGAAATCTAATCAGAACCTCATGGAAACCTAAAGACAAAGTTCAAAGATATGAGGCACAGGCTTTCGACAGCATTTCTAAACTAAAAAAGAGTTGTTTTTGTGAAATGCGTCATTCCTTATCTCAAAAGAATTCATTGTTTAAATTACGCAAAAGACGTTTAGACGACTGTGTCACATGTCAACAACTTCAAAAGATAACACATAGATTTCTTTGATTTCTTTCGAAGCTCGATCTCTTTCAAATAAATTGAACTTCTGAAATGGAATCCGCTGAGTTTTCTGTGGATCGTCAAGAGATTCTGATCACTTCTCTAGATTATTCGAATTTCTCCAACCATGTATCAGAACGGATGTGGGGTCGGAAAATGTAGCTGACGATGAGATCTAGTGGGGGGTTTGAGGATTGAGCTTCTGCAGCTTCTGCAGCTTCTGCAAAAGCTTGGAAACCGTAAAATAGCCACCAACTCGGCTCGCCCGGTGCACTGCTATTAGAGAAAATACGGTATCTGATAAAAAGTATCCAAAGTCTTATCTTACAAAAGAAAAGTCATTTTTTTACTAGGTACTACGGAAAATAACTGCGCTTTCCCCCTGCGTTTAATGATTGTCAATTGAGAATTTTCTGATTAGTGTGATTTTGCGATTTGCGATTTTGCGATTTTGCAAAAACGGAAAGCAGATTCGGAATCAGCGCAAAATTCCACGTTGGTTAGTAGATGTTTTATGTCATTTGGTCACCGCGTTGACGGAATAAATTGCCAATGATTGAGTGCAATGACTCCAAACCCTCCTCACCTCAAATGGATGGCTTATCTCTTATCTTATTTGGTCATCACACCTCATTTGGTCACCACATCCTGTTGACAGTCCCTTCTTAGTAAAAAAATATCTCTTATCTCAATTTTGAACCTGGCTTCTGACCTGGACTGGCTTTTTTCGGGATTTCACCCATTCCTGAAAGGAATCATGAGAACTAGTCAATATAAATGCATCTCTTTTCAAGTTTACTGTGGTTGTCATACACTGTGGCTGTCATACAAGTCAGTTTCAAGCCATACAAGTCGTTTATCAAGCCATACAAGTCATACAAGTCAAGTATCAAGTCATACAAGTCGTTTCAAGCCATACAAGTCAAGTTTCAAGTCATACAAGTTTACTGTGGAATGAATGATGAGCAAAGCTATGAATTATCTCAAATAAAACCTAACACGACCAACCGGAAAATAGCCAACAAGCTGCAGTATTCCCAATCAGGAGTCAACATACAATAGAATAAGATTCCTATAGAAAAAGTCTCTTTTAAAATCATTTTCAACCCGATACTTTTGGTTGTTTCAAGTAAAAATGTTTCTGGAGATTGTGGACTTATCCCGGACATGAAATATTAGGTTGGTGCAGATGAAACTTCCGTCACACTTGTTTGTTTACATTTTGAACCTAATAAAAGTTTTTATTGAAGATATTTGTCTATCTGAAAGAGCGTCTCTTTGCGCGTCTTTTGATATCTAAGACTTATGCGTTTTACTTAATTTGAAGTAATTTTTAGCTTCTAGAAAATGGTTGACGAAAAATTTCGAGTGCGGGTTTGCTTGTTGTATGATTTTAAACAAGGCAGAACGCCTACGGAATCTCATCGTGCTCTGTGCAAAGCATTCGGCGATGACGTGTTGTCCGAACGTCAATGCCGGACTTGGTTTCAGCGCTTCCGAGACGGTGATGAGAGTTTGGAAGACGAAAAACGCGGGAATCCGCCTCAAATTGTCGACAACGATGAGTTGAAGAACGCTATCGAGTCGGATCCATGCCAAACAACTCGGGAGCTTGCAGAGCTGTTTGACTGCGACCATACAACGATTCTCCGCCATTTGCACGCAATTGGTAAGACGAATCGGTGTGGAAAATGGGTGCCACATCAGCTCAGCGACGCAAACAAAGCGACTCGAGCTACAATGGCTGGAATTCTCGTCCACCGCGCAAAGACCGCCGGTTTTCTCGACTCCATTGTTACGGCAGATGAAAAGTGGATATGTTACGACAACACAACAAGAAAACGGCAGTGGTTGGACGCCGGTGAACCGCCAAAACCGACTCCCAAACCGAATGTCCACGGAAAAAGGTGATGCTTTGTATTTGGTGGAATAGTAAAGGTCTCGTGTATTTTGAGGTGCTGGATTCGGGCCAAAGAGTCACGGCGGATCTCTACAAAGCCCAATTGAGCCGCGTGGACCAGGCATTGCGTCGTCAAGGCAATAACACGGCGACTACAAAATTCCTCCACGATAACGCTCGACCCCACACCTCGACCCCCAAGATCACCCAGCAGAAAATCGAGGAATTGGGCTGGGAAGTTCTGCCTCATCCGCCATATAGCCCGGATTTGGCCCCATCCGACTACCACTTGTTTCGGTCGATGCAGCACTCTCTAGCAGAAAAAAAAATTCAAAAACCGCGAAGAAGTTGAAATCTGGGTGTCCAACTTCTTCGAGTCGCAGTTGCCCGAGTTCTGCGAAAAGGGCATCCATTCTTTGCGTGGAAGATGGCAAAGAGTCATTGATAATGATGGCGAATATCTTTTGGATTGAGGTTCTGTATTAGGATTTTTATAATAAATTTTGTTTATGGTTCCAACGGAAGTTTCATCTGCACCAACCTAATAGCTTAAGATTAGAGGTAATATGAGAAAAATGAGATACCAGACAAGATTGAGGAACAATACAAGTCTGATCATATAGCAACAGAAAAAGTAGTAAAGTAAAACTAAACCAATAAAGCTGAAAAGATAGAAAACGATGACGCAAATGTAAAGAGTTAGCGCGAATTTATCGATTTCCTTTTGTTGAATGATTTCTGAAGGGAAACGAGGTCCCACATGGATCAACGGCGTCCACTCTCCACTCTCCGAATCGATGGGGATAACTGTTTGACTTTGCTGATAGTTATCGAGGTTTTTAATCAGCAATTCTACCTAAAAGTTTCACTTTTTTTATTAATGACTGTTTATTAATTTTATTAATGGCAAAAAGATCGTGAATTTCATTCAAAATCCACATTTTCATTTCAGAAACATCAATTTTCTCTGAACTTTATTTGCCTTGCTACAGAATTACGGCAAGACTTGTGTTTCGGTTGAACCGGAAACGTTCTTTTTCGGAAAAAAGAAGCCAATTTGTGGACAAGGGGAACCAAGCTTGTAGATAGAAAAAACCAAATTTGTCTTCAAAAAGGAACCAAGTTTGTGGAGAAAAGGAACCAAATTTGAACAGAACCGCGAAGTCGAGCGCATAAAAAAGCACATTATTTCGAAAGGACAAAGTCTGGCCAGTCTAATAGTTCGATTTTCAGAAAAACTTGAATTTTCTGCCTAAATTCATTTCAAAAGTTGCCCAAATTTGCTTTTCTTAAATTAGATAGTGTATAGCTTTTAATTAGAGAAGTTGAATTCAATATGTTTCATGGAAAACACAAAAAAAGTGTCCCAACTTTCAAGTTGCCAGTCTAATATCTCCAGCTCTAGACAAAAAAAAGGATCTTTTGTGCTAGAGAACTTTTTAAATGACTGATTTTCTTGATTTATTTTGAACGAAATTCAATAAATTATTGAATTTATCAATAGTTTATCAATGATTATCGAGATTTCAGCGGAAGTTCGACCGAAACTCAAAAATGTGGAAACCCGGGTTGCACAACAGCTTGTGGTTGTCCATCGGCGTGTTGTGGTGGACCCTATCAAGCCGTTGCCTACCATGGAACGATCTATTGCTCATTGGAAGAGGTTCGATACTCTGATACGTTCGATACTCTGATACGTTCGATACTCAGATATCTCACAATTAAAGCAACCAACCAACTCCACAACATTGGGAACAGCGCATTGACTTGGAAATTTTTCTAAGTTCAAACTAAGGTAAGTATGGCTTAGTCTTTAGCATGAGGTGACAATCTGGTAGGATCAACCAGATATCTGAACTAAGAATCGAACAAAATCAGAAGAACCTGTATCAGAAAAGCTGTATCAGAAGAACCTGTCCAACATTAGTCTTTAAATAATTCATTCAATTTTTATCAATGTCTATTCAATATCAATGTTATCAATGTCCTTTAAAAAACTCGAATTTCCAGCCGATTTCCTGTGTCGGATCTTGGGAACCATGGTTCAACTACACGTTGTGCAATGACACGTGTGGAATGTGCGGCACTTACACACAACAACGATACTGTATGCCGCCTGGCTGTCAATGCACGTGAGTTAATCTAAAGTCTAATCTAAATAACTGTTTAATTTTCAAGTATATCATTTCATTTTTATATATAATTCAATTTTCATCCAACTTTCCAGCGGCTCTTTCACTCAAACAATGCCTTGCGCTGCATCCGTCTGTGCTTCTCCGCGGAGCGCTTGTTGCACTGGGTTCACAGAAAAAGCGAATACCTGTTCTGTATCATAAAATTTCTATATATAAGCGCATGTAGTTAGTGTGAATAAATTTGAAAATCACAAAAGAAACAACGCTTAATAGATGATGAATGACAGCTAGAGTATCAAAGAAACTCTAGATTGCTCTACTCCAGACTCTAACTCTAGGCTCTAACTCTAGGCTCTAACTCTAGAGCCTTAAAGGCTTAAAGCTTAAAAGCTTAACCATAAAGCAACTAAATCATCTATCTACGAAATGCAGAAAGGCTTATTTAAACGCTAAATTTCATGAAAACTACCGTACCATCTCTAGTTTTTATCCAATCTATTCACTTTTTGAGTAGTTCAATATCCTTTGTGAGTCAGATCAAAAGTATCGGATTCTAATAGAGGCATGATGACGGGGTATTGCTCGTTTTTGCTGGTTTTTGCTCATTTTTGTTTAGGTGATATCTATTTTCACAGACATAAGCCTATTTGCAACAATTTATAGTAGAAATGGGCCTAGAATCGAACCGAATCGAATCGAATCGAATCGAACTGAATCGAAACGAATCGAACCGAATCGAATCGAACCGAATCGAAACGAAGCGAGTCGAATCGAATCGAACCGAACCGAATCGAATCAAACCGAATCGAATCAAACCGAATCGAACCGAATCGAACCTAATCGAATCGAAATCTAATGGTAGCCTAATCGAAATCAAATCGAAATCAAATCGAACCTAATCGTAACCTAGTCGTAACCTAATCTTAACCTAATCGTCACCTAATCGAAATCTAATCGAAGCCTAACCGGAACCTTATTGAAATCTAATCAACCCTAATCAGAACCTAATCAGAACCTAATCGGAAATTAAACGAAATCTAATCAGAACCTCATCGAAACCTAAAGACAAAGTTCAAAGATATGAATCACAGGCTTTCGAAAGCATTTCTAAACGAAAAAAGAGCTGTTTTTGTGAAATGCGTCATTCCTTATCTCAAAAGAATTCATTGTTTAAATTACGCGCAGATTTCTAGACGACTGTGTCACAAGTCAGCAACTTCAAAAGATACACTGGTGGTCATATGTATTAGTACCCTCTTGCAAAAAATCTTCTCTCAACGATTGCCCCCCTTAAAACTCTGCCAAATTCAAAGTGCTAAAAAGCATTTTTTGCTAACAAGCTCTAGTCTCTAAAACCACAAAAAAATTGATTCGAAATGTTTATTATCTTTTTAAAAAATAGCAAGGACGGAAAAGACACCTCAAAAATGGTGGACAAAAGTATTGACACCTTAGCTTTTCCTTTATTTTTTTCTTGTTTACATTCATGTTTTGATGACTTTTTAAAATATTTAATTTTAGATGCCGTATCTACTGACTCCAATCAAAGAAAAGATCGTTGAAGGTCGAAGAAATGGAATGAAAACAGCAGATTTGGCTGAACAATTTGGATGCAGCGAGAGCACGGTGAAACGACTTTTTAAACAATCAAAGATTATCGGTTCTCTACACAGAGCTGCAAAATCTGGTCGACATCCATCAACAACAACTGCCGAGAATCGATCGATCATAGGGGAATTCAAAAAGGACCCAAGTCTCACCTCGAACGACGGAAGCCGCCTGTATAAATCACAATTCAGCACAGATATCTCAGCAAGGACCGTGAGGAGGCGACTCATCAAAGCAAAGTTGTACGCTAGACGACCAATAAAGAAGCCACGTATGACTCCTCGGATTAGGAAACTTCGTTTAGCCTTTGCTCGGAGGTACCAAAGTTGGACGAGTGACGATTGGAACCGAGTAATTTTCTCTGATGAGACAAAAGTTAATCTCTATCAGTCGGATGGACCTCCATTGATCAGGCGACCGATTGGAAAGCGGCTATTACTCAAGTACATCAAACCCTCGGTTCGATTTGGGGGCGGAAATATTATGTGCTGAGGTATGAATTTCTATAGTTTTCTTCGTATAACTGTCAACTTGCAGGGGCGATGACAAGAAATGTGGTCGGTCCACTTGAGATGATCAATTCAACCATGAAGTCTCAGCGATACATGGGAATACTTGAGCAACGTTTACTTCCATTTGCGAGCAAAACATTACCTCAAGGATGGTTGTACTACCAGGACAACTCGCCAGTTCACACAAGCAAACTTATGATGGGACCTGTCGGAAGACTCTCGAATGGAGGACGGGTACGATTTCCGGGCTGGTTTGCGATTAATGGTGTTTCTTTGATTAAATCACCTCCCTTTTCACCAGATTTGAACGTTATCGAGAATCTATGGTCGATTGTGAAAGCGAAATTGAAGGAGAAACACTTTTCGCCCAAGGCGAGCTTTGGCTCTATCTACGTCTTGTATGGAATCAAATTGGATCATCAGTTTTGCACAATTTGGTCGACTCGATGCCCAGACGGATAGAAAAAGTCATTCAAGCCAAAGGAGGGCCAATAGACTATTAAATTTACTGTTGTTTTTGCAAGGTGTCAATACTTTTGTCCACCATTTTTGAGGTGTCTTTTCCGTCCTTGCTATTTTTAAAAAGATAATAAACATTTCGAATCAATTTTTTTGTGGTTTTAGAGACTAGAGCTTGCTAGCAAAAAATGCTTTTTAGCACTTTGAATTTGGCAGCGTTTTAAGCGGGGCAATCGTTGAGAGAAGATTTTTTGCAAGAGGGTACTAATACATATGACCACCAGTGTAATACATAGATTTCTTCGATTTCTTTCGAAGCTCGATTTCTTTCAAATAAATTGAACTTCTGAAATGGAATCCGCTGAGTTTTCTGTGGATCGTCAAGCGATTCTGATCACCGCTCTAGATTATTCGAATTTCTCCAACCAACTGCCCTTCTTTATCACTACAGACGTCGAAAATCAGATCGTTACAACAGAAATCCAAGTCTCATTGAATCCTCTCACAACTGATGAAGCGAAGAGATTGATCAATGTCCTCTACTCGAAGATCAGCTCTTTTCCATCGGTCTCTCCATGCATTCAACAGTCCTTCGAAGCTGCCCACCTTCGGAAATTCCGAGATTTCGTCCTTCACCACAGCAGCCATTACAATGTTCCGACGACAAAATCCGAATATCAGGCTTATTTTCTGAAAAATGGGTCGGGGAATCGTTGCTCCTTGTACATGCTCAGTGTTAGCGTCAATGAGGAAAGAGGGGCCATCGAGGTTAGTGTTAGCGATTTAAAATCAAACAGCACAATTGTTCACAGGCAAGTTCTTCCCCGTAATCCTGGACAACCCTGTAGAAATTTTTTAATTAGAAAACAGCTAAAAGTTAAGCTAAAAATGGAAGCGTGCTGGAGAGTGATCGGATCGGATTGGACTCATTTGAGGGTCTGAGAAATTCGCTGCAAAACTCTAATCAAAGATCTTTTGGTACAGAAATGTAGGCAAGAATTCAGGCTTCAATTCTCCATATAGCACTTGGGGTTTTTGAGTTGATTGTGGGTCTGCTAAAAAGGTATAGCCGTAATTAGACTTGTGTTTCGGTTGGCTCTTTTCGGCTCGGTTTCGGTTCAACCGAAGTCCCGAAACCGAAAACGGTACCGGAACCGGAACCGGAACCAGTTAACCGAAACCGGTACCGGTTGACCGAAAACGGTACCGGTTGACCGAAAACGGTACCGGAACCGGAACCGGAACCAGTTAACCGAAACCGGTACCGGTTGACCGAAAACGGTACCGGTTGACCGAAAACGGTACCGGAACCGGAACCGGAACCAGTTAACCGAAACCGGTACCGGTTGACCGAAAACGGTACCGGAACCGGAACCGGAACCAGTTAACCGAAACCGGTACCGGTTGACCGAAAACGGTACCGGAACCGGAACCGGAACCAGTTAACCGAAACCGGTACCGGTTGACCGAAAACGGTACCGGTTGACCGAAAACGGTACCGGAACCGGAACCGGAACCAGTTAACCGAAACCGGTACCGGTTGACCGAAAACGGTACCGGTTGACCGAAAACGGTACCGGAACCGGAACCGGAACCAGTTAACCGAAACCGGTACCGGTTGACCGAAAACGGTACCGGAACCGGAACCGGAACCAGTTAACCGAAACCGGTACCGGTTGACCGAAAACGGTACCGGAACCGGAACCGGAACCAGTTAACCGAAACCGGTACCGGTTGACCGAAAACGGTACCGGAACCGGAACCGGAACCAGTTAACCGAAACCGGTACCGGTTGACCGAAAACGGTACCGGAACCGGAACCGGAACCAGTTAACCGAAACCGAAACCGAAACCGGTTAACCGAAACCGAAAGTTTTATTCTAGAGACTCTTACGGACATTTTGATGCAAAAATCATCAAATTTGCCCAACTCTACAAAAAGTTATAACATCATTAAAGAAATTTTGCAAAATACACAAAAACATACACAAAAACATACGCAAAAACATACGCAAAAACATAAGTGGAAACCGTGGCCGAAACGAATTTAGAGAGATGTTTCGGTTGGCTCTTTTCGGTTCGGTTTCGGTTTCGGTTCAACCGAAGTCAACCGAAATCTTTCGGTTCGGTTAATCGAAACCGAAACCAGTTAACCGAACCGAAAAAGAACGTTTCCGGTTCGACCGAAACACAAGTCTTGCCGTAATTCTGTAGAAAGACAAATAAAGTTCAGAGAAAATTGATGTTTCTGAAATGAAAATGTGGATTTTGAATGAAATTCACGATTTTTTTGCCATTAATAAAATTAATAAACAGTCATTAATAAAAAAAGTGAAACTTTTAGGTAGAATTGCTGATTAAAAACCTCGATAACTATCAGCAAAGTCAAACAGCGACCCCCATCGATTTGACCGAATCCGGAGGGCGGACCCCGTTGATCTATGTGGGACCTCGTTTCCCTCCAGAAATCATCAAACGAAAGGAAACCGAAAAAATCACGAAGCTAACTCTTTACATTTGCATGATCATTTTCTCTCTTTTCAGCTTTATTGGCTTAATTTTGCTTTACCACTTTTTCTGTTACTACATGATCAGACTTGTATTGTTCCTGAATCTTGTCTGGTATCTCATTTTTCTCATATTACCTCTAATCTTAAGCTATTTCATGTCCGGGATAAGTCCACAATCTCCAGAAACATTTTTACTTCAAACAACCAAAAGTATCGGGTTGAAAATGATTTTAAAAGAGACTTTTTCTCTAGGAATCTTATTCTATTGTATGTTGACTCCTGATTGGGAATACTGCAGCTTGTTGGCTATTTTCCGGAATGTCGTGTTAGGTTTTATTTGAGATAATTCATAGTTTTGCTCATCATTCATTCCACAGTAAACTTGTATGACTTGAAACTTGACTTGTATGACTTGTATGGCTTGATAAACGACTTGTATGGCTTGAAACTGACTTGTATGACAGCCACAGTGTATGACAACCACAGTAAACTTGAAAAGAGATGCATTTATATTGACTAGTTCTCATGATTCCATTCAGGAATGGGTGAAATCCCGAAAAAAAACCAGTCCAGGTCAGAAGCCAGGTTCAAAATTGAGATAAGAGATATTTTTTTACTAAGAAGGGACTGTCAACAGGATGTGGTGACCAAATGAGGTGTGATGACCAAATAAGATAAGAGATAAGCCATCCATTTGAGGTGAGGAGGGTTTGGAGTCATTGCACTCAATCATTGGCAATTTATGCCGTCAACGTGGTGACCAAATGACATAAACCATCTACTAACCAACGTTGAATTTTGCGCTGATTCCGAATCTGCTTTCCGTTTTTGCAAAATCGCAAAATCGCACTAATCAAAAAATTGAAATTGAAAATCACTGGAAATCAATTGAAAATCATTAAACGCAGGGGAAAAACGCAGTTATTAGGGAGTCCTAGCTATAAGGTGCACTACCTGTTCATGCTCGGTATCTCCCTCAGCCTAAGTGCCCCCCTCCACTATGGCAGAAACCATTCAGTGATCTAGGAAGCTGAGCAGAGCAGCGATAGTTAGCAAAAATGTTAGCTGCATTCTAGAAAGACCAAAAAGTTTTATATTTACCGTATTTTCTCTAATAGTAGTGCACCCCAGCGAGCCGAGTTGGTGGCTATTTTACGGTTTCCAAGCTTTTGCAGAAGCTGCAGAAGCTGCAGAAGCTCAATCCTCAAATCCCCCACTAGATCTCATCATCAGCTACATTTTCCGATCCCACATCGATAGGTTCTGATACATCGATAGGTCGATAGGTTCTCGAGATTTCGAGCAATTTAGGCGACGCTCATGGTGCACTACTATTAGAGAAAATACGGTATTCCGAAAATCTACCGTATGCGAAAGAAAATTCATTTAGCACGGCTTTGTTTGGGGTTTTTGATTACTGATTAGCATTTCTTGAAAACCAAAATGAAAAATTGGTCAAAACACGGCTGGAAAAATGCCCGTACAGTAAGGCAGAGAGAAAGACAGACAGAAAGACAGACAGATACCGTAACCCCCCTCCCCCCCTCCCCCCCTAAGTTGTGCTTTAAATTCTTTTGTGATATTTTCTGGTGATTTTTTTACTTTTTAAATTACTTACTAGCTGTAAATCTTTATCTGATAATATTTTTCAAAATAAATAACGTAAAACCCCAACAATCAAACCAACAACCAAGCCAAAAATAAAAAAACTCTTTGTGCTCTTCCCTGGTGCATTGAATTCTTCAATTTTAATGCTCCAGAAAGGTGGATTAACAGATGAACACAAAGTAAACGATAGAAAAGAAGCAATAAAAGAATAAAATTTAGAGCCGTTAACAATTAGAACGTTTTAGAATAGCAGCAATTCGAAAATCATTGAAAATCATTGAAATGATCACTTGCAATAGTGTTGTTCAGCGTATTTTGAGATGAAAAGCGCGGCCGTGACGTGAACGTTTAGAGATCTGAAAATCGTTTTTCGCTTGTTTTCTAAAAGTACCCTCATGCAATTGGGGTTTGTTTGTCTCTGGAATACTGTAGCTTGGTTTTACTATAGCCGAGATTACTGTAACTTTGCTTATAGCCTGTAGCAAGCTTGCTACAGGCTATAAGTAAAGCTTGCTTTACCGAAACGAAAAGCTTGTTACCGAAAACGAAAAACGTAAAAAAACCAGAGTTTTTGCAGAGTTTTCCGCTAAAAACGAAAAACAGAAAAAACCTCACCCACTTGCCAGAGGCATTTTCGCTATAATTTGACTCAGATTGAACCTTTCGACGTTATTTTGGTATCATTCGACGCAGAAAATTTTGCTCTATCGAATGAAGCCAGAATATCGTAGAAAGGTTCAATTTGAGCCAAATTATAGCCAAAATGCCTCTGGCAAGTGGACGGGGTTTTTTCCGTTTTTCGTTTTCAGCGGAAAACTCTGCAAGCTTTGTTTGTAGTATCGTAAGCTACCATAATGTTACCGAGAGGCTGGCTGAGAAGCAGTTACCGTAATTCTAAGCTATAGTAATTCCGGGTCATGTTACAGTATCTCAGGTACAGTAATTCCAAGCTACAGTATCCCAAGCTACCGTAGCCACAAGCTACAGTATCCCAAGCTACCGTAGCCACAAGCTACAGTATCCCAAGCTAAAGTATCCCAAGCTAAAGTATCCCAAGCTACCGTAACCACAAGCTACGGTAATCCCAAGCTACAATAATCGAAGAGCAGGCTTATTCGATGGCATCCGGACGGGATACGATAGCTTTCAAAAGCGCAACTTTTAGCCCAATAGATCTAACTAATTGTAAACTTTTGTAATTGGTTTTCTTGGCTATTTAGAAGTTCATGTATTAGAAGGTTACCTCGTTTGTCCAAACTGTGTAATCTCAACCGTTTGATCGATGTAACGCAGCAATTTCGTGGGGATTCCCTCCCGCTCATCGCCGACAATCAAAGCACACTAGATATGGGAAATGTTTTTCAGGTTTAGAGAGTCCTACAGCAGTGCCTAGTTGGGTGTTGGGTCCTGCAGTACCCTTAGCATAAGAGGTACTGTAGGGCTAACTTAAAGTACTGTAGGCTAAGGCTTAGGCACTGTGGGTCCACAGTATCTCGGCACTATTGAAGGCAGTATCCCAAGTACTGTAGGCTTACCGTATCCCGAGTACTGTAGGCTTACAATATCCCAAGTACTGTAGGCTTACTGTATCCCGAGTACTGTAGGCTTACAGTATCCCAAGTACTGTAGGCTTACAGTATCCCAAGTACTGTAGGCTTACAGTATCCCAAGTACTGTAGGCTTACTGTATCCCGAGTACTGTAGGCTTACAGTATCTCAAGTACTGTAGGCTTACAGTATACCGAAACAGTATTGCAGTCCTTACTTATCATACAGTACCCCAACGTTATTCAATCTTTAACTTTTAACTAACCTTTCTCGGAAATGCGAACTTATGCATTTGAACGCTGTTTGTCGTTTGTTCGGCTCCAATCACCGTATAGCCGGCTTGCTTCAGAGAGTCCAAATAAAGATACAAATCGTCCACTTTCACCTGAATACCAGCTTTGTTCAAGTACTGCAGATCTATGCAAATTCTCACCGCTTCCATCTTTTGCCAATTCTCGGAGCTCATCGAAAGCGCTTTAAAACTCGCATCCTTCACCACAGCCAAATCGGCGAGAACCAACGTGTCAACGGAGAAGATTTCCGAAGTTCTGCATAGACCTGAAACAAAGTTTTTGAAGTTTTGATATAACTGTTTCAGTTTAGATTTTTTGGTACAACCGGGCCCAAGACCTGTAAGCCAGCTCCAGACCAGGTCAAAACTAGAAGCCAGTTTCGGGACGGCCTTCTGTCGGCCCCAGGTCCAAGTCTAGAGTATAGGCTGACCGAGCTTTAGGAAATCTGAGCCCCGAGAAGAAAACTGGAATGACAAATGACCGTTAACAACCAGCAAATGACCGTTAAGAACCAGCAAATGACCGTTAAAGATATTCAGCTAATCAATTGAAAGCTAATTAACGGCTTTGTTTTGGGGTATTTAACGAGTTGTTTTTTTCTTAAAATGCAATGTGACGGAACCTTTATATACCAGAATTAATTCTATCGTAGTTTTCGTCTAGTAATAGGTTGTCCCATAAAAAATTGCCGTTTTTCAAAAATTGCCGCTGTTTCAACCACTTTCTTCCGGTTTTTTTTGAGCCAACGCCATACTGTCATCCTTCAGCAATAGCTTTGTGCCAAAATCCGAGTCGTTCCTTCGGGATTTTGCTGAAGTTCGCGCCTCAACGTCTGTCGATTCACTTTTCTGGGACGACCGCTTCCTCGCTTTCGTGTGAGCCGGTTGTCACCTTTTCGGAACTTCTGAAACCACCATCGTGTAGTCCTTTCCTTGACGATTGTTGGCCCATAAAAGAATTGATTTCTCTCGCTGCTTTGGCTGCGGAAATCCTCCTCAAATATCGTTGATGGATTATTGATGGATTTCTTTACGAGACAGCGCCATGTGATCGATCACAACTTTTTTTGTTTTTGATTCCTAAAAAAGAGAATTTAGCACATAAAACTAGAATTGTAAATTAGTATAATAAAAAAAAGAGAAAGAAAAAGTGTTAATTTGTCGCTGAATACGAATCAAATGAAAAAACGGCAATTTTTTATGGGACAACCTAATAGATTGCGGTAACAATTTAATTAACAACAATTAACAAACGTCAACCAACAAATGACCGTTAACAACCAGCAAATGACCGTTAACAACCAGTAAACCGTTAACAACCAGCAAATGACCGTTAAGAACCAGCTAATGACCGTTAAGAACCAGCAAATGACCGTTAAGAACCAGCAAATGACCGTTAAGAACCAGCTAATGACCGTTAAAGATATTCAGCTAATCAATTGAAAGCTAATTAACGGCTTTGTTTTGGGGTATTTAATGAGTTGTTTTTTCTTTCTTTTCACATTTTTGTCATCTTTTATTAAGTTTTTCGCCTTTTCTACCCCCTCTTTACATCTTTTTTCTTTTAACACTTACTAGCACGCGTAATAGTGAGTTCCTAAGAAAAAAGTTGCTAGTTAACGGTTTATTAGTTGTTTTTGAAAGGTATTTAGAAAAGTTTTTTTTATTTCAATGTTCTATATCTACAGATCAACAAGTTGTTTAAAAAGTATTAAGAAAATGATATTATCAATCAATTCAAATCAAAATTTCCACAATTTTCAATGATTTCTAAAAGGTAAAACGATGAGAAAGTATTAATTAAAAACTTGTTGTTTTCTTTAGCTTTCGTTTGTCAGCTCCGAGCCAAACTAATATTTTAGTTACTATTGTTATTATTGAATGATTTGTCTATTCTTATGTAAATGTGTTCTCCCCTGTGCTTATCCCTTTTATTGCCGAGAAGGGACGGTCCTTGGGATTGCCTAGAAGGACAGTGAGGAGCCTAGAAGGACAGTGAGGAGTCTAGAAGGACAGTGAGGAGCCTAGAAGGACAGTGAGGAGTCTAGAAGGACAGTGAGGAGCCTAGAAGGACAGTGAGGAGCCTAGGAGGACAAGACTCTCATTTGGAGTCCCCCCAGGAACGAACACCTAGGAACGAATACGTTAATGAAAGAGTAATAATTCTGAATTTCCGTAAGAACCTTGGCCTTAGCTACTCCTTAAAAAATCTAATGAAAAACAAAAAAGCAAAAGCTAAATGAAAGCGAGCGGGATTCGAAAACTCGAGGGTTGGCCTTTGGCCTCCTTGGCAAGAACACTAACCACTCGGCCAAACCAGTAGCGCGCGCCGGTCACTGAGAACGGCTTATAATGGTTCGAAGCAAAAATCGGATTTTGCTGGGGACCGGAATACCCTTTGCAAAAGTCAGATCAGGTAAAGTCAACCTAAACCAGGCTAGCTCTGATCTGACCTAGCTAAGCCTGGTCAGATCAGAGCTAAGCTAGGTCAGACCAAGTCAAATTTGAACAAGAGCCTGGTTTCTGACTAGTCAAAGTCCTACCCAGTTCAAAACCTGACTTCTAACCTTTCCCTAGGAGAATTGCCATTGAAAAAGCTATGATTTGTGATTAGTTTTTGTTTATATTTCTCTCAATTCACCCCCAAGATTCGCTGCTTTGTCGACGAGATTCGCGATGACGATCAGTGAGCAATCTTCCGGTTTTTTCCACTCTATAGTCACCAATTTTCGTTGTAGATTCAGTTCCTCGTTGGCTTCATCTGAAAAGATTACTTATTTTTTACAAATTTAACTATTCACCAATTTCTTTGCTGTCTTTTTCTTCAATTTCCATTTCCGGAGCGCAAGTGTTGCATTTGGAGAGAGCTGAAAGGGATTTTGATTGCATTTGATACCTTTTGCAAGTGTTTAGCAAGCGTTTAGCAATCTAACTTTCGCAACTTATGACTTAGTGTGCCAGAAAGACTGTGTTTCTGGGGCTGTGAGCTGTGAGCACAAAGAACTAGTAAAGTTTGTGGCTATTTGTTGGCTTTGATTGTGTTTTCTTTGTGCTTGAACAGGAAAAACGGCCAATTCCGGCAAACTGTTGAACAGCCAATTCCCTCAAACCATTTCAATTATCCAAATCCCGTTCCTTTCTACAGCTTTGACCAGAAATTATGTAAATTTACAAGGATTTTCTTTAGCTCTTCTTTATTTTTTTCGAACCTAAGCCTAAGCCCAAGAACTTACAATTGTGGACCAAAGATTTCGCTTGCAAGAACTCCCGATCCGGGTTCAACGATCGATATTCGGTCTCGTTCAACTCGAGAATGATTCTGAATGAAATTTCTCGAAAGCCAATCGAAAGCTAATCGAAAGCCAATCGAAAGCTAATCGAAAGCTAATCAAAAGCCAATCGAAAGCTAATCGAAAGCCAATCGAAAGCTAATCGAAAGCTAATCGAAAGCCAATCGTAAGCCAATCGAAAGCCAATCGAAAGCTAATCGTTTTTCAAACCTTTCCGTAATCCATTCCTCATCGGGCATTCCCGTATTTTCGACAATTTTTCGCAAAATCGTTTGCAAATCGAAATGCTCGACCGAATGCAAATGGGAAAAGTAGAAATCGGAGCAGAGATTGTCGATCACACGACGGGAATTGCTGGAAGCGAGAAATTGTTTTTGGTTCAAGTTTTTGGTTACTTTAAACTTTAGAAATTGTGTTACAGTAACCCGAAAGTAGGTTAGGGAATAGAAACGGGTTACGGTAGGCGCCCAAAAGGCCCCAAAAGGCCCCAAAAGGCCCCAAAAGACCCCAAAAGACCCCAAAAGACCCCCAAAAGGCCAGGATTCTACCGTAATACTTAATGGATCTTTGTCCTTGCTTATCGGTCAAATTAGTGCCAACAAAAGTCACATATTTCTTGTTAGTATCCAGCTACCGTAACCCGCTACCGTAACCCGCTACCGTAACCCGTTTCTATTCCACGGTTGATAAGCAAGTCTATTTATAAATTGCTTATAGTACAGAGTTGTTAGGGAAGCCCCACTTCTACAGTAAAACCCTAAGTACCCCTGTATAAGGATTTCTACTGTAGGTTTAGGATCTATATAGCTTGATACCGTAACCCTAACTACTGTATCAAAGCTACGACTTTAAACTACCGTAAATATACACTAAACTACTGTTTTGATTGTCCCCCCTCTGCCCCTCGAGTACCCCCTAAGTGTCCCCCTTGCCAGAGGCATTTTGCGTTTTTCTCGACGCACAATTTACCAATTTCGCTGTTTTTGTTTTCATTGGATAGAGGAGAGTTAGACGCATCGAATGAGACCAAAAACAGCGAAATTGATAGATTGTGTGTCGAGAAAAAGGCAAAATGCCTCTGGCAAGGGGGCACTCAGAGGGGTACTCGAGGGGCAGAGGGGCACTCGAGGGGCCAAGGGGGGACACTCGGAATTTATAACCTACCTACATTACCCCCAACTAAGACCCAAATTTAACCAGTAGCTTTTGAAAAAATGAAAAAAATCACAAACCCAGCCGGTTCCGCATCAAAATCGATAATCGATTTGAGGACTTTCCAGCTGTTTTTCGATTCATCCGGCAAATATCCATACAATAATTTTGAGGCGGCGATCGCTGTGCAGCGAACGGAAAAGTTCTGGGCGGAAGTCCACGGAGCAATCAAGGCCAAAATTCTCTCCAATATGCCCTGAAATGGTTTGGATTGGGTTTTCCCATAAAACTTTACCAAGTCCTCCCTCTTTATCCGCGCAAACAGCGTTAAGATATTCAGCCAAGAGGTCACACTTCCGATTCGCGTTGTGGCGAACTGAATAAGATGAATGACTACTATAATATTATTATATCGTTCCAATATTATCGATTTTTCGGTCTCCCCTAAAATTCTATTGCTTGCCCTAGCTAGCTTTGCCCTACAGCTATGCCCAGATTTTCAAGAGCTCAAAATTAACTGTGTTTGATGGATCTTTATCCGGTTTTCCGTGTCATTAGCTTTATTTCTATTATTCTATTATAGGCTTCCTATTATTCCTATTAGAGTTCGGCAAACAAAACCAAAACCAAAACAGACCAAAACCAAAACCAAAACACCAAAACAAACCAAAACCAAAACACCAAAGCAAACCAAAACTCAATTTGCATATAATAGGTTTTGTTTGCTTTTGTTTGTTTGCAAATTAACATGTAAATTTAAAATTGTAAAATGCAAATTTTCCTTTCACTTTTTCTCATTCCCCAAAATCTCGCGGTCGAAAAAAGGACCAAAACACGACCTCGAATTATCAATGATTCTGTGTTGAATGATACCAAATACTTGATGGTTGGACACGTCCGGACCCACTCATTCATAATCGGCTTTCAAAACAAAAAATAGCCTATGGGATAGATTTTTGGACGCTGATTTCAAATCTGCGAACAGATTTTCGCTAGCTCCTCCCAATCGCGAGATATTGGCGAGTTTTGGTTAGTTTTGGTTTTGGTTTTGGTTAGTTTTGGTTTTGGTCTGTTTTGGTTTTGGTGGTTTTGGTTTTGGTTAAGTTTTGGTTTCCGAAGTCTAACTCCTATTATAGGCTTCCTATTATTCTATTATAGACTTCCTATTATTCCTATTATTCCTATTATTCCAAACTCCTTGAAGTCTTTAGAAAATGACTTTAGAATATTCAAGATCTCGTTATTTGAGTGTTAACAAATCCGAAAAGGTAAAAAATTTCATCTAAAGTGTCGTTCTAATAGAAGAAATGCGGTATGTAGAAAAAAAGATGTAAACTTTGTTTATAGTTCGAGTTATAGTTAGATCTTAGTCTTTGTAGATATATAACAATTCAATAGATCCGGTAGCTAAATCAGTCAATGTCTAGAAGCTAGTTCAAATCAGACCCTAGCCAATTTTTGTTATTTGAGCCTGAAGTACATACCGTAAATACTGTAATAGTCCCCCACAATGACGGTGCGGAGCGTTGCGTAGTCTAGCTTTGAACGAGTGTTTCTCGACACTGGTTTATGCTACAATGCGCGCTTAGGTATCAAAAGATAGCTGAAATTCAGGGCTATTTTTTGATACCTAAGCGCGAATTGTAGCATAAACCAGTGTCAAGAAAAACGCGTCCAAAGCTAGACTACGCAACGCTCCGCACCGTCATTTACTACTAGTACTAAAAACGACTACGCGACTGTACGAGGCGGGTACTATTGCAGGATTTACGGTAGTTTAGTGCTCACATGTTCTTGCGCTTTCACGATTTGCTCGAAAACTTCGCCATCCCGATTCGCGCATGTCACCATGATCCATTCAACGAGAAGTTTGATGGAGAATTGTTGGCAGGGATCGATCACGAAACGGATACAGCAATCGATGATTTGAGAAAGGATTTTCTAAAAACCTCGGGTTTTTCCTCTTGACAAAACCGTTTCCTCAACGTTTTCTCTTGACGAAACCGTGTCAACTTTTTCGACTACCATTTTCGATTACACTTTATTCAATCAATCTACTTTTGATTTGATTCTGTGAGTGTCCACAAAGGATATTGAAATACCCAAAAAGGAGATCTAGTTAGAAAAGTGCGAACGAATCGGCGCCGTTCATTTCAGTGTCAACGAATCAGCACGCGTTCATTTCAACGCCGCGTAAAAAACGCCGCGAAAACATTCATTTTCAGCGCCACGTAGAGCTTCAAAAATGTTTTCATAGATGGGAATCGTATGCGTAGATTCAGAATTTCGACAAATCAGACCTCGCTGACACGTCAAATTTGGACTAAAAGGCAAAAACTGCGGAAAAGCGTTAAGTTGCGTAGTTTTTGCCTTTTAGCCTAAATTTGACGTGTCAGCGAGGTCTGATTTGTCGAAATTCGGAATCTACGCATACGATTCCCTTCTATGAAAACATTTTTGAAGCTCTACGACCTTGCCTAAGGCCTTTTCCAGCAAAAAAAAGGTGCGCAAATGTCCAGGTGCGCAAAAAAAGATCGCATTTGTCCCACCCCCTGAAAACGTTCATTTCAACGCGACTAGGTTTTAAAATTCTTGATTCTCGTGTTGCTTTTGCATGTTTTTATCGTTTCCCTATTGTTTTTGCACTTTTTTTCATCTATTGCACCTAGAGCGCGGCCATATGCGCTAAAAAACGACCAAAATTAGCTCGATTTATCCATTTCTTAGCGATAAAGTATACGAGAATCTTTGTATGCTTGCCGTTCAGAAGTCACTTCCCCAATTTTCCTCACAGTCGCCGTAAATTTTAAAAAAAACCATCAACAACGGAAAATCGCGCTTCAAAATGGTGCATTAAGAAATCTCCCATTGGGCATCTAAAATCTTTGGCCGCTTTTGTTCATTTCAAGTAATTGTTGTTTTTTCTGTTGAATTTTATTGTTATTATTGTTGAAATACAAATAAACATGTGAAAACTTTGAAATCATTGAAATCCTTGAAATCCTCGAAAAAGAAAACACTAAAACCAAGTGTATAAAGAAAATGATTGCGTTGACGCTGAAATGAACGGCACTGATTCGTTTGCGCTGTTCTAGCTAGGTCCCCCAAAAAATAGATATGTCGTAGCCGATTATGAATGAAATTTTTTGGCAAATCTTTCTAGTAGAGCAACCCTTTAATGTATGAGGACAATATTATATCATTTTGTAGCGAATTCAATTCTGCGTCGATTGGTACCAAATTTGTGAGTTTAGGTTAAAAATTGCCGGCGCTACAACGTTTCATTCAAAATCGGCGGGACCCCCGTAGCCGATTATGAATGAGTGGGTCTAGTCTAGGTCTAGGTCTAGGTCCAGGTCCAGGTCTAGGACCAGGTCCAGGTCCAGGTCTAGGTCCAGATCCAGGTCTAGGTCTAGGTCCAGGTCCAGGTCTAGGTCCAGGTCTAGGTCTAGGTCCAGATCCAGGTCCAGGTCTAGGTCTAGGTCTAGGTCCAGATCCAGGTCTAGGACCAGGTCCAGGTCCAGGTCTAGGTCCAGGTCCAGGTCTAGGTCCAGGTCTAGGTCTAGGTCTAGGTCTGGGAGCGTCCAACCATCAAGTATTTGGTATCATTCAACGCAGAATCATTGATAATTATGTTAAATTTTTTAAATTAGCAAGATTTGATAAAAAGAAAAAAAATTAGAGCAAAAAACTGTTTGTTCAAGAGAAAACTTTGAAGCCCCATAATTTTTTTCTTTTTATCAAATCTTTCTAGTTTTAAAAATTTAACATAATTATCAATGATTCTGCGTTGAATGATACCAAACAATTGATGATTGGACGCTCCTAGACCCACTCATTCATAATCGGCTGAAATTCATCATCGGCCACGACAGATAGATTAGATAAAAACTAGAGACGGTACGGTAGTTTTGACACGCTTTAGAAAACCGATTATTTGATAGTAACAGTTTTTTTACTTGATCTTTTAGATAGACGATCGAGAGAAGCAACAATTGCAGGGCTCTCGTTTTTCCGCGATGAGCATAGGAGAGGCCAAATGATCTAGAGATTTACTTTGAGCTAAACTTATAAACGCACACTTTCTGGCGCACTGAATTCTTCATTTTTCTCTCAGCAACGCTTTGGTGTCGCTAGAAAAACGAAGGATCGAGCGCGCCAGGAAGGGTACGTTTTTATGGTTTTTACGTAAAAACGGTCTAGACTGAATACTCTAATCTAGACGGAATAACCAAATCTAGACTGAATACCGTAATCTAGACTAGATACCGTCATCTAGACTAAATACTGTAATCTAGCTATTCTAGACTGAATATCCTATTCCTGATCCATACCGTAATCCTGACAGTTTAGACTGAATACTCTAATCTAGACTGAATACTCTATATCGACTGAATGCCCTAATCTAGATTGAGCTAATCTAGAAAACAAGTTTTTACGTTTTGAGCACAAAGCATAGTTAAAAAGAAACCTGCTCGTGCTTTTGTCCATCTCCAGGCACTGTTTGATAATCTCCAAATGGAGTGCATCGGTGAATTTTTCGTCTCTCAAACAGCACTGAATCGCCACACTGATCGCCGTCATTCGGCACCTCTGGACGACTTCGTGAATTCTGTAAAGAAATCCGTAAATTTGCCACAATCTCCTTTTCAACCTTTCAAATCTTTCCGATGAATCAGCTTCATTCTCTGGATATATCAAATTGTATGAGGCATTCAAGACATGACCGGCTTTCGTGGGAATCGGCCCAAAAGTTGCGACTGCGAAAATCTGAAAATTACTTAATAAACTGTAAATAAATGATTATAATAAATGATTATAATATTAAGATATTTAAGAAATGTGAATAATCCGCTTTCTGCCCCGCTTGCTGCCCCGTTTTCTGCCCCGCTTTCTGCCCCGTTTTCTGCCCCGTTTTCTGCCCCGTTTTCTGCCCCGCTTTCTACCCCACTTTGCTAACGATAAACATCATCTTTTTTTAATTCATCTAAGTCCACAAAATCTTATTTTGTGGGCGCATGAGAAAGGTTGAAATGCGATGAAATGTTTCGAGTGAAGACACAAAATATGTTTTTGTGCATTTTGCGTTTTAGATGTTGCGCTGAATTCTATAAAGTGCCTAGAAAAGTCTTTGTCGGGCTTATGGTAATGGGCAGTTTATAAACGGGAAAATTTGCAAAGAATTTCATTCTGATTGATTTTTGTTTGATTGTTTGCTTTTTGTTTGATTGATTGCTTTTTGTTTGATTGTTTGCTTTCGGTTACTGTAGTCACTTTCTGCCCCCCACTTTCCGCCCCCCACTTTCCGCCCTCCACCTTCTACCCTCCACCTTCTACCCTCCACCTTCTACCCTCCACCTTCTGCTCTCCACTTTCTGCCCCCCACCTTCTGCCCCCACTTTCCGCCCCAGTATTAATATTTTATTTATTTACGGTATCTTGAAGATGAGTAAAAGTAAACCATGATTATATCATATTCCCAACTACATTAATCCCAGTTTACAGTATCCTACACAATCCCAGGCTGCGCATTTTCAGCTACAGATACGGTTCCAATACGGTTCTTTTTAGATCCAATACTGTTCCAATAAGGCTCCAATACGGTTCTTTTTAGATTCAATACTGTTCCAATACGGTTCTTTTTAGATCCAATACTGTTCCAATACGGTTCCAATACGGCCCTTTCTTGAACCCTTAGTAGACTTTTTAGCTTTCTGCCCCATTTTTTTTGAATGAAACCTGTTCAGTCCATTTCTCATCTAGCCATCCTTGCGCATATTGCAGCGATTCAGCGAGCACCATAGCCACTGGCTGAGACAATGAGGCGGCTTTGAGTTGTGCGGTGAAAAGTTTCTGAAAGTTGACGAAAAATAAGAATAAGAGATTTTTCCCAATAAAAGTTATAAATTTTTAAAGTACAGTTCTCGTTTTATCGGACCAATTCATTACCATTGCCTGTTCAGTTGTTTTCTCTCTCTTCAACATTTCCCAATGCAAAGCGATTCTCATCATTTGTCTGATCGATGGTAAAGAGTTGAGACTTTTTTGCTCCTCATTGCACACCATCGATGCGGCGGCAATGCATTGGGAAAGAAGGGTCTCGTCGGTGATCTGTAAACCGATTTTGTTGTACCGTAGATGTTCAGCCAAGATACTCAATGTCGGTTGAGTGATATCAGGGCTACAGTACGCTTAAGCTAGCCTACAGTACGCTTAAGCTAGCCTACAGTACGCTTAAGTAGTCTACAGTACGCTTAAGTAGTCTACAGTACGCTTAAGTAGTCTACAGTACGCTTAAGTAGTCTACAGTACGCTTAAGCTAGCCTACAGTACGCTTAAGTAGTCTACAGTACGCTTAAGTAGTCTACAGTACGCTTAAGCTAGCCTACAGTACGCTTAAGTAGTCTACAGTACGCTTAAGCTAGCCTACATACGCTTAAGTAGCCTACAGTACGCTTAAGTAGCCTACAGTACGCTTAAGCTAGCCTACATACGCTTAAGTAGCCTACAGTACGCTTAAGTAGCCTACAGTACGCTTAAGCTAGCCTACATACGCTTAAGTAGCCTACAGTACGCTTAAGTAGCCTACAGTACGCTTAAGTAGCCTACAGTACGCTAAAGCCAGCCTACAGTACGCTAAAGCTAGCCTACAGTACCCTAAAGCTAGCCTACAGTATCCCTAACCCTGTCCTAGCCCAAAATGGAGATTCAGAGAAGCAAAAGGGTACGTACGGGTTTTGAGATACTGTTAGTATTATCATTGTTCATTGTCTCATTGTCTCATTGTCTCATTCTATACAGTACGCTGTACAATAGTTGATTCCATTCGCCCACCTTCTTCAAACACTCTTCCACCACTTTTAACAATTCCAATTTTCGCTCGAAACTCGACGCGCATTCGATGGCCTAAATTGATAAAAATTGATAAAAATTAAGGCTCTTGCGTAGTTTTCGGGTATTTCGAACGGGTCGTCTTTGAAGGCCTATAACTTTGCCCAGAGACAATCATTTTGCTAACTTTTTATATCATTGGACAGAGTACATTTCAGGCTTTCAAATGATACCAAATAGAGGTTAATTGGATTTTTTGATGCTAATTCTGATGCAAACAAGGTGACACGACTCTCGAGTTGGATAGGTCTCATTTGCTCAGAGTTGGCTCTGCTTTTCATGAACTGGATTATCCAATTAACCTCTATTTGATATCATTTGAAAGCCTGAAATGTCCTCTATACAATGATATTAAAGCTTTTGATAATATGCTCTCTAGACAAAGTTATGGACCTTTAAATCACCGCGCACATCCGCGCGAAAATGCGATCGCCGTTAAATTTGCTCAAGATAAGTGCTATTCGATGCGAAAAAATGTCCTGAATCCAAATTTGAAAGAATTTTTCGAATCCGTCTGACAGATTTTTTTAAATCGAAAAAAATCGAAAAAATCACTATTTTTCCATATAAACGCCAAAATTGCCTCTCTTTTACAGGCTGGTTTTCGGCGAAAAGGAAATTTTGGTGAGCGTCATATACCAAACTTTATGCTCAAGGGTCTTGTGCACATTTTGACACCAAAACGAGATCAATTGGGTGAATCTGTGAAAAGTTGATGCCTTTTCAAACACAAACGTAGCGTTTTTCAACTTTCTGCGCGCTAAAGCGTGGGTAAACTACCGGAACTGTTACAAAAAAAAAACAAAATTATAAAAGAAACAAATGTATTTTTATGAATTTTTTTCAATTCTTTTTGTTTTTCTTCACTTCAATCAAAATTTTGGCTCTTTTTTTATTGTTTACATAATTTTGATTTCAACGAATGATTTGTGTATTACAGGTTACAGGTTTTACAGGGTCATCAGTTGGAAACAAAATTATGTAAACAATTAAAAGTGAGCCAAAATTTTGATTGAAGTGAAGAAAAACAAAAAGAATTGAAAAAATTCATAAAAACACATTTGTTTGTTTTATAATTTTGTTTTTTTTTTTAATAGTTCCGGTAGTTTACCCACGCATGGCGCGCAGAAAGTTGAAAAACGCTACTTTTGCGTTCAAAAGGCATCAACTTTTCACAGATTCACCCAATTGATCTCGTTTTGGTGTCAAAATGTGCACAAGACCATTGAGCATAAAGTTTGGTATATGACGCTCACCAAAATTTCCTTTTCGCCGAGAACCAGCCTGTAAAAGAGAGGCAATTTTGTCGTTTATATAGAAAAATAGTGATTTTTTCGATTTTTTTTGATTTAAAAAAATCTGTCAGACGGATTTGAAAAATTCTTTCAAATTTGGATTCAGGACATTTTTTCGCATCGAATAGCACTTATCTTGAGCAAATTTAACGGCGATCGCATTTTTTGCCTTATTTCGCGCGGACGTGCCGCGTCTCATTCAGAGTACCCGGTCTCGGGCTTAGAGTTGGCTCTGATTTCCTGGGACTCGATTATCCAATCAAGCTCTATTTGGTATCATTTGAAAGCCTGGAATGTCCTCTATACAATGATATAAAAATTTAGCAAAAATATTGTCTCTGGACAAAGTTATAGGCCTTCAAAGACGACCCCTTCAAACTACCCGAAAACTATGCAAGAGTCGAAATTAACAATAAACTACTTAACAATAACTTTTCTGAAACAAACCTCAAGTGCCTCATTGACCAATGCTGAATGATCGGTGACATCTTTGAGATAAAAGGCTCTAGAATTTGACTCTAGAATTTGGATACAGTAAGCTTTGATTCACAGGGTTTACAGTCAGAGATTATTCCAGAATTTGTTGCCGAATTTGTTGCTATTCCAGGTTGTTTAGGTTGCTGGAATGAGACTTAATAATACTAGTTTGATGTGAGTAACATTAGCAAGCCTCGTTCCAGTAAGATTAGCCTGGAAGCTGCAAGCCTGGAAGCTGCAAGCCTGGAAGCTGCAAGCCTGGAAGCTGCAAGCCTGGAAGCTGCAAGCCTGGAAGCTGCAAGCCTGGAAGCTGCAAGCCTGGAAGCTGCAAGCCTGGAAGCTGCAAGCCTGGAAGCTGCAAGCCTGGAAGCTGCAAGCCTGGAAGCTGCAAGCCTGGAAGCACTTCCGTAATCTCCAAAGGCTTAATCTCAGCTGAATGTAAATGCAGTCATTGAATATACAGGGTGCGGCAGAATTATAGGTGCATGACATAAAGACGGAAAACGAGCCTTCGCTCTTGATTTTGCACTCGAATTTATGTTTTTGTTGTTATTTTATGATTGAATTTGTATTTGTAAATTATAATTTTTTATAACTTTGAGTTTCAGGCTATGGTTCGCGCTTCCCCGCATCGACAATTGATCGTGGAACTTCATCGGAAGGGCGAATCGGCGACCGTGATCGGAAGAAAGTTGGGAGTGCATCGAAACGTTGTTAACCGAGCCATTCAACGCTACAACGAGTTGGGATCAATGTCTGATCGGCCGCGAGGAGGTGTTCGTCCATCTGTGGTGACGAAAGGCAACATCAAGAAGGTCAGGGATCGCCTGCGAAAGAAGCCCAATCAGTCCGCTCGAAGAATTGCCAAACATATGGGTGTATCCGATCGATCAATCCGTCGAATTATCAAGGACAAGCTCAAGTTCAAGCCCTACAAGAAGAACAAATCCGCTCTGCTTTCGGCAGACGCCAAATTGAAGAGAAAAGATCGATGTGAAAGCCTTCGTCTTCGTTTCAACGGAATCGACCACAGGAACATTTTGTTCACCGATGAGAAATTTTTAAGATTGAAGGAATTCTGAACAAGCAGAACGATCGAGTTTGGTCGAAAACTCAACCAAATGTTACCGTCGGTCGCAGCGGCCACCCAGCTTCAGTCATGGTTTTTGGCGGTGTGACGGCTTCCGGCAAGACACCACTGATTTTTGTGCCACAAGGAGTCAAAGTTAATGCGAACACGTACTTGGATATGCTAAAGAAAGAACTTGTTCCCTGGGCTCAAAATCACTTCCAAAATCGCATCTGGACCTTCCAGCAAGATGGTGCTCCCGCTCACAAAGCCAAGATTGTTCAGGATTTCTGCAAAGCGACTTTTCCCGACTTCATTGCATTCAACGAGTGGCCCCCAAGCTCCCCAGACCTCAATCCATTGGATTTCTCGGTCTGGTCTGTTCTTGAAGCCGAGGCCTGTCAGAAACCTCACAAAAACCTCGAAAGTTTGAAGAAATCTCTCTTGAAAGCCTGGGAGGGTCTGGACGCCGCCTACTTGGTCGCCACGGTCGACGCCTTTCCCAAGCGACTCAAGTCTTGCATCGACGCCAAAGGAGGAAGATTCGAATATGATCAATAAAAGTTGTTAATTTAAGTTCAATAAATATGTTAAAACCGTTTTTGTGGCAAATTTTTACTCTCTGATACTGAAAAAGTACCAGGTACCTAATTAGCTTATTTTCAGAGTTTCCGAGCCTGACCTGGCCCTGACCTGACATGGCCCTGAGCTGGGCAGGGCCTGACCTAGCCCTGACCTGGCCAGAGCCTGAGCTGGCCAGAGCTGGCCAGAGCCTGAGCTGGCCAGAGCCTGACCTGGGTCCACCAGAAGCCAGGCCTGGGTCCACCAGAAGCCAGGCCTGACTTGAACTTGGACATCCAGTGCCCTTGAATTTGGACATGGACATTGAATCAGACTTTTAAAAGCTTAAAACTGAAAGAATTGCTTTGAATTGAAAGGCTGAAAGACTTGAATTGCAGCACTTAAAAACCCTGCTTATTTATTCGCTCTAAAGATATTCAGCTATAGATCTATGCAAATTTTTTATTCTTTACCGGAAGATCTTTGTCCTCGACGTGTGCAGAGACTCGCAAATCCTCTGGAAATCGGTTTTCGACAGGTCGCTAATAGTTCTAAAAATGCATTTACTGAAAAAGTACTGAAAAAGTTCAAAATCAGAGAAAAAGCTAATCCCAAAGTACAGTAATTCCAAAGTACAGTAATTCCATTGGCGGCTACAGTAATTACTCCAGGATTACTCCAAGATTACTCCAGGATTACTCCAAGATTACTCCCAAGTTCCCAAAAAAGAGAAAATCTCCTTACTTTTGCGATAAAGCCATAGAAAACGGTTTATCGTTGAAATATTTCCGTAGCTCTTCGAAAACCCATTCCGAGCTGTTGCTCGATTTTTCCAGGCATTGTTGAAGAATGAGATAGATTAGAGACAATTTTTCTGTTGGAATTGACTAAAATTTGCGTAAATATCGGGTTATTGATGTTTTTAAAGAACCTGTTTCAAGATCTCGGTGATCGCTTTTGGGAGTAAATCGATGAGTGCGGGAAGCTTGAAAACGAGTGGAAGAAGGACGAGTGAGACGAGGGATCGATCTTCATTCTGAGTGAGGGTACTTTGTGCTCAATTGTCGCACTTTCTGCCCCAAATATGTAAACACATCCCCCTCTGGCGCACTGAGTTCTTCATTTTTCTTTACCAATCCTTGCAATGAGAGAAATTGCGGAATTGTGCTCAAGCTTCTAGATGTATTGGGTTGATGGAAAAGTCCTTTCCGATTTTTTGGGAGAGTACCTTAAATTTGTCGAATTTAGACGTTTTATAGCTCATCCTAAAGCTGAATTCAAGACGGATCGATTGGTAAAAACCGTTTTGACATATCTCTTTTCTAAAATTTTTTACAGCTATTTTAGTAAAGGGCGGCAGAGCCAAAAAGTGGCTGTTTTCACGTTTCGTTAGTTTTCTGTGCAGAAACCTAGGCTAAAAACATGTGTTTCGTGATCAGCGTCAAAAATAACCCCTAGACATGCATTTTCAGAATCTTAGCAAAAAATTTTTGAAAAATATTGTCACCGGTGGAAGTCGAACCAGCGACCCTCAGATCAATAGCCTTTTCGCCGCTTTTCGCGATTTTCCTTCGTTTTTCTCGTTTTTAGTTTTACCAATCGATCCGTCTTGAATTCAGCTTTAGGATGAGCTATAAAACGTCAAAATTCGACAAATTTAAGGTACTCTCCCAAAAAATCGGAAAGGACTTTTCCATCAACCCAATACTTTGTGTCCGAGTTCTGTGCACCCTTCTGGTGCACTCGTTTCCCCAGTTGTCCCCAGTTCCTCAGTTTCTTGAGACCGAAGTCTTATTGCAAGAAGAATGAAGATTTGCATGTGCTAGAAAGAGTGCGCTCACCAGAGCACAGAGCACAAGAGCACAAAGCAAATATCAGTTTTTGACGAAACTTTCTACTTACCGTGCCACGTAGCATAAACAAACGCATTGTGAGGTAATCGGTGAGAATGCGCGCGAAACTCGATGACTCTTCCGGATTCCTGTTTTCGGTTTTGACTAAAAAATAAGCTATTCTAAGAATTAGTTAGATTATTTGTTTATCTTTTACAAAATTTACAAGATAAATTACCAGCAGAACAGCGCGCCTAATGACCAAAAGCAAAAAGCAGACCTAATGGCATGGCCAAAAGCCAAGCTACAGTAACCCTTAGTTTGATTTTTTCTTTGATTGTTTGCTTTCGGTTACTGTGGTCACGTTCCGGCGCCCACTTTCAAGCAAACAGCAGCCCTAATGACCAAAAGAAGAACAGTTGGCTTTGTAAATTGGCTTTGAAATTGTAAAAATGATTGCCAAAAACGTATTCCCTGTGTTGGAAAATCGCAAGACGCAAATTTCAGCGTAAAATGCAAATTGTATCCATAGCGCAGTGGATAGCGCGCTCGTCTGCCGCCTCACTCAATGGACGACCCCGGGTTCGATCCCCGCCAGTCACCTACTTTGACTTTTTGTAAAAATCCTTTTGTAAAGCCACAACTACATGAAATTTCATTAGACACGTGTTTCAGCGTTTTTTAAAAGGGCTTAAAAGGGTTTAAAATACTCAAAGCGAACGCCTGAAGTGCGCGGATGGAGGGAGATTAGGAGAGATGGACCGAGATTATTCTTTTGATACAGTAGTGGACTCATGTTAGACATGTCCATTTTCGAGTTTTGGCGGCCGGGTCTGGTCAGTGGGTCGCATCAAGCTCAAAATTTTTGCCGGGTCGGGTCAGCGGGTCACCCGGGAAAATAGCCGGGTCGCGGGTCGGGTCAGCGGGTCGGGTCAGCGGGTCGGGTCAGCGGGTCGGGTCAGCGGGTCGGGTCAGCGGGTCGGGTCAGCGGGTCGGGTCAGCGGGTCGGGTCAGCGGGTCGGGTCAGCGGGTCGGGTCAGCGGGTCGGGTCAGCGGGTCGGGTCAGCGGGTCGGGTCAGCGGGTCGGGTCAGCGGGTCGGGTCAGCGGGTCGGGTCAGCGGGTCGGGTCAGCGGGTCGGGTCAGCGGGTCGGGTCAGCGGGTCGGGTCAGCGGGTCGGGTCAGCGGGTCACCCGGGAAAATAGCCGGGTCAGCGGGTCACTTTTGACCCGACCCGACCCGCTGCCCATGTCTAACTCATATAAACTAGGCATCGGCCTAAGCCCAAGCCATTTTACTTTTGGCTAAAAGCCAGCTGGTAATGCCGGCTGGTTAAATGCTGGCTTTAGATAAAGTTGGAAAAGTAGCAAAGAAAATCAAAGCAGTCAAAGCAATCAAAGCAACCAAAGCAATCAAAGCAATCTTACCCCTTTCCGGTTTTCTCAGCCAAACATGCAGAAGTGCTTCAGTTCCTTTAAATGAAAGTCCCTCGTCGATCAGCTCGACAATATTCTAAAAGTTAATACGAATTTTAGGCAATCAAAGTCTTTGCCGAGCATCCTTTATTTCTTCCCTTGTAGTTTGTTTTCTAAATTTCTAGAATGAGCTAACTTTCCCGTACTTTACTCCAAAAAATCCACTTTTACAAGCTAATTTTTGGTCTATTTCGGTGAGGATTCACAAGTGAAAACGAAAGAAAAAAAAATGGAATGAATAAAAACTGGAGACAGGATTACGGTAAGCAAAAAAAAATTGACACGTTTTTAGAAACGTTTTCATTTTATCAAACTCCACTCACTCTCTCAAGTTCGACTTCGAATTGAATGGCCACTTGATTGCCTTCAGAGCAAGCGAAAGTCCAGAACAACCATCCCGGATCATCAGTCTAGAAGTATTCATATTATTTTGCGAGCCAAGCTCTATCCAGAAATCAGAAATCAAGTTCTTTCATTTTCCATGTCAAAAAGGAAACATAAGGTTCAATTCGTTGATTTAAAGCGGTCAATCCACAAAAGAGTCATGGAGACTTGAGGAGACTCGAGTAATTCTAGGCTACAGTAATCCCAGACCACAGTACCGCTACAATAATCCCAGACTACAGTAGTCTACCGCTACAGTAAGCCCAGACTACAGTGGCCACCCGCTACAGTAATCCTAGACTACAGTAGCCTCCCGCTACAGTAATCCCAGACTGCAGTACCGCTACAATAATCCCAGACTGCGGTGGCCACCCTTTACAGTAAGCCCAGACTACAGTAGCCTCTCGCTACAGTAAGCCCAGACTGCAGTACCGCTACAGTAATCCCAGACTACAGTAGCCTCTCGCTACAGTAATCCCAGACTGCAGTAGCCTCCCTCTACAGTAATCCCAGACTACAGTGGCCGCCCGTTACAGTAAGCCCAGACTACAGTACCGCTACAGTAATCCCAGACTACAGTAACCTCTCGCTACAGTAATCTCAGACAGTAATCCCAAAATACAGTAACCCAAAGCTATTTTATGTATCTTCGTTAACTAGCTTCAAAAACCTTCAAAAGCTTGAAAAACCTCATAATTCCATGGGATTTCCTGAAACATTCTGCACTCCTCTTGTACTAGGAAATGGATTTCCCTTGTTGCAATCGTTTTCTTCAGCATTTTCATCGCTCCACACTCATCCGAATTCCCGGGATCAAGCGAAACGATCGATGAGAAAAAGACGAAACAATGAAGGGGCATTTTTGCCTGGAAAATCTTTTGGCTATCATTTTTTGGCTATCATTTACCCAATCGATGACTCGTGCGAAGAAATCGACGAAATTCCCGATCGCTTTTCGCTTCAATGCAACATACGAGATGTAGTGGACTTTTGCGATGATCTCTCTGGAAACTTGCGCTTGTACTTTGTGCTCGAATTTGTAAGCGCACGCTTGCTGATGCACTTGATTCTCTTCAAACCACGATCCGAAAAGGGGAGTTGGGGAAAGTTTGGGAATCTATTTTATTCTATAACTCGACTTCCAGTAATCAGATTGACTTGAGGTTGGTTTTAAAATGATCCTCATGAAATTTGGTTATAGAAAAGTCGAATTTGTTTTGTATACTCATGTGTTAGAACATAGAGAAAAGTTGAGTCAAAGTTGAACTACCTACCCGAAAAAGTCTATCCACTTAGATCGTCTATAACTCGAGGTATAGAAGCTCAATCAACTGATGGTTGGTTTTATTGGAATCTTCATTAAATTTGACTGAAGAAAAGTAGGATTTGTTTTGTATACTCATGTATAAGAACATTGAGAAAATCTGTGTCAAAGTTGAACTACCTACCCGGAAAAGTCTATCCACTTAGATGGTCTATAACTCGAGGTATAGAAGCTGAATCAACTTATGGTTGGTTTTAAAATGTTCCTCATTAAATTTGACTGAAGAAAAGTAGGATTTGTTTTGTATACTCATGTATAAGAACATTGAGAAAATCTGTGTCAAAGTTGAACTACCTACCCGGAAAAGTCTATCCACTTAGATGGTCTATAACTCGAGGTATAGAAGCTGAATCAACTTATGGTTGGTTTTAAAATGTTCCTCATTAAATTTGACTGAAGAAAAGTAGGATTTGTTTTGTATACTCATGCATAAGAACATCGAGAAAATCTGTGTCAAAGTTGAGATGAAGATGAAAAACGAAGTAATGAAGTGTGCCAGAAGGAGCACGTTTACAGTGATTCTAGGTCTAAAGTCTAAGCCTAAAATCGCGCTTACTTAACAACTCCAATATGTTCCTCGCCGAGGAGTTGACAATCGATGTTTTTGAGTGCTTCGGAGAGGTAAAAGAAAGTGAAAGGGCAACTCAGTCTTGTCATTGACACAAGCAAATCGATGGTGAAGTTCACTGAAATTTTGATTTTTTTTAATACAAAATGCTCACAAAACCAGCTTTTCTATGATCATTTATTTGAATGATTCTCTCGACGATTTCTCCGAGCTTTTGACATTGTTTTTCAAAAGATTCCCTCTCAACAAGTCTCCACAACATATCGGTCGAATTGAGCAACTCGATCAATGTGATGAGGTACTGAAAGAGTTTAGATCGTGGAAAAGGATTGGATGGATTGATTTTAATTGATTACGGTAGCTATTCAGCTATGAAAGCTATTCAGCTATCACAATAGGTTCATCGAGCATAAGGAAAGTGTTTTCTAATCCAAAAAAAACGGGGTAGGCTAATAATTTTCGCCATTCTATTTGCGCAACTCGCCATAACTTTCTTCTAAGTCGACCAATCTTTATGATTTTGGTTTCATTTTGTAGATCTCAATAAGTGTAACAAAATACAAGTAAATACAAGTACAAGCTAGCATTTCTGAAAAGGAAAATCTTGGGTATCACCGACCCCTGTCCTGAGTCATTGAACACTCCTGGTTCAAACCTGCCTAGCAGAACCTAGAGCCTAAAGCCTAAAGCCTAGAGCCTAAAGCCTAGAGCCTAAAGCCTAGAGCCTAGAGCCTAGAGCCTAGAGCCTAGAGCCTAGAGCCTAGAGCCTAGAGCCTAAAGCCTAAAGCCTAGAGCCTAAAGCCTAGAGCCTAGAGCCTAAAGCCTAAAGCCTAAAGCCTAGAGCCTAGAGCCTAAAGCCTAGAGTCATTGAGTCACTTCGTTTCAATGTAAGCTATTACATCATTGAATTTTAAAGAATATTAGAAAGAATATTAAAGATTATTCTGCTTTGAAGAGTTTAAAGAATAAAAGAATAGGAATTTTTAAAGAATATTCTGGGTGTAGGCTAATTTCCGCAATTTTTTTTGCGCAACCGAGTCGTTTGCGCAAGTCGCCATAACTTTCGTCTAAGTCGACCAATCTTTATGATTTTGGTTTGATTTTGTAGATCTCAATAAGTGTAACAAAATGGAGACAATCAAAATCTTGTTCTAACGTTTCAATCATTTACTGTGAATCCCTTAACTCTTTAGACGTTTTTGAGTCAGATTTTAATACTTAACACCGACTTTTTGCGAGATCTCCGGAAACATTCCCAAATAATCGAGTCCACTTTCAAAAGCCCACTCACGAATCCATCCATTCGTGTGAAAAGAGGCTCTAAACAAAGATTTTCTTTCTTATTTATCTTGACACTCATCAGCTTTAAATATCACTTCGATTTTGATCAACTTTAGAACTTTAGAATAACTTTAGAACTATTGGAAAACTTTAGAATTTCGATTTGGATTGAATCCAATTCAGATTTGGATTTATGGTTTGGATCCAAATTGGAAAATTTTGTTGAAAGACACATATCTCCTTCATATTTTCCTATTTACAAACTATTCACAAACTATTTACAAACCTTCTAATCAAAAGCCATATCCACGGGCTATTTAAAGGAATCGATGCCTCATCAACTCGTTGAACGATCGAGTGAAAAAGCGCAAGATTCGGACGAACGATGTGGAACTGAATTGGATTCGTTCAGCTTTCTTAAGTTCAGCTTTTAAATTCAGCTTTTAAATTCAGCTTTTAAGTTCAACCCATCAATTTCTCAATCCAGAGCCAGAGCCAGAGTCAGTCTACCGAATCGGATTAGAATTAAACTACCTACCGTAAATACTGTAATAGTACCCCACCCTCATAATGACGGTGCGGAGTGTTGCGTAGTCTAGCTTTAGAGGCGTTTTTCTCGACACTGGTTTATGCTACAATGCGCGCTTAGATATCAAAAAATAGCTGAAATTCAGGGCTATTTTTTGATACGAAAGACGCATTTTTTGAAAGTACGGGCGCTTTGAAAAAAAATTAAATACTAAAAAACTTTTGCGACTTGCGACTACGCGACTGTACGACGGGGGTGGGGTACTATTACAGTATTTACAGTATATCTGGTAAATATCTGAAACCTGTGGTTCTTCCAGTGCTTCCAATAAGGTGATCATCTCTGTCCACATCTTTCCCGTCACCAATAACTAAAAAAAAACAATTTTGACTATTGGTAACCCTATTTCTCTTTGGTTTCCTTTTCTAAAACGCGTCAATTTTCGGAAACGATCAGCTTATTACAGTAAAGTTAAACCAAAATCACTCAACTCACCTTCAACGCGGCCATTGCCGCTTTTCGGCCACATTTTGTGCTCGTTTCTTGATCGAGATACTCCCGAATTAGTCTCAAAATTTTCTCATTCTGTTTTTTTGAGGTCAGCTTCTCAACGAGAAAACAAAGTGATGGAAGGGCGAATTCAAGTGAATTCGAGTCGAGTGTTTCGTAAAGCCTGAAATGGTTTTTCTTCGGAAAAGGAGTGCGTTTTATTTAAAGTTTTGACAAACTCTTTGAATTCGGCCTCCAGAAGGGGGCCTTTTCTCATACGCCAACTTTCCTGTGGTAAGAAAGCAATTCTAGGCCGGCGCAACCTCCGGTGGTGCATTTTATTTAAAATTTTGACAAACTCTTTGAATTCGGCCTCCAGAAGGGGGCCTTTTCTCATACGCCAACCTCCGGTGGTAAGAAAGCAATTCTAGGCCGGCGCAACCTCCGGTGGTAAGAAAGCAATTCTAGGCCGGCGCAACCTCCGGTGGAATTCGGCCTCCAGAAGGGGGCCTTTTCTCATACGCCAACCTTCCGTTTCCTCTAAAAGCCCCCAGAGTTTCTTTTTTAATCGAGTTATTAAATTCTGGAACATTTTACCCCCTCATGTTCGTGATATTTCCACCTTAGATGATATTTCCACCTAGATTTAAAGCCGCAATTTCGGCAATTGATTTGACTGCTCTGTGATTCTTTTTTGAGGTATCTATTTATCTTTTGGGTGTGTTTTGAGTGGTGTCCCGAGTAATTATTGTGATTTTATTTTGTCGCTATTCAACTGAATAAAGCATATATATATATATATATATATCGTAGCCGATTATGAATGAGTGGGTCTAGGAGCGTCCAACCATCAAGTATTTGGTATCATTCAACGCAGAATCATGAATAATTATGTTAAATTTTTTTAAATTAGAAAGATTGGATAAAAAGAAAAAAAATTATGGGGCCTCAAAGTTTCCTCTTGAACAAACGATTTTTTTGCTCTAATTCTTTTTTCTTTTTATCAAATCTTGCTAATTTTAAAAATTTAACATAATTATCAATGATTCTGCGTTGAATGATACCAAATACTTGATGGTTGGACGCGTCCGGACCCGCTCATTCATAACCGGCTACGGGGGTCGAGCCGATTTTGAATGAAACGTTGTAGGGCCGGTAATTTTTAACCTAAACTCACAAATTTGGTACCAATCGACGCAGAATTGAATTCGCTACATAATGATATAATATTGTCCTCATACATTAAAGGGTTGCTCTACTAGAAAGATTTACCAAAAAATTTCATTCATAATCGGCTACGACATATATAAACTCACATGATCACATTTTCCACCGTTTCCTCACCGCTGGCTGAGTCGACAATTTTCGCGAATTCCTTGTAATTTTCCAATTTTATATTGTCGCTCGTTTCATTCGAGTTGTGACTGCAAATTTCAATGGTGTTTGTGAGAATTTAAATGAAATGTCTACTGCAACCTAAAGTAGACATTTTAATCGTTTACAAAGTATTTTATCGTTTACAAATTATTTACAATCATGGACAAAAGTCTTTTAACATCACAGTTTTTTCGAGAAATTTCTTCTTTTCCTTTTTTGTTTTTTGTTTTTTCTGTTTTCTGTTTTCTTTCCCTTTTTGATTTCTGGTTGCTAATTCTAATTTTTTAGATGCCCGGCGCCTACTTATCAACTTCTGACAAAGAGAAAATCATCAAAGCTCGAAAAAATGGGATGTCTAGAAAAGCGATCGCTAAGCTCTTCCGTTGTACCGAAACAACTGTATCGCTTGTTGTCTCCAAGTGTCTCCAAGTGTCCAAGTGTCCCCAAGTGTCCAAGTGTCTCCAAGTGTCCCCAAGTGTCCAAGTGTCTCCAGCCTAAGCCAAACTCGCGGGAAACGTTCATCGTGCATCAAAAAGTGGACGCGTAGACGTCCACCAGTCACAACTCCCGAGAAGACAAGGCGCTCGTTTTGGTTTTTAATGGTTTAAAGCAAATTGAGTAAATCTTGTCTCGACTCCACCATACAGCCCAGATCTCAACGTCATCGAACATTTTTGGGCTTCTTTTGAAGTTGAAATTGAAGGGAAAATGATTCGGATCCAAGTTTGAGCTCTGGTATTTCAGTCGTCAAACCTGGAACACTATTGGACCTTAAATTTTACACGATCTTGTCGATTCGATACCAAAACGGATCCAAGCAGTAATTGCGGCTCGCGAAGGACCCACTAAGTATTGATTTTCATTTTTTCATTATGCTTTTATCACATGTTAAAAGACTTTTGTCCATTGATTTTGGAATTTTGTGTTCATTTTTCAAATGAACCTTCTTTTCCTTCTTTCTTTCGAAGTTATGTTAAAACTTTGCTAAGTGATTGATATTCGAAAAAATGAAAATACAAGCACTATGTAAGAACGATGTAATTTGTAAGATAAGCTTTGCATTGAAACCAGCAGCTGCTTGTTGTTTCGATTTCCTCTCTTCATTACCCTTTGGTCTCTATAAATGATCCCAAAAAAGGTGAACAACGAAAAGCGTTGAGGTCAAAGGTGACCAGCCTTGTTTTTTAAAAAGCTCATGACATGTTTTAAATTGTTGAGTCCATTTTTTTGCTAATGCTAAAACTAGAGATAATAAGCTCTCTAAATCTTTCAATCGTTTGTAAATTGGTCGAATTTGAACCAAGATATACGAAAAACAAACTTCTGAAAACCAACATTAAAAGACTTTTGTCCGTGACTGTATTATTTAAATAGAATCTTATTTAAATAGAATTTATATTTCTCCATTTACCCATATCGGCTCCCCATATAAATCGCCGTCAATATTTAGATTACAAATTATTATATTTAGTTTGCATTTTAACTGTTGACAAAAGATGGAAATTATGTAAAAATTCTTACATTATTCCAAGCGCTAAAGTAAAACACTTTAGTTTTCTTAGTTTAGTTTAGGTTTAGTTTCCTTAGTTTAGTTTAAGTTTAGTTTCCTTAATTTAGTTTACGTTTAGTTTACGTTTAGTTTAAGTTTAGTTTAGGTTTAGTTTTCTTAGTTTAGTTTAGGTTTCATTTTCTTAGTTTAGTTTAAATTTCGTTTCCTTAATTTAGTTTAGGTTTAGTTTTCTTAGCTTAGTTTAAGTTTAGTTTAGGTTTAGTTTTCTTAGTTTAGTTTAGGTTTAGCTTCCTTAGTTTAGTTTAAGTTTAGTTTCCTTAATTTAGTTTCCTTAGTTTAGTTTAGGTTTAGTTTCCTTAGTTTAGTTTAAGTTTAATTTTCTTAGTTTATAGACAGAAAGCATAGACAAATTTCGCTTTTCATTTACAAAACTGATAACAAGGCTTTAAATGCAAAGCAAGCTCTCCTCGTTTGTGAAAAAAGTGTTCATGCGGTAAAACGTATAAACCTATTGTATTAGCATACCGAAAAGTGAACAAGTTTGCATTATAAACTAGTCTGCACTAGTTTTAAAAAGCTTGATATTTATATAGTAAACTATAATTTACCCACCTCGTTTCCCCATATAAATCATCGTCAAATGTCGCCTCCATGATGCCACCTCAAAAGTTGTAACTTCGCAAGACAAATAGGCTTCACTAAACGTTGTAATTAACCAAGAATAACTTTATGAAGCAAGAAATGAAATTCAGTAGCTTTAAAAAAAGAATTGATCGCTAGAGCCTGATTCTCTTTTGCAAGCCAGTCCCAGAAAAGGTCAACCCGGTAAACAACCCACCACTTACGCAATGTATTCCTCCTCGGTTTTTGCACTTTCTTTGGGCTTATTTGAGAGCAATTTCAATTGTTAGTCGCTAATTGATCTGCTATAAGCAAAACTAATCAAAAATTCTCGAGTTCCATAAATCGTCGCAAGAACATGATAAAAAGATATCCAAATTTTAGCGACATCTCAAATTTTTGACTAATTCGTTTAGTTCAGCATCCTGATTACCGATAAATAACAATTTTCAGCATGCGTACAATTTGAGACAAAGTGTCTTTGGTAAATAAATATTATGAAACTATTTATTGCTAAACCTATTCATACACCAATCAACAAAAATATGAATCCAAAAACAAGAATTATAAAATTTACGCAAACGAATGAGGCCTTAATGGTTTGAGCGGATCGAAGAGCTTTGGGTCCTTCAGATATTTCGGATCTTTCACCAAAATTGGCATGTATCCAGCCTAAATGACGATTTGATCATGAATGCGAAAACAATTAAAACTCACTTTTCTTGAAGTTGATATCGTTTGCAAGAGCTTTTTCTGTTGCATATCGCATAGACCAGTCACGTGTTGGTCGTAGACTCTTCCAGAGAAATTCGAGACAAATTGCTGAAAGAGTAAAATTAGAATTATCTTTGTAAAATAGTTAATAATACTTTTAGCACATGAAGTATTAAAGTCTTAATTCTTAATCAGAAAAAAGTGCTTTGTTTTAAAAAGATATCTCTAGCCAAATATTGATTTATTGCTGATTTAAATTAATCACTCTTTTTAGTCCTTCAAGAAGTTTAACACAAAAATTAGACAAACCTGCAATAAACGAGCATTCTTATAATCGAGATCAATTCCAGTTCGACAAAGCAAACATTTCCTCGCTGGTTTGTCGTAGGGATTCGATTTTAGCTCGACTGGCTCATCAACATCACTTTGTTCAACCACAGACCCCGAAGCCACGGTATCTAAAAACATAAATAACTATTTCTCCAGTAAAATTTATCCAAAAGTCAAAACTGGCTAATTTGTTTATAAATGAGGCTTACAGATTTTGAGTAAACGCATAAAAGCTTAAAAATGTTTGTCAAAAGCTACACATAAAAACTCTAAATGATTTAAAAAAATAGTTTCTAAAATTCCAAATAACTTTCCAACCTGAATAATTTGCTGCTGTTCTCGAAACGCTTCGGCCGCTATTCAAAAACCCTTTGACGATCGATCGCAACATTGCAGAAATTATCTAGAGTAAAAGGAAATTAATAGGTAAATGTAAATTGATTTGTTAATTGTCCAGAAATCTGCGTAAAGAGAAAGAGCGACGCGGTACTGCTTTAGACGCCAATTTTCAGAGCGTATTCGAAAAGAGCGGATCGCGTAAAATTTATGGGAATCGATTACAATTCTACACGCAAAATGGAAGCACCGCCTAAAGCCACGAAAACATTGGAATGCAAGGAAACGTTCGACCAAGAGACACTGAAAGCGACATGGGATGCCGAGACAGCGGTTGGTTGAAACGTTTCTTTAAAGGGAAAATAGTCGGCAACTTTAAAAGTTATTTATTTGATGAACTGGCGCCAATGACGAAAAGATTATTTTTAAGGCAAGTTAGTAATGAAAAAATGTCCGTTTTTAAAACGTTTATAAAACTATAGTAGTTGGGGAGAGGCAAAATTATTTTTTCGCCAAATGAGCAGATTTTTTGCACCCAGAGATTTTGACTATGCTAAATCGATTGGCGATGGTTTCACACAACATTTCGTAACTTTTAACAACATTCAAGGCTCCTATATTTACCTAGGCTTTGGCTTCACGCCTTAGAGGTACGTGGCTTCTTGGCTATCGCCTGATTCTCCTACGGCTGAGGTGAGTTTCGTACCGTAAGCACGTAGCTTCTAGCTGGAACGAAACTCACCTAAGCCGTAGGAGAATCAGGCGATAGCCTAGGAGTCACGTGCCTCTAAGGTGCGGAGCCATAGCCTAGGGAAATATAGGCGCCTATAATATTATAGTCAAAAACTCTTGGGTGCAAAAAACAGCTCATTTGGCGAAAACAAATTTTGCCCCCTCTCCAACTAGCACCTTGAGTTTTAAAAACGGACATTTTTCCATTACTAACTTGCCTTGAAAATAACCTTTTCGTGATCAGCGCCATCAAACTACCCCAGGAAAAATGGTTTTGGTGAAAAAAAGTGCCCCCCAAAGCCCATAGTACCAAATTTTTAGCCCGCCAATATCCCTGCATATTCCACTCGTCAAATCGCTTTTAACACCGAGCTAACAACACAGGACGTGAAAGCGATAAATGGTAAAAAAATATCAATTGCGCCACGAAATTAACAAGATTTCAGAACTCGGTCGACTAAACGCCATGCAACTCCATGAATACATCACCAATTTGCAAAATAGCGCCTATTTAATCGGAATTGATGAGGGTAACTCACTTCAAAGCCTCACTAGTTACAAACAAATTTCAGCCCGACAATGTTCCAAAGGAAAATTCCTACAAGTATTCAAGAAGTCGTAACTGACAAAAACAAATTTCTATTCAAAATAAATTATTTATTAAACTACAACAATAACAAATTTGAAAATAACAGGAGCCCGTAACAAAATACGTAATGAGAATCACAAAAAATACGCTAAAAATGTTCACAAAAACAAAAATTCAATTACGGATCGTCAACACAAATTGCGATTTTGCTGGCCAATGCTTTGAGGAGATGCTCCAAATGAGGATCCGAACAACATACACGAAGAGTTCCCATATCCAATTCGGCTTCTTTTTCATCTACCTAAACTTTTTTCATTTAAAAATGTCCCATTGAAATTAAACCTCGATTTTCATTAACCCATCGCCGATTGTTATGACAGCAGAATCACCACATACCTAAAATGGTAAAAATAGTTAAAGCAAACAAACAATAACCTCGCGTATGGCTGCCAAAATTGACTCTTGTTTCGTAGGCAAATGAGCAAGAGAAGGAATTTCTAAAATAAATTTTAAAAATTATTCTAAACATCAAACTTACTTTTGTCTGGAATCGGGTTGATCTGTGCATGCATAATCGCAGCCGACAAAGCATCTGCATACATATCGTTGATCTAAAATTAAAACTGTTAATGAAATTTCAAACTAGCAACCGTGGATTTTAACTATTTTATTCGAAATCTATTTTTACTTACCACTCCTCCATTCCATGAGACGATGATCATGTTTTTATCCAAAACCCATTGCAATTTGATTTCCCCCTAAATCGTTCCAATTAGATAAATTTCCAATAAACAACCTTAAATGCAGCAAACGATTGATGTCTCCCCTCCTTGCTATCGATTTGCTCTTCCATAATAATAATATCGTTTGTAATTTGACGAAGATTATAAACCAGCAACGCAGACTAAACTAAAAGGATGAATAATTGTTTGAAAATCAACTAACCGTCCCATTATACGGTATTGATAGTCGATGGACGAGCTTTGAAACAGGAATCGAAGAAAATTCTGAAAGAAATATCAAATTTTTTCGCAAAACATTTACTCACCCATAAGATCGGATGGATCCATGATTTTGTACTCAAAATCGCGTTCAACAATAACGCCGCCAATCAGTTTGCCGTCCTGGATACGTAGCAGGTATGTAAATTGAAAACTTTCTTTACCTCAGCATCATTCGCCAATTTTCCAATAATTTTCGCCCGTCTCGCACGCTTGAAATCGATTTCTAATCGTTCAGTGTTTCGGGGATTGTGGACCTGGTATATACGATATAGAATTTTAAAATCTCATTAATTTACTTGAATTGGTATATTTTCCTCCTCGAATTGCCTCTGAATACCGGCTTTGAGACGACTGAAATTTATGAGTTAATAAAAAGGGACAAACAACAAGCGCTCACCTCATTTCGTGCATTTCTCCATGTACCAAAATCTATAAGTTAATCAATCAAAAACCAATAATAGTTTTCTTTTAATTTACCAAGTGTGACGGACGCATTTGTTTAATGAAATCACTCGTTTGCTCGTAATCAGCATGCGCCGAGAAAGAAATGTACCCAACCTGAGTTTTGATTAAAAAAATTTGAAAGAAAAGTTTACCTCAAGTCTCCGGGGCAATCTTTGTCCATTCAACGCGATAATCTCTTCAGGGTCTGACAAAATATGCTAAACCAAAACGTCAATAAAACTAAGCAATGGACCAACTTTTGCCAAGGTTCCTTCAACACAATAACCTGCAATGATACACCCGTTCTTGCTATCGGTACACCTACAACTAAAATTTACTCGAAACGCCAAAAGGGACCGACCATGCTTCGAACAATTCTCGGCTAAGTCCATTCTGAAGCATTCCTGGTGACGCAAGAACAACACAAGGTCCAGTGTCTTCAAATTGCTCGATTCCCTGAAAAATTTGGAGGGTATATTTAAAAAAACTATGGCATACCTTTAAATAAGAAATATGTTTGAACTTGAAAGGATTGTTGACTCCGATTTGCTGTTGAATTCGTTTGTTCATACTCGTGACAAAAGTTTGATACACGTCCATGCACTTTTGCGCCAACGCGGAAGCATCTGTCAATTGCATATAAATTTTCATTTAATGATAAACCGACAATAAATCGGAATTTCCTGGAGGTCCTCGTTTTTCGACCAGTACTCATCAAGGATGAGAAGCAATTCTTGAGCTCGGCCCAACGCAAAAGCTGGAATCAAACAGCGACCACCCCGATTGACAATATCATGCACCATGGAAGTGAATCTAAATCAGAAACAATGCAGCTAATTTTAAAAAATACAACCTTTTCTCACGAGAATCTCGTGCCTCATGTTGTTGCATTCCGTAAGTTGATTCCTAAATTTTCCAAAAATCAAACACTTTAATTCAGAATTCGTTTTTCAAATATAAAAAAAACAAACCGATATCACAACATCAGGTCGGATAGGTGGGATTTCTGCTGAACATAAATGTCGATCTTCCAGTCGTGAGAAGTCGCCCGTATACAAAAAGTTGGAGCCTCCGATTTCGATCAAAAACATGCATGCTCCAAGAACGTGCCCTTAAAATTTGAAATAATTAATTTAAAAAAAACAATAACCAACCAGCAACATATGCTGAAAACTTCAAACCGCCCAAGTCAACTTGTACTTTGAAGTCAATAGCCTAAAGCCAAATTTTAAGCTAATGCCTTTCATTTCTTTATCACCTCAATTCTTTCAAAACTGCGATCTAAATCTTCCTCGGTAAAAAGAGTTCGACCATCTGAGCCACCGGAAAATTTTGCTACCTAAAATCGAAATGCATTAATAAAAGTGCAAGCACCAACCTTTATATAATCAGAAATCATCAATCGGAAAATGCTCTTCGTCGCATATGTCATGTAGACTTTTCCCTTGAAGTTTGTCCGCGTCAGTAACCATGGAAGTGCCCCGCAATGGTCAAGATGGAAATGTGTAATCTATAAATCAAAAAATATTTTTAAAAGAATCAACCCGTACCAATAATACGTCAACTTTCTCCAGATCTACAGCATCGACAAAAGGGAGAGCATCCACTCCACTCATTCCCGGATGAATTCCACAATCGAGCTAAAAGAAGACATAAAGTCTTAAAAAATTTAAACAAACCAAGACTTGTTTCCCTTTGTACTGAAGCAAATGACAAGAGCGTCCCACTTCTTGACCAGAACCTCTAAAATGAAAAATTAGCCCATTTATTATAGCAACCAAATCGAGCATCCAAGCCTTATATTTATTTAGCTTAAACATTAAATATTTCAGTAAGATTTTTAAAACATACAGCGGCGTGAAAACAAGATTTTCCGAGTTTGCTTCACCGGGGGCATTCGGATCGATGATGTCCTCATGCTCCATTCCCTAAAATCAACAAAATTATTGAAAAATCTTCATTGACGTAAAAGAAAAAGAAGTACAATATTGTTTGAACCCCATACTTGAGAGGTGGACTTGTCGAAAGTACAAGGGAAACCTATCGACTTCGACAGACATTCGAAAGGCATGAAAGAAGGGTAAAGATACTATGGGCTTTGGGCTTTGGTGGGGGGCACTTTTTTTTTCACCAAAACCATTTTTTCTGGGGTAATTGATGGCGCTGATTACAAAAAAGTTATTTTTAAAGCAAGTTAGTAATGGAAAAATGTCCGTTTTTAAAACTCAAATTCCATAAATTAAATCATAGTAATTTATAAGTAATTTTCTCTCTTCAAAATAAAAGCTCAATTATTCGCATGGATACATTTGGCGGACCTGGGGACCTGGTCCCAGAAATTAAAGAAAGGAACTTTGCTAAATTCCTGAAAATTTGCATTTATTTGTTAAAAACCTTTAAAATCAAGTAATTTTTGAGTTTTTTCCATTACTAACTTGCTTAAAAATAACTTTTTCGTGATCAGCGTCATAAATTACCCCAGAAAAAATGGTTTTATTGAAAAAAAGCGGCCCTCTCAAAGCCCATAGTACCGGGTTAAATCTTCCAAGGTGAAACAAGCCAATTACTTCTGAAGGAAAGTATGAGAAATAGGGTGGGTGCAACGTACAAAATTCTACAATTCCCAAAACGAATCCGCTACTGCATGTGTCGTATTTTACTACCGCATGTACCATCTAATTCCAACGAAAAATGTATTAAAGACTATATCAAATCTTGAAAATCCACCCAAAAACAATCTTCCCAAACATTTATTTTCGTTTAAAGCACAAGCAAAAGAAGAGAAAAGTGACGAATCGTGTGAATCTCCCGATTGAAAAGCTTTTCGTTGCGGCGACGAACATTTGAGGAGTCGATCGGTGAGTGCAGAATCTTCTGAAGAATCAATGTACATTTCGGCTGTTGTAGTGTCACGAGAAATCTAAAGTCACAAGCTATTCTCCTTAAGATATACGAACAAAAGCTTTACCAAAGAGGTTGGATGCGGGAAGTTATCCAAGTTCAACGCAACGTTGCTCGTCATCCTTTCCTTTGTCCATTTTCTTCGTCTTTGGGCAACATTCAAATGCACGAGTCGCGTTGAGAAACCACAAACACTTTTATTAAGCAATTTGCATGTGAAAGACACAAATTTTAATTTAAAGCGGAAAAAACGCTGCTTTTAGCTTAATTTTCAAAAGTCGGGTTTTTTGATTGCAAACTTTCTTTAAAAATGTCAAATTCATGTTTTTTTATGTCAAATTCAAGTCAGCGACCTCGATTACCCCCGGGGAAGTGAAAAAATCAAAAATATAGGTACCCCCCACCCACAAAGTACCAAAAGGAATTTCAAGTATTTACCTTTTCAAGATCGAATGCAAATTGAGAAGGAAGCAAGCTCAGCAGTGATGAGTTTTCTTCCTTTTCATTCATATTGAGAAACGATTGTTCAGCTGCCTAAACACAAATCATCAATAAAAGTATAAACACAAATCATCAAGTATCAAACCTTGTACAAGACCGAATCCCCACAACCATCCGATTTGACAATGAGGCTAAAACAATCAATCATTAGAGTAACTTCAAGCTTCTCTCTCTCTTGAAGCATCTTTGCCAACAACTTTAAACTGCCAAAAAAGAATATTACCGAAATTGGGTGACAGGTCGTCAAGCACTTTGATACAGCCTTTCGGCAAGTCCATTAGCTACGTGCTCACTGAATGCTCGGCTCTTGCTCACTCGGCTAAACAAAAAGTATTAGAATCAGTATAAAACGGAAAGATTCCATTATGGGCAAAAAGATACCTCCCGGGTGGCTCTAAAATCATCTAGCTCTCTCAAATCTCTAAAATCTAAAACCGATTTAATGATATTCAGTCCTTGGGCAAAATATTTTTAATCCTTTCCATGAAATTTTGGAAACTGTTTAAAACAGGGTCGGCCAAAATAATGCGTTTGCGGTTAAGTCTATTTGTGTTTCTTATTTTCATTAGATGTAGAAAATTAGCTATCAGCTGAATTTTTTTCGAGCGGTTTAGAAAAAATCTGGGATGAGAAAATGCTCAAAAAAAGAGGTTAACTGGGGAGTGGGACAAATGCGACCTTTTTTTTTGCGCACCCGGACATTTGCGCACCTTTTTTTCCGCACCTTGCCCATTAGCGCACCTTTTTTCGCGTTTTAAAAAAGCTAATATTAACCAATTTCTATTCCAAATGTTGTTTTTCTAGGTAATTTGAGGGTGTCGAATTCAAATTTTGACATAACAGAGCGTGTGGAACCAATTTGAAAGACAAAATGGCTAGATCAAATTACAGAAAATTGTCGATTTTTCTCTTTGTATAACTCCGTCCGTTTGTTTCCACAAGCTCTGATATGTCAAAATTTCGATTCTACGCCCTAAAATTACCTAGAAAAACAACTTTTGGAATATAAATTGGTTAATATTAGCTTTTTAAAGCTTTTTTAAAATGCGAAAAAAGGTGCGCTAATGGGCAAGGTGCGGAAAAAAAGGTGCGCAAATGTCCGGATGCGCAAAAAAAGGTCGCATTTGTCCCACTCCCGAAATTTTGGAGGCCCTTTAAAACAGGGCCGGCCAAGATAATGCGTTTGCGGTTAAGTCTATTTGTGTTTCTTATTTTCATTAGATGTAGAAAAAAAGAAAATTAGCTATCTGCTGAATTTTTTTCGAGCTGTTTAGAAAAAATCTGGGATGAGAAAATGCTCAAAAAGAGGTTAACTGAGCTTTTCTCGGCACCAATTTTTCTTTTAAGTGATCCTAAAGTATGCAAAATGTAGATAATTTTGTTCTGCATTTAATAAGAATAAGAAACACATAGAAACTTAACCGCAGAGGGGCTATTTTTGCTGTGACGCTGTTTTGATCAGCTCCCGAAATTTTCCGTTTTTCAAAAAACTGGCGTTTCATCTTTTTCTTCAGTTAGCTTCACTGAATTTTCACAATTTTTGGTCTTTCCGTAGTGCGTGTGTAAAATTCTATCCTGGGCTAGCTTTCCTATCAATAAAAAGGCACAATTTGGTCTTCAATAATAAAACTCGAATAGTGAAAAACAGCTGAGCTGCTTTTTTTGTTTCTTATTTTGTCGATTTTTGTATAAAAGTAAGCGCAACGGTTAAAGTTTTAGTAGCACAAACAAGAGTAGAGATTTTATGATCATGATAATTTAAGCATAACCTGGTTCGACTTCTACAATAACGCTTGTTTTTGTAAAACCTTTAATGTCTTGTTGTGTTTCCATTAAATGGGTGCGTTTGTTGTGTTTCCTTTAAAATTAAATGGTTTAGGTGGCCCCGAATTTGCCAAGCGATTTCCGATGTATCATGACCGAGTGCGAAGATGCGACACAATCCGATGACCAACATAGTGACACGGAGAAAACGGGGCGTTGGGAGGCACTTTTTACACAACATCGATCACACGGGGCTTGCAGCTACCGAGGAGGATTTGGTTATAGAGGAACAAAGTAAGTGTTTTAATTTATGCCAGTAGCTTTTGAAGTGGATGGGAATTTTTTAGGGAGGGGAAGGACATCTTCATTTCAATTATTTGTCTAATCCAATCATAATCTTTTACTTTTAGAAAACGTTTTAATTGGAGAAGGAGAGATGACATTTTCCACCCCATCCACCACAACAACAATAACAACAATAGCAAAAGCAACGCACTTCCACTCACCGGGACAGTCTCCGCACAGCGCGAAGTCTTCACTGAACTTGATCGGCTCAAGAGAAAATCTCGGTAGTTTGTCTATACTATAGTGTTTAATAATTTATCAAGTTTATTGTTTAGGAAATTGGAAGAAGAAGTTCAAACTTGGAAGCAGGCTGTTGAAGCTCGAGATCATACAATAAGGTGCACTTATATAGCATTTTTACATCTATGACTGCTTTAGAGACCAAAAAATGGAGCTTTATCAATATCATCAAGAATTAAATTCATCTAGAGCACGTATGGAGCGATTGAGGTAGACTTATCAAATGTTTTAAAATGTCATTGATACTTAGGATGCATGAAGAAGAGCTTAACCGGCGGCATCACGAGTCTTCCACTTTAAGGTTAATATAACTGCTTTTTTTTGGAAATATTTGCTTGTTTTTAGAGCCATAGCTGTTCCACGTGAAGAAGAAATGCGTCTTGAAAATGCTCGCCTGCGTGAAGATAATGAAATTTTACAGTAAATTTTGGCTCTAAAAGGACAAATACCTTGTTTTTAGCAATTCCATCAGATACCGTCAGGGACAGACAAATGAGGTGTTGCGAAACGTGCAGGCTGAGCTTTCTAAATTAAAGTGAGAACCTTTCGCTTTGTTTTTAAACTTTATATTTAGGAAATTCACGTACATCCCAGCGGATGATACGTGGTTCAAAGGGATTTGGGAAGACGAAAAAACACGTGGGCCAAAATGGGTGCCAATGCAGCCAGTGGAGCAACCGTAAGAGGTTTTTAGCTAGAAAGTTTCTTTTTATCTTAGGACCCATGGTGATCCAGTTATGGATGAAATATTGGTGAATCATTTCTACGAGGTTCCTAGAAGTATACACGATTCAAAGGCGAAAGAGCTCGAAAGCAATCCACTGTATAAGAGGCAGGCAAAATCTGAATCAGATCTCAGTTTTGAAGTAAGATTTTTTTGATTAAATTATTTTTTTCACGGATTTTTTAGCCGCTGGTTGCTTCGATTGAGGACCTTCTAGAAGAAACGAGAACAAGTGCGAGCGAGCAATCAATTTATGCAACGTGTGACGTTGACTCTCGGAGATCTACGCCATCTCTATCGATTAGCAGCGTTATATCGACTTCGAAACCATCAAAAAGCCGAGGTTCATAACATAGTCCGTGTTCTTGAATATATTGGCCTAGCACGTTAATTTATTTATTTTAGGCCCAAGCCCTATGGTGGCGAAAAGTAGAGCGCTGGATCATGAGGATCGGCCATTCACTCCGCGGTTGCCGCCTCTGCCTCCACATCCACCTTTCAATTTGCATGGTTTTCCGCCGTTGCCACCATCTGCAACGCCTGATGGAGAAAAGCTGCCTGTTCATCAGCATTGTAAGTTTACTTATTAATATTAGTCTTCATACTTATAGCCAGGGTGAAACTGATTTTTGAATACAAAGTTATGAAACTTTCTATTTAGCTGTTATTCAACCTCATTCACACGGACCGTGTCTTATTACGTATCCATGCCAGGTGTGCCCTGCAACAATAACACCGCAAACGTCTTTTCCGCCGCCGATGGAACTATTGCACAACCATTTAGGGACACCGTTTCATTCTGTAGGCACCTCCTTTCACTTTCATTTGTTCTTTAAATCATCTTTTAGGGAGTGATGCCACCGAATGGTCAACGCGGAAAATTGCAACCGCATCGGATGTGCGGTGGGATGGGTCCTCCACTGAGCGCACGAAACGGTACACTTCCTTCATTGCAAATGATGCGTTACCAAGTAATTGATGCTAGATCAGCACAATGTATAAGTTTGTTTAGGGATCGTCACAACCATTTTTGTTTCCGAAAGGCGCTCCGCCTCCATTTTTGCCGCCGATGTTTGGTGGGCCAGGTTCACATCCTTTAAGAAATCGGTGCGGAGGGCCTCCAAGGTGAGACTTTAAAAGCAACAACAGTTATTTTTTTTTCCAGGCACTCTGCCAGTCAGCCGTTAGACCTGAATCACTTGAAATCTCCTCCACCATCAGCATCTTCATCATCAACGAATGTTTGAATGATTTTGCTTGTCAGTTATTGTCGTATTTCAATTCATCCATGTTAGCCGCTACATTCTTGGTTATTTGTAGATCTTTCCGCAAACTTGCTAATTTTTATGGTGGTCTCTTTCTCAAAGCATTGCAAATCGCTTTTATAATCATATTTTACGAATAATTACTTTTCCTTGGTAGTTTTGGCTTTCTAGATAGCTTTTAGTTGTTTTAAAACTTTTTAAGACCCGCGGTGTCCCTTTCTTTGATTGTTTAAAACTCTTGAGCTGAAAATGATGGAAAAAACCGAAATTGGAACATCAAAATGTGGGTCTTCCGTCTGGCATTAGTGATTTCTAGTTTGTTATGAAATTTTCTTCGCTTTTTTATTTCTAATTGTTTGCGTTTACGTTTTCGTACTTTGTTACTTTTTACGAGTTTTTGGTGTTAATTTTTGTTGTTTGTTGTGGTAAATACAACTTTTTATACTTTCGGCTTTTTTAAACGAACCAGTTTTAAAGAGAAATGCTTTATTACATTGAGTTAGATGTTTTCAGAAGACATTTTTTCAGTTGTCCAGATTTTTGCTTTGGATTTTCTGGTTTGGGTTTCTGGATTTTTCAAAAGTTGTTTCAAATGTTTCCGAAGCTGTATTTTGAAAAAATAGTTTTTTTCGTGTCGTCTTCTTGGCACTGAGTGTTCGTTAAAATAGGTGATACTGAAAAGTTAAAGGCATTAGATCAAAATCTGAAAAGTTAAAGGTTTAATCACAAATTTTCCCTATTCTAAGTACTTCATTTTAGGTTTTGAATGGGGCCCATTGCCTATTCATTAACCCATTAAAAACTTATCTAAAGGCTGGTCACTCAAAAAGTGACCAAGTCACTTAAGCTGAAGAAATCTCTTATTTTTTTTACCTGGAACCCACTGATTTTTTTTGTTAAATATAGTCAAGTTTGTTTTGAAATATAGTCAAGTTTAACAAAAAATCTGAGGAGAATTCATGACTTGCTTTTTTAGAAATCACCGTGCAAACCTTTTCCGAGAACTTTTTTCTTTCCAACCTAATATCTCATCTGAAAAAAACGTGGGTTTCTTTGCCAGTTCTGAGCTAATTTTGCTAAATATGGGTAAACTACGAAACCGTTTTTGTAGATGCGTTTCGTGAGAATCATCTACGCCTCCTGGAGCACCAATAGGCAGAGGTATTGACTGCAATGCATTTCATCTTCAGTTATAAACTTTAATTTAGAAACTTTCCAACAACAAGTGAAATGTGCTGCGAGATACGCTTCCAACAAAAAGCACCTTTTCATCAAGTTTGTATTTTTGTGTATTTGATGCAAATTTATTCACGAAAATAAGGTTCTAAGGAAAAAAAAATTACAAAAAAAACTAACAAATTGGGATGTAGTTAAAAGAGTGCCGAATAGAAAGCTTCCAAAACAGCGCCCTCAAATTTCTCACAATCCAAAAAAGCAAGCCGATTCAAGTTTCATTTCAAAAAATATTCCTTGCGTTCTTGGTTAAAAATGATGGGTGAAATGGTTTTTTGTGAAAAGAGTTAAAATATTTCATAGATATTGGGTTGATGGAAAAGTCCTTTCCGATTTTTTGGGAGAGTACCTTAAATTTGTCCAATTTAGACGTTTTATAGCTCATCCTAAAGCTGAATTCAAGACGGATCGATTGGTAAAAACCGTTTTGAGATATCTCTTTTCTAAAAGTTTTTACAGCTATTTTAGTAAAGGGCGGCAGAGCCAAAAAATGGCTGTTTTCACGTTTTGTTAGTTTTCCGTGCAGAAACCTAGGCTAAAAACATGTGTTTCGTGATAAGCGTCAAAAATAATCCCTAGACACGCATTTTCAGAATCTTAGCAAACAATTTTTGAAAAATATTGTCACCGGTGGAAGTCGAACCAGCGATCCTCAGATCAATAGCCTTTCCGCCGCTTTTCGCGATTTTCCTTCGTTTTTCTCGTTTCTTCGTTTCTTCGTTCTTGCACTATCGAGAAGTGAGAAAGTCTTGAATTCAGCTTTAGGATGAGCTATAAAACGTCTAAATTCGACAAATTTAAGGTACTCTCCCAAAAAATCGGAAATCGGACTTTTCCATCAACCCAATAAAATTAGCGTTCAAAATCTGTGCCGTGTGATACTCAGCTGGTTAACTGAATATCTTTAGAGACCCATTTTGAGCGCTCTTTTTGTCCATTAAATACTAATTTTTTTTAAAAACTGTTTTACCCATCTTGTAGCCAAGAACGCAATGAATTTTTTTGCTATAAAACTTGAAAGGGCTTGGTTTTTTTAGATTGTCAGCAATTTGACGGCGCCATTTTAACTATATCTCAACAAATTCAAATGACCAGTCCAATTGGAAGATGGCGAATGCAAAAAGAAACTTGAAGTTTTTAGAACTCGAATCTTAAACCCACTAAAAAGCTTCAAGCTTTAAATCAACTAGAGTGAAATTACTAAAGAAACTAAAGAAACTAGAAAGATGATGACCAAAACTTCATTTGTATTCACTTAGTTGACGGAGAATTCTTATAGAAATGTCAATTCAAATGAATAGAGAGTAGTACTTGGTGCTTAAAATGAGAGAAAATTGTGCAAAATGCATGTACAGGGGCTTAAGGGAGTGCAAGGGAGTAAGGGGATTCCATGTTTCGAACCGAGTTTTATCTCTTTTCAGTTTTGAGTTAATAATCCTTATTTTGTGCATAGCTCAAAACTCGGCTCAGAACGGCTCAGAAATTTTTTCTCTAAAGCAAGAATGTGTTATGGGATGGAAACCGTAAAAAAGGGAAATAAAATGCAAGTTTTCTCACATTTTTGAAGCTAAAGTACCGTCATCTTTCTATTTTACGGATTCGACCCGACACATTCTTGCCGAAAATAGTGCGACACCCAAAAAAAATGGGCCAGCCATCAAATACAGCTATTATAGTCTGTGTGTTCACCAAAGCGTGAAGGACTAAAATTTGGGGCAAAAAAAAGCGCTTCAACTTTGAAACACACACTTTTTACTCCTTCACGTAAGCAAAAAAAAAACGATCATCGGGTTTTACCAAGGAATATCACTTTTCAAGTTAACCAAGAAAGATGATCGATAAAGAAAAAAGAAAAAAAAAACGGATATGCCTAGAAGGATTGCATAGAAAACCTGGGATTTAGGGAAATGAAGAAAGCTTTGAGGATTAGCCATTAGCCATTCAATTCAATTCAATTCAATTAGCCAAGCATTTTCTAAAAAAAACTGGCACTAGAGAAAGCTACCGTAATCTAGTAAATGAAATTTAAAAGAAAAGTTCACTCACTTTTTTTAGATTTTCAAAGGCTGGGATTCTGATTCAATTTTGAAAATTGTAAAAAACAATTGGATTATGGTAACTTTTTCTTAGGCGCATCTTTTAGAAAGCGTTTTGAACGAAGGTACTGTAGTAGTTACGAGCTGCTTTCAGAAAGAGACGTTTTCGGGAGACGTGGCGTTTCGGTGAATGACCGAAAAACATACGGATTACCGTCAACTGGCTGTAATGGTGAAATTTTTGTTTTTTTCAAAGCCCAAGCACTTGCAAACCTCAATGTTAAGCGCATCAATCGTGTTGTTTGGCGCGAAAAGCATTCGAATATCGCTGTGCAGCCGTAAACGGCCACTTTTATCAGTGCGAAGTCTGAATTCGAGTTTAAATCATTCTCAAAAGACCGAGTTATTCAGCATATAGCGGTTTTTTTTCCTAAAACAATATGTTTTCTAAAGCGTCTCAACTTTCTCGACTACCGTATCTTGTCTCTACTTTTATCCAATCTATCTACTTTTTATATCTTTCTGTTTTTCTTTATGATCCTTCACAGAACTAGAATAAAAGTAGATAGATTGGATAAAAATAGAATCAACAGAATCAATAGAAAATCAATAGAAATACGGTAGAAAGTTGAACGTTTTCGAAAAATACAGAAAGCCGTTAGGAATCGGAAATTTAGCACTCACTTGAAATGAATGAGATATCGAAGAAGTTTTCGACTTTCCTCCGAATCATTCCCTCCGTTTTCTCGCATGAAAAATGTGCGCTGTCGGAGGAAAGTCAACGCGGCTGGGCGGAGATCCGCGAAATTGTATCTGAAAAAGGAAAAATTATAGATTTTAAACGCATTTCTTTTCATTATCATTTTCCTAATCATACTGTAGCGGAGTAAATTCGAACCTCTGAACGAACATTCGAACGACCGTTCCCTGCGGATTGAGCAGAGTGAATTGAAGGGTTCCCGTTGGCGGAATGACCAAACCGCGTTTCGTTGTTTCGCTCAATGAGCAGACACCCTGGAATTTTGGTTTTACGATAAAATTCGAACCCTAAAATGTTTAGCTTTTTCTAAGTACAGTACTAGGTACGGTGATGGGGCTGAATCGTTTCCATTGTCGAAAAAGAACGTTCGGACGGGAAGACGGAGATCAAGCGATGGAATTGGACCATTCGAGGCTACTGGAAGAAGAAAAATATATTTTCTTTTCAGAAATTTGACAAAATCTCAACTCTAAGACATGTCGAGAACTAGCCAATTGCAAGCAGGATCTAACCAAATGCTCGTAATCAAGGCCAGGCAAGGCTGGAGCCCTGCTTGAAGTCAAAGTTTGGAACCGTATTGGAACCATATTAGATAAAAAAAAAGAACCGCATTGGAACCGTATTGGAACCGTTCAAAACCGAAGCCAGCTTCTGGCTGGTTTGCCTGGCCTGGCTCTGGTCCTGGAATTGAGCTTGCCTGCATTGACCTTTCCTAACCCGAAATACTTTTGAAGCAACCCTGCTTGTAAGAACTCACCAAGATGCCCGGTGAAGCCATGCACCTCGGCCAGCGGGTCCAATCGACAATGGAGAGCGCTTTCCTGGAAGAATTTTTTAATCAACTTTTAAAAACTTTATGAATTTTTAGGCTTCAAAAGATATTCAATTTTAACAGATCCGTTTTTCTACCTCAAAATTGCAGAGCAAGCTTCGACTCGTTGGTGCACTTGTCGCCAAACGAATCGATTCGTTTCTCTCTCCGCTCTCCGTTGTCCCATCCAAGCAGATGCTGCTGAAACTTTTCATTGTAATACGTTTGAATCCTTTGATTCGTAAGTTTGCTTCAGATTTTTGTGCTCAAAAATTCTAAACGACTCTCTGATGGATTTTGGGACATTTGATACGCGCCTCGCCTCTTTACCATTGGCAATCTAAATTTGAGCTCAAATATCTTTGTGTTGAGTGGTCCAATTTAAACATTTTTTGTGCCAATCGATAGAGAAAGACTTGGCGAATCTAATGATATCAAGAATATTTAAATTGAACAGCTAAACACCAGGATGTTTGAGCTCAAAGTTAAATTGCCAATGGCAAAAGGAGCGGGGCGCGGATGAAATGCCTGAAAGCCGTTAAATTGTCAAAAACTCACTTCCGTGCTCGTCGCCGCTTCAGCTCAATGGGTGGCGCTGGACTCGAGTAGATGGGGAGACCGATCTGAATACTGACGTTAAAGACTCAAAATCGCTAAATGCTCTTTGAAAACCTCATTTCTAACCAAAGCTAACTCAAAACACTAATGAATGTTATAAGTGACTGTGAATTGGGCTCTTGGGCGCCAGACCGCTTTGGCTTAGGTTTAGGTTTGTGAAACAAAACTTGAGAGTTTATCTGTTAAATCAAGAGCAGCAAGTGTTAATTTACGGGATAAAAGAAAATCGGTATCTAATCCTAAAATTGATTAGCTCAACCATTAGTATAATTCTAAAATTTACCCGATTAAAAAAAGGACTCCTCTGTGCCGGGCGACTCATTCGCGGATCGACGATATTGTTTGAAGTGGGCTCTTTCTAAATTGGCACCTTGTAGCACTAAAAAAAGCGCCGTTGATTGTGTAAAAAACGAGTTTTTGTGCGCCAGAAAGCCAGCGTTTAGCTAGAGCACAAAGTACGCTTGTAAACTTTTTCGGAACACCGACGCTCCGGAAACATTCCCAGCTGTCGTACTCCGAACCTCAATCTCCATAAATCTTTTCGTTTCCTCTACCCCTAATCGATCCTAAGTTAGGAAATTATGGTAAAAAAAGATATCAACTACTAAACTTGCAACGAAAATATCTGTCTGTTCTTTTTGCCGTTAGCAATTGAAGGTTTTTCGTGTTTTTCTCAGCACCAACCCTTCGATTTTGACTATTTTGACGACCATTTAATGCAAAATAAAATTGTGCGTCGAATGATACTAAAATTAACTCAAAATGTAATATCGATGCAAAGTTATGAGGCAAAAGGTTAAGTCCTACCCATAATGGCTGGGGTTTAGGTTTTTAGCTAACAACTTTGTATGAATATTACATTTTGAGTTAATTTTAGTATCATTCGACGCACAATTTTATTCTGCATCAAATGATCGTCAAAATAGTCAAAATCGAAAGGTTGGCGCTGAGAAAAACACAAAAAACCTTAAATTGCTAACGGCAAAAAGAACAGACAGATATTTTCGTTACAAGTCTACCAACTACTGTAACTAGTTCCACGTTACGGTAATCAGCCTACTCGAATTGCATTTAATGCATTTGTTTTATTCAATTACCTCTTTTTGATGTTCATCAACTTGTAAAAGTCTCCCAAATGGTGATGGCAGTGGACGGGGTGAGGTCACTTCGAGGACATCCGAGAAAAGGATTCGTCTGGCTTCACTCGAATTTTCCTGAAAGCAATCGAATATTTATAAATGTTGTTATAGGTCTAAGTATCCACAAGATTACCGTGGTCTTAAATAATCGTCAACTCTCAATATCGTAATTTCCCTTTTAAGTTGGGCAACTTAAAAGGGAAATTACGATATGGAGAGTTGAAGATTAGAAGAACTCACTTTCTCTTTTCTCGCAGCTGATCCATCAGTTGGCGTTGCCAAGAGCGAAAGCGAGTCGGGTCGAGCGATCGTTCTGGAATTACACTGTTGAACATAAATTTGTAAATTCCCCATTGTCGTTGTCGGTGTCACGAGTTTCGGCTTTGTCGGTGTCACGAGTTTCGGCTTTCCAATCGAATTTTCAAGCGATAAGCTAAAATTTAAACTTATTTTGCTTTAAAAGATATTTAATTTCAACCCTTTTAACCTTTTTTGGATATTATATTATTAAAATATTATAAAAAAAAATCCCTTTGGAAATCAAACCCACTTTTGCATAGCGATCGTTAACGGGAAAACGGGTGCATCAATCGGTGAACCACTTGGAGTATTCGATGAACTTCTAAAAGGTGGATAAATTTACAGTACACTTGATACTACTAGGTTTCAGAAATACAGAAAATACAATACAGAAATTTAGAAATACAATACAGAAATTTTTTAAACTTTCAAAATTTTCTCATACCCGGTTAGCGTTGTTTCGATGAGCAACGAGCACATGTCCAACGGTTTGGGCATCGCCGTCGAGCGCACATAGCGAACCGACACCAAACATTGAATTTCATCTAAGAATTTTTGTCATTACACGGTACATAAAGTAATGCCTCTTTCAAAAACTCACCGATCTGCTTCGTCGGCGGAAATTGATGCAAATAAGGCAGTGTTTCTATGATCTCTTCTATCGTTTCAAGATTGACAATTCTAAGAATTTAAATTTGAATTAAATTTAAATCCGTTTTCACATACGAGGTGATAAGGTCGACTCCGGCTGGCAGTTGATTCCGGGCGACCCATGATTGAAGTGGAGAGAAATGAAGCTGTGATCGGATGGCGGATGCGAGGAAAAAGCCATCGATCTCCATTTGGCCGCTCGCCTGAAATAAACCGGATATTGATCTCGATGTAACTTTAGAAAAATGTCATCGCTTGTTTTTCACTACAAACCGTTTGCGGAATGCATTTGATGGTCCAAATTTCTAGCGGCTGCGAGTTCGCACATCGTTCACCGCACTCTTTATGCGACGATCGTACAAAGATGCAAAGTGCCGAACTGTTCGCGAGTTTTCGGCGAACGCATGCTTCTGAAAATTTCATTGTCATTGGCTTTTTTGATCTCCGGGAATTAGTAGATTAAATTTCAAGAATCCTTGCATTCCCCACCAAGTGTGCTCCATTTCACGAAACGTCGAGCTTCCGCAATGATACGAGCGATTGAAATACATGTATCAAGAGCCGAAGCTGTTGTCATCTAAAAATTTACCCTACCGGTGACTCTTTCTATTTTACGCTAAACGTTATCAACAGGCACATTTACTGTTGACTGTTCAGTAAGAATTGGCTCTCCGGTTTTATATTCATGACTCACCTCTTATAAAATACCCGTATTGATGAAAAAGCGAAAACCAAGAACTATTGTTCAAGGCATCTCTTCGCGGTATTGTTGAACTTCGAATTTCTGAAACTTTTCCCAGTTAAATTTACATTCAAAAATTTTAATAAAACACTTATCAGACATCGATTTTCGTGATACGAGCAAATGAAAATAAGTGACTTCAAAATTTAACAACCTTTATTCAACAAAAACCAATCATACTAAACTAGACCTAAACAATGTATAATGAGAAGAGAATTCAAAATAATCAAGCAAAACTTATAAAAACAACAAGATTTTACAAAAATTTATCAATTTCAAGCTTTTGATGCAGCCGCTGATCTGAAAATTCGACGTCTAGTAAGACCAGCTTCGTGTCGTGATTTCTCAAAAGTTTGCATATCTTCCTCAACCTGTAAATTTGAATTAGAAAAACTTTCATCTAGCAAAGATACCTTCAACTCGTGTTCGAGAATGCTGTCCGTCCGATAATTGGCGATGAAATCGTATTGCAAATAGTCATTCATCTAAAGAAGTTCATCTGAAAATTATCCAAGAACCGGTCCTACTTTTGTCTTCTGGAATTTCCTCTTGAAATACGCGGATTGTTGCGTCCAAGCGTCTTCAATTCCTTTACAGCCGCGTAACTCCCAGCGAGTTGCCCAGGGATAAGGCTTCATCTTGACCTAAATTTAAATTTAAACAAACTATTGCTTGCAAAAGAAAATATGTAGTAATAGAATTTTCACTTAATTCACCGTACCTTTAGCGGATTCACGGGTATTGGCGTGCCGGCTGGATGAGCAAATCCCTCCATGTTGAAATCAAAAGTCGAATACTCAGGCAATGCATCGATGAGATAAGTTAAATCGCTGTCTAGCCGTTTTTCCAACTTCAAACACTCGATTTTCTTGATTGTTGGGTTGTAGAGCTCGTACATTACCTCAACACCTAAAACCATTTAATTTTTGCTTTGAAGCTAAAAACTACCGATTCCTTCGATTACATTTCTCAAAACGAATCGATGCTGTAGCCCCTCGCGTTCTCTTCTTATACAAATTCCAACAAATCGGTTCTCTTTTGTGGCCAAATTTGGATCGGATGACGTCACAGCAAGTATCGAGCCTAAAGAAATAAAGTCAGGATATTCACTTCCCTGGATATAAAAATAAAAGCACACCTACCAACATAGAATTCCGGAATGTCAAGTTGCATTCGTCTTTCGAGCATGTCGGCTCGTTCCAACTCTTCTCTCAAAGCAACGCGTCGATTCCATACAGGCGATTGAGCGAAATCCGGGTAAATCTCACTAAAATTACAATCATAAAATGTAAACAATAAAAAAATTGAAATGTTTGCTCTCATAAAGTTCAAGTCTACCCTCAGCATCTATCTTGCTTACACTAAGGTGCATGCAATTCCAGTAAACAATCTATTTTTGGTTGTTAAAGATAAAAGAAGGTAAAACTCTAAATTATTTTGTTAAACCGGTTTCAGATCAATAATTCAAAATGCTTTGAATAAATTTTGCCATTTGATCCACGCAAAAAACACGTGACGGCATTAAAAAAAGCGAAAAATTCAACAGAAAGGAGACGGCTCGACACTCGAATGGATTGACAGCAAAAGAAGGGGAAAGAGAGCGAAGAGAAGACGAAAAGGAGAAAAGAAAACAATTGGGAAAAGAGAGGACTACGTGAAAATGCAAAGAAGAAGAGAGAAAAACATGCGAGGCCAAGGCTCATAGAAAAACATAGAAACTCAAAATTTTCAGCTGAAATTTTTCAGCAAATCGATTGGGAAAACGTGACAAATTGAAAGCGTTTCACATGGTTGTTGTTCAATTGAGAGGAAAACAAAGTATTCAACTTACGGAAAATGTTCCAAATGTTTGAGTCTTTTCATTTTCTCTTGTAAATCCGATGGAGCGCGGCTAGCAAGTGGTGGTCGCGATGGGCAACTGTTTGACGATGAGCATTCTAAAAAAACATTAAGACTAAACTTAAAGTTGGAACACAAATTTTGATAAACTATATAATTATGTCATGTTTTAAACTTTTTTAGCAAATTAAAAGGTACTTTGGTGGTTGGGGGCGGGGGGGGCCACCTATATCTATGATATTTTTTCTTTTTCCGGGGTAATCGAGGGCGCTGAGCACGAATTTCGCATTTTTAACATAGATTTGCTCTTAAAAAAACTGGCTTGTGATCTCAAAAGGTCTAAACAAAGTTTAATGGCGCATAGTTGGGGGCGCACTTCGGTAGGTTCGGGCTGGGGGTGGGTGCTGCAAACTCTCTAGAGATAGCTCAGGCACATCCCCAACTTTTTCCTGAAGAGCTTGCAGCATCCACCCCCAACCCGGGTCTGCCTAAATGCACCTCCAAATATGGGTCATTACGGCTAAACGCTCACAAAGCCAAATGTAGACACACAAATTTGCATACGAAATCGACAAAAAGCATTGATTTGGCATTAATTTCGAGATCAAAAAAAGTCATTTTTTTTAAAAGCAAATCTATGTTAAAAATCCAAAATTCGTACCAGCGCCCTCAATTACCCAAGAAAAAGTCGAAAAATCGAAGATATAGGTGCTCCCCAACCACAAAAGTACCAATTAAAACACAAAAGGCTTACTTTGAATCGCTTCCGCACAGTTGATCACCAGCTTCTTGTGCTTCGACAGTCGGCTATTCCACATCTGTAAAATATTAAAGTGAAAATTTACCTTCAAACCTTCAAAAAATTGAGTAAATCATCAAAATATCGTAAAATCGTACAACGATTGAGAAAAATATAAACCATTTTGAATATTTTTATCCAAAAAGCAAATCCAATCTCACAAATTATTAGATGTACACGTTTCAAAGATAAAATTTCTGAAATGGACACGTTTGGGGAGACACGTAAAGTCGCAGCAGAAAAATAAACTTGACTCGGCTTTGGCAAATTATATGCTTTTAAACTCATCTAAAATTTTAGTTGATTGATTGAATATCTTTTTAAAATTTTAAGTGACATTTTAAGTTACAAATAAAGACAAACCAACAACTTGGGGGTGGGACAAATGCGACCTTTTTTTTGCTGGAAAAGGCCTTAGGCAAGGCCGTAGAGCTTCGAAAATATTTCCATATAAGGGAATCGTATGCTTAGATTCCGAATTTCGAAAGCTGCGGAAAAGCGTTAAGTTGCGTAGTTTTTGCCTTTTAGCCCAAATTTGACGTGTCAGCGAGGTCTGATTTGTCGAAATTCGGAAACTACGCATACGATTCCCCTATATGGAAATATTTTCGAAGCTCTACGGCCTTGCCTAAGGCCTTTTCCAGCAAAAAAGGTGCGCAAATGTCCAGGTGCGCAAAAAAAAGGTAGCATTTGTCCCACCCCCAACAGCTTTCATTTTTTATCAACTTACCGTATTTTTCGAGTAGAAGACCGGGTAAAGAGTATCATCACGTACTCCTGCGTAGCAGCCCTTTTAAAAATTTCTTTTCTGCATAAAAGCTTTCAATCAAGTGCTATAGGGCTGGAAAATGACTCAAAAATACCACATGAGCTAACAGATTTTTGAGTCATTTTCCAGCCCTATAGCACTTGATTGAAAGCTTTTATGCAGAAAAGAAATTTTTAAAAGGGCTGCTACGCAGGAGTACGCGATGATACTCTTTACCCGGTCTTCTATTCGAAGAAATACGGTACGTGTTTAGTTCATTCTCGCGGTTTGCGACCCTAGACCCAATTTTTAATTTTTTGAGCAGAAATCCAGAGACAAGGCATCGGCAAGCAGTCAGTAACAATTTAGCACAGTAGATATAGAGAAATGAAACAATTCAAGTAGGTATGTACATGGAAATCCTTGCTTACGATAGCAAGCAGGTAGATAAATAAGCCGAGGTAAAGGAATGAGTATTGGGTTTTGGACTAAGAGTTTCTGAAAGATGAGCATTCTCATCCTTGTTGCTCATCATCTTCGCTACTCCCCAAGGTGTACTCGGAGTCATCGCTTTCTTCCGAATCAAAGCCACTCTCGTAGCCAGCACTAAAAGCAGTTTGGACTTGATAGACAAATTTTATCTAACTTTGATTGAATTTTTTGTTTAGCATGAAAGCTATTCAGTCTAGTCTAGTCAAAATTAAGTCACGATTGGACTCGGATTTCACCCACTTTTGCGCTAGAGGCCATAAATCCCTAGCTGCCCCAATCGGATCGCGATTCACATTAGCTGCAGGAACATCATTTCCCTGAAATCACTTTCTCGCATCATTTTTCCATTCACCAACCTCATTATCTTCCTGGTCGTTGTTTGATGGGACCTTCATATCCGTGTAGCATAAAGGACATACCTGAAGACATTTAACGTGTTAATATCGCTAGAACAACGTAAAGTTTTTAGAGGCCCCTACGAACAGCAACATTTTACATGACTATTCCATGTGCTAACCGCTGGCCAGATTTTGAAATTTTTTCATATCTTTTCAGCAACTTTATTTATGATCATTATTTTGCTTGTTTGCTTACGATTTGATTTAATTTTAGATCGATGTCGAGCGGCGAAGAGGGATCAAAGCCGGTCGTCTGCACGTTTCGAAAAGCCGGCAAGAAGAGGGCACAAACGCGACAACGAGCCGAAGAACCAAAAAGGGAGGACAGCGATAGAAGTAACGATGAAGATGAGGTAGCTTTTGTTTTTAGTGGAACTTTTCGATCACCGGGTGGTAATTTTGGTAAAATGATCACTCAGTGTTGTGGTAGTACAATTAATTATGTACTGGCAAACGATTATTTGTTTTCTTTTAGTCTGTGCGAGAGATTGCTGCTGCAAAGAAGCGACGTCAAAACCCAATGATACAATCGGTTAGTTTATGTTTTTAAAAAATCTTTCTTTAAAGTTTGCATTCAAAAATTGGGTACTAAGGCAGTTGGGGGGGAGGGGCATCTAAAATTTTCCCAAATGTAGTTTTTCTAGGGTAATTGATGGCGTTGATCACGAAAAAACCACATTTTTAAGTTATTCTTTTTTCTTTATTTTTACATAGACGCCTATATTTACCTAAGCTTTGGCTCCGCACCTCTACCGTGCCGAAGGCGCACGTGTGGCCTGACTGCAGCACCTCAGAGCGCGACAGTCGCTAAAGGCGGTTAAGCCAACATCGATAGGCTCCACAAACACACAAAACCCGCTACCTTCAGGTTCTAGCAGACGACGCAAATGCGATTAAATGGAAGTGACCGGTTATTAATATTTGGGAAAATAAGTTTTATTAATTGAAAGCATAACTTAAAAAATGTTTTTGTTGTGATCAATTACCCTAGAAAACTATATTTGGAAAAATTTTAGGTGCCCCTGCTTCCCCCCTGCCCAACTGCCTTAGTACCAAAAATTGTTTAGACAAAACGAGAAAAGAGCAAGACGGCCAGAAAAGTAGACGCATCATCGTCAGACGATTCAGAGGGCGGTGGTGTACTCCCCGATCTTGCTTTCAAGTCAACCGGAGAGACTTTACCTATGGGTTTGTTAAGTTACCAACTAATATTTGCTGCTAACTATGATCATTTTTTAATTAATTATTTTAGGTCCAAAAGATATGGGAGCCACGGCGACACTGGAAATCGACACGGATATTGCGAACGACGCCCAGTCTCAATTTGAACGTGTTCAGAAGCAATTGGATGAAGGATTGACAAAAGTATGTGCTTTTTATTGTTGCTTTATTGACTTTTCGATATTTTAGGATGGAAAAACTATTTACAAGGGTGCTGCGATGTATGGAGCAAGAAAAGCTGAAGACACGATAAAAGGAAGTGCTAGTTCAGGTATCGTAGCAAATTAATAATTTCAAGAATTCTAATGCTTTCTTAAGTTGACATTTCAAAAATTACATTTTAGGTTTGAATCGCATTGGTCCCATTCGAGCCCCTCAATTTGTGCGACAAACGGTCCTGTGGGACTACAAGCCGGATCTCTGCAAGGATTATAAAGAAACCGGCTACTGTACTTTTGGAGATTCGTGTAAGTTCATGCACGATCGTACCGACTACAAACATGGTTGGGAGATCGATCGGGATTATGAGGTAGCTTTTTTAATTCTTTATAATCTAGAAGTAGAATTTTAGGCTAGTTTGAAACAAAAGAAAGAAGAGGAGAACTACGAGATTTCTTCGGAAGAGGAAGACAATTTGCCAGACGAGTGCCAAATTTGCCGCGAGCCTTTTGTAAGCCCAGTCGTCACAAAGTAAATGATTAATGCTTGTATTTTTGTAAAAGATTTTAGATGTAAACACTACTTTTGCGAGGGATGTGCGATTGAAGCCTTCAAGAAGTCGAAAAAATGCTATGTATGCAACGAAAACTTTGGAGGAGTGTTCAATCCAGCCAGAGGTAAAGTTATATTTTACAAGTTATCTAAATTATCAAACTTTAGATATAATGGCTAAAATGGCAGAAGCGAAACCTTCGTCAAGCAAAGCGGGAGCTAAGGTCAACGAGAAAGGAGATGGTATAAATATCTTCAAACTAAAAAATATTAAATGTGTAGAAGAACAAGAGGACCAAGAAAGCAGCGGCCCTGAAAGTGAAGCTGGCGAGGAACTGATCGAGGACACTCCAATGGAACTTTTGCCCGATGAGCCCGATGATGGAGAGGATGAAAAGGAACCCGAAGAAGGCCTTCAATATGATGATCGCTTTGAGGTAGTTTTTTAGTAAATGGCTTAAAATTTTGTCATTTTTCTGGAGGTTACTATTCAAGTTTTCTACCAAGTTCAAGTAATTCAAGTTTCACATAAAATTTTTAGCCCGATTGGGATGATCGACCAAAGAAAAAGAAAGTCGAAGAGGAAACACCCAAAGTCGATGATGACCAAGAAGCAAGCACAGATGATGGAGAGGAAAAATAAGAATAAGAAGAAAGTGGTGAATCCAATCAATAACTGTCGTTTGTTGTATTTTATGATTTGTTTTTCCTAAATATTTTTGAGTACCTGTTTGACTGCTAGCCATTTTCGTAGACATGCGCCATGAAAGAGGTGTTTACACGGGGCAACTCTGGCCTCGGTAACCATTTCCGTGAAACAGATTGCGCACATGTCTCCTTTCATCTCTAGAAATTTTTAACGGTTAATCTTTAAGTTATTTTGCTTGTTGAATAAACTTTTTCCCAGCTCTTGAATTTTCTGTCGATTTGGTGCGCAAATTTTACTAACGCATTACGTACTTTCCAATTGTTCTGGTGTGGCTCGTTGTAGAAGAGAGAAATTGTGTAAAGCGGCGTTTCGAGAACGTATGGATGAAACTAGAGCTTCTATACGTTTGTAGATGTTGATTAAAACGTGGAAAATTAGAACAGCGACTGAAGTAACCGTCCAATTGCCTAAAATGATCTTTCATTTTGGTTCTAAAGCTTCTTGTTACCCATAGCTGTCGTATAGAGACCGTAAGCTAGCACGGCTAGCGCAATCAATAACTCTACGATTTTTGTTGTCAAACGACAATTGTAGATCAGATCGTCGCTGCTCTCCCACGGCTCGTCAGCTTTTGCCTAAATATGTTTTGAATCGAAATTTTTTTACCGATGCACCTCGATCATCCCGATAAAGTAGATAAAAAGTGTGCTAGCCGAATGAATTGTGATCAAAATGCAATTGGATACGATGATCACGCACCTGCAGCTCATTATTAATGATAATCTTTCTTTAGCTTACCATAGATCGAGTGGCAAAAATGAAGTGATTGCTAGCGACATTGTGATTGGTGCAACAAAGAGGAAACCGGTGACGAAAAGACACCGAATGTGGCTAGAGATTGGGTAACTTTTCATTGCTTTTTCGAGATTTACCGTCCTCTTGACACAGTTGGTGAGGCTGCCATCACCAAAAGTTGCGGTTCGACTAAGTCGAATAAAGAATGCAACAAAGCGGATAAAACTAAAGTTGATATCCCATTCAAATTTTCTTAATTAGCATACCGACAAAGAAGACAAGTCCGAGGAGAAAGGCTTTTTGTTCGGTTTTCATGCCGAGAACCTAAAAACAAGTTGATGGGATTTTGATAGATTGCATACTTACACCAGCTTGCACACAAAGGAGCACCAGAATTAGTCCCTCCGTACAACTAAAGTTTGTTTTTCAGGATTTAAGTTGCTTTCTCAAACCCAGAATTGGCCAGCACGTGTCCATGATCTCTTGTGCCGCCGATAACAAGTTGTGCTCCATCGACAACCCATTTGCAAACAAATGAAACGGTCAGAGCCAACGCCAACAAGGAGAGCGGTGTATTTGTTGCTTCTGCGATACTCGTGAGGAGTACCCTGCCTGCTTCCTTCCATTCACGACCCTGTTGTAATTGATGAGCTGAATTCAGTACTGTCTACCTTTTCCCATAATTCCACGTAAACTCGAGCGTGAAAAATCGTCAGCCACGTGCACGTGAGCAATTCGGCGATTCGAAGTCGCCGCCAAATTGTTACAGCACCTTGAATAGCCAGTACCAAGTACAAAGTATATACAAAGCACATAGTCAGTACAAAGAAGCGTAATTGGCTTACCCATGGCCAATCCGTGCACGAAAAACACGGCTTTCAATTGTAGGACAGCGTTTTTCACATATTGTGCCATTGATGGGGTTTTGTTCAAAATGTAGATGCAGATCGAGAACATTGTGAATGAACAGGCAACGTTGTGAGCTGAAAATTGTTGGCTGGGAATGGTCGATTTTTTGATTCCATTTACCGACAATCAATTTGTCAAGTGGACAAGAGCACATTCGTGCAATAATCGGAATTGTGAATGGGGTGAGGAACAGACGAGCCAAGTCACTCTCAAGACCGAGAACGAAAGAATTGAGGACCGCCAGCATCAGCTGAACACTCGTTTGTGATTTCAAGTTTTGAAAACTACCTGTGCAAGGAAATGGAAACCATGTCTTTCGAGTTTCACGAAATCATCGAGATGAATTTCGACCTCTTGCGATTTTTGCTCAAGTCGAACGTAACTGAAAATGGGTTTTTGAAACTCAAATTCCTACTCCTACATTGTGCTCATATACTGAGCGATGGCGAAAATGACGAGCGAAAAGAAATGGCAATATGTTCGAAACAACTTCGACAATGGTAGCGTTAGCAACATTACTGCCAAGAGGAGGACTAAATTTCGGGTGTGACGACACAAATTGACGACAGCAAACCGGAATAGGAGAGCACGTAGCCGGCTGATTGGTCCAAGTTTCGGCGATGAACGAAATCGAGAATGGTTGTGATGTCCATGTAGGAGTTGAAGGGAGCCTGAAAAGGGTTTTGGGAATTGTGAAGATGGGATTGTGATTGAAGATGGGATTGTGATTAAGATGAGATTTTAGTGTGAACATTAAGCTACTGTAAAATCTAGCATTGTACTGTAGCTTTAAAACATTAACATTTACGTTTCAAGCATCTAAATTTATTTTATTTTTGGTGGTTTTTGACTACACTCAGGCTTCAGCATTGCAACAGAACCAAAATGTACTTTGATCAACATCTCTTGTGTGACGTCTTCAAATGTCATGTCCCTATTCCTCCACCACAACTCCAATAAGATCAATCCCGGCAAGCGGAGCACCGTCTCGATCACTTGTAATCCAACTGTCTTCATCTGAAACACCACTTTGAAGTCCATCAAAAATAATCGCTTAAACTCACGATCAACAGATTCTGATTCAACTGATCTTGCCCGGTGCGAATGTTGGTCCGAAATTGTTCCACATATTCCATTGCATTTAATGTGTCCAATTTTTTGTAGTGTATCCGGAGATTTGATAGAATCGATAACTTTCGCCCAGACGATCGCCTGTTACATTGCCTAAAGGGCTGAACGCGAAACTACAATTGCCACCCCTTGAAACGCCAAAATACTTCGCATAACACTGGCTCTAAGATATCGTCATCAATTCCCTATCATCGGGATATTTTTTGCTTAGATGTCACCAGAAAATTTACGTTTTAACTTTATAAAAAGCCGTGCATTATTTTGGCGGAAAGCGGAAAATTTCCAAACAAAGCGAAAAATTTCAACTTTTTTGATAGTTTAATCTGATTCTAGTTTTCAATGATAATTTTATTTTATTTCTTGATTTCTTGTTTCTTCTCTCTTGATAATTTTTGGGTTTAAAACTGATTTTAACTTTTTCAGGCACTTAAATGCCGGTGGAAATTCGAGCATTCGCTGATTTGCAGAGGATTATCGCCGATGCTGGAGCCTCAAAGTTGCTCATTTGTGACTTCTATGCGGATTGGTGAGCTTTAGCGGTTATTTTAAAGGAAATGAATGCATGTTTTCTAATGTAACACCAAAATGATGCATTTGCAAAAAAAAATTTTTGATTTAGGTGCGGTCCGTGTCGAATGATCGCTCCACTCTTCGAGCAACTCTCGCAACAATTTCCGGATGCCGTCTTTTGCAAGATCAATGTCGATAACTGTAGAGGTAATTCTATTTTTGTGTATTTTTTGAAAAATATACTCTATGTAGTGATTATTGTTGGTTTAGATATAATCTTTATTACAGCAATAATAGTTGGTTCAGTGGTTTGGGATTGGGAGAGTAGAGACGACGACGACACATAGGTGTCTAGCTGGCCATTTCCATACGTGGCGACCTCGATCACGAGATCGTCACGACACTATGAAAACGGATCTAAGCCGGAACTTTTGATATTGTAGCACGATTTTCATTCTTTAGATGTGATGACATTTTATCGAGTCCGAGCCATGCCGACGTTTGTTTTTTTGAAAAACAATGTCGAGGTAAGGTTGTGATTGTGATTAAGATTGTGATTTGGGTTCTTCTGCATCTTTGCCCCACCAAGAAGTTAATATGCATATTTATCTTTGAACTCCATCATTTACTATTTACTCCATCATTAACATCATCATTTACTATTTAGCATGTTTTATCCTAGATTTTATATGATTTTGAATAGATTCGAGCTAGAATGAATGAATACAAACCTAATAAAAACCCATTCATACTATTTCCCCGTATCTTTACCCAACTAGGGAAATGCTGGGGGGAATTTACACTTTTCCTGTTTTAGTTGGCCGGGCAAAGATGCAAAAGTACCGTGATTTTAATCTGTTATCAAAAAATCTAAACTTTTAATGTTAAAGTTTTGTTTTTAGGTTGAACGAATGGAAGGAGCGAATCCGCAGCGATTACAGCAAATCATTTCGACACACTACACGGCCGATAATCCAAATGCGGCTACCGAACTGGAACGAAATTTTTTGAGGCTATTTGAGAGTGCTTCTAATAAGGTAAATACATAATTTCCTTTTACTGCAAGAATACAATTTTTAGATGCAGATTTATAAAGATGAGGTGAATCAAACGTTGGCTTTGAGTCTGATCCCAAACGAGCGTCTCCGTGCAGATTCGATGATTGATGAAAAGGTTTATTTAGATAATAAAATTATTGGCGTTTACCCAGTTTTTAGGTTAATCTATTTCATCTGTTGAAGAATTTAACGGAATGGTTCAAAGTGGAGTTCTTTTCGTGGACTGACACGCCAAAATGCGAATGTGGCGAAGTGACCTCAAGGAATACGGTATTCGTTTTTGAAATTTGTTTTTTGTCGCTGTCGAATGAGTCAGAGCTAATCTGTAGTTTTGATTTATTGATCAACAATTGATCATATTGATCATCTATTCATTGATCATATTGATCATTTATTCCTTTGCATCATTTGTTTATTTTAAATTTTTAGTACAAAGAAGGAACACCGACTGCAGAAGAATCATCTTATGGAGCCGATCGAGTTGAGGTTTACACGTGCAAATGTGGCAAAGATGTCCGATTCCCTCGATACAATGATCCGACGAAACTTTTGGAGACTCGGTAAGAAAATTTGTGCTGACACAATAATTAAGCCAATTTGAATAATCTAAAAGATACTTTTATTCTCTAATTTTTTTTAAACTTTCTTTGATAAATTAATTTCAGCAATGGTCGCTGCGGTGAATGGGCGAACTGCTTCACTCTTTGTGCGGCAGCGATGGGTTTTGATGTCAGGTACCTTTGAAAATTTGTGGCAAATCTATTTTGCATTTAGATATATCTACGACGTGACCGATCATGTGTGGTGTGAGGTTTGGGTGCCGGAGCTCGATCGATGGGTACACGTGGATCCTTGTGAGAATCTTATCGACTCACCGCTCGTCTACGAACTGGTAGATATCTCACTAGATCTGCATTGATAGTTTTAGTAATCAGATTTTCAAAAAAGAATTTGAAATCTTGATAAATATGTATTTTACTTTCAAAAAATTCTCCTAGAAACTTGAATGATCCTTTTTTTCTATTCAGGGTTGGAAAAAGTCGCTGAGCTACGTGGCTGCTTTCGGATTTGATCACGCGTACGATGTCACCTGGAGATACATCAGTGACGCTCGGAAGACAAAGAAAAGAAGAACCGCCGTCCGAGAGACCGTCTTGCAAAATTTTCTAACGGTTAGTTCATTGAAATTACTATGTAAATTGGGATAGCTCTTTAGAAATTATCAAATCGGATGTCTAAAGATGCCACTCAACAGCGAAAAGACGAATTGAGTCAGCGTCGATTACGAGAACTTATCGAACTACTTCATATTGGTTGGTGTTTTAAGTACATTTTTCTTTCTTTCAAAGAGTGGAAAGTTAAAAAGTTAATAGTATATCCAATGTGGATCATGTAAAATGAAATGAAAGATTTTCTCAGGAGTGAGTGAATGTTTTTTAGCACCGAGAACGGACAGCAAGAATTATGGAGGACGAATCTCGGGCGATGAACGATGGAAAAAGGTGTGACTAAACTGTTAAATTTTAACTCATTTGGACTAAACTGTTCAATTTTAGGAACGAGGCGAGGGTGGCTCATGTACAACGAGTCCCAAAAGAAAACAAATTGTGATTCGACCGAATGATCAAGAAATGTCAAAGAAGAAATTTACGTGAGTTTGATTTTTGTCAACTAAAATACCCAATCATTAGGCTTTCTTATAACGTTGTGAAAGATGCGTATTTGCGAGGAGAAACTGCCTCAAAAGGATTTCACTCGATGGTCTTCAAAGTACAGTTTTACTTTGTGAACCAACTCAAAAAAGTGTTTTTAGTCGAAAGATATTCAATTGAAGAAAGAATTTGACTGGAAGAAAGCGTACTTGTGCCGGAAAGAGGGAAAAGATGAGGGAGAAATCTGCTGGACCGTCGATTTGACTGGATTAAAAGCGAAACGAGCATTTTTGAAGGTCGATGGAATGGCGACGTTTGAAGGTGATTTAGAGATTTTGTTTGTAGAATTTATTTATTTTCGATCAATAATTTGCTACTTGATTTTTCACTTTAGGAGGAAAACTAACAATGACGGTATGCGCTGATGATGTGTGCATGCGAGTACCGGCTTCCGGCGAGCTCATATTCGATGACCCACCGAGCACGATGTTACAGATTAAGGTACTTTCATGATTTATCAAAAATAATACCGTAATACCCCTAATAGTAGCCCCCCCCCCCTACAATGACGGTCGGTGCGTCGCGTAGTCTAACTTTAAACGCATTTTTCTCGCCATCCGTTTATGCTACAGTGTGCGCTTAAGTATCAAATGAAAGTTGAAATTCAGGGCTATTTTTTGATACTAAAGATACATGTATTTTTAGAAATTATGGGCGCTTAGAAAAAATAAGTAAAAAGTAAAAAAATTAGTAAAAATTTTTACGGCTACGCGACTGTACGGGCGGAGGTGCTACTATTAGAGGTATTACGGTAAGTTAACTATGTATGAATCACAATCTTTATATTAAAATCTTTTCGTAAAACAAATTTTTTTAGAAAAGACAGTTTTTGGGCAATTTTAGAACAATCCTTCACCTTTTTACTATTTAATTTTAACTTTAGGCACATCTATCCGGTGGTCGTGGAGAGAACGCTTTTCAACACACGCAACTCTTCCGTGCATCACTTGTCGAAGCGACGGAGACTTCACAAATGCAAATCGAAATCGATTTTGAGTAATAATTCTTTTATTTAATTTATTTAAATTATTGGGGCAATTGCGAATTTCATCCAAAGATACTTAATTTGGTTTTGCAGCTTGAAGACAAAAAAAGCAATGAGATTTAAGCAAATATTATGTCAATTTTTAAGTTTAAATTTTATGGGATATAATTATTATCTAGCTTTTCATAGCCTTCTATTTAGTAAAATTGCCTTATTTATTTTTTGACTCACTTTCCTACCCTATGCCTAAAAAATACCAAAAATACTCGGTGAATAGAGAAATGAAACTGTGATAAAATAAGGAGTTTAATTATGTGTGAATAAAATTCTAATAAATTTTCTCGTATTTTAAATGTTTTTCATGTGATGTGACCTTCAACTGCGTTCTTTTTTATCTTCTTTTCTGTCCCAAGATAACACGTGAAACAGTTTTTAGCCGAGTTTTGAGACGAGATGAAAGTCGCTTTGGTAACGGGTACGTTTTTAATGCGATTTAATTCTACTAAGTGGGTACAAAGCCTAACCTATACTATAAATAGGTATCAGTAGTGACCAACCGAACTTAGTCTGGCCCAGAGATTGGTTGGAATAACAGAAAGAACAGTTAAAGTCTCGTTAGGCACATCTAGTATCATTCAAATAAACAATTCTACTATTATTAGGTGCTTCCTCGGGTATCGGTGCGTCGGCCGCCGAATTCCTTGCCAAAGACGGGTTTTTCTTGTCGCTGAGTGGACGCGTCGAAGAGGCACTCATCAAGACACGTGATGCGTGCATTGTACAAGGATGTCCCAGCGATAAGGTGCCATTGAAATTCTTGTAAAGTAAAACCTCATTGCAGATAATTTACACCGTTGGCGACATTAACGAGGACTCCGTGCAAAAGGATTTCGTCCAGCGAACGATCGAAAAATTCGGACAAATCGACACTTTGGTAGGTCTTTGATAGTTCTTTGATAGTTCTTTGATAAAATATCGATTAAGGTGTGATTAATTGTGACAATTGTGACAATGAGATAGTAAAATAGCTCGCAATTTCAATAATTTACAGATTAACGCGGCCGGTATTCTGGTGAATGGCACAGTTCTCGATTGCCCAATGGAGGAATATGATCGGCAGATGCTTGTCAACGTGCGAAGGTTGGTCGTAAAATAGATTTTAAAGAATGTTTAGAGTAAAATAGCTTCAGGACTGTACTTGGGTAATTGTTCTTTTCTAGCCTTCTTAGCTCTTCTGAACTTTCTTAGCTATTCTTAAAAAATAAAACCGATAATGAGTGTTCCCCCGTAAATAGAGCTTGCTTATCGACCAAATTTAGTGCAGAACAGAGAATGGGTTACGGTAGAAAACATACCATATAACGGACTTTGATCTATTTGACACTAATTTACCCGATAGGTACTTGTAAATTATTAGAATTTTCAAAATTTTAGCCTCATCTCTGTCACTCGAGTCGCTTTGCCAGAAATCATCAAAACCAAAGGCACCATCGTCAATGTGAGCAGTGTGGCCGGCACGAATGCGGTAAGAATTTTAAAAAAGAAACGCTAGCCTACTTTAGAATCTCATAGCCTGTCTATCTACAGTAATGCAGAGATTCCAGTATACTGTAGTGAGAGACTAAAATTTCGCAATCCTTTTGACAAAGAAAAACTTTAAGTTCCCCGGTGTCACGTATTACTGTATCTCGAAAGCGGCCGTCGATCAATTCACCAAATGTTTGGCCCTCGAAATGGCTTCAAATGGGGTTCGAGTGAATGCGGTCAAGTAAGCAATTCTAAAATGACAAAGAAAATTTTGATTTCAGCCCTGGTGTCATCGTGACTGATATTCATCGGCGAGCCGGTCAAGACGAGGAAACTTATCGAAAGGTTTACAGTCTAAAAAGTGGTTTACAGTAGAACTAGTCTAGTCGACTCAAAGACAAGGTCCTGGGTTCACGTTCGAAATTCCAATTTGCAAATCGAGAACTTTATTCATTCTATTTTGCATTAGATTTTATCGGTGGTGAATTTCTAGAGGTAAATTGCAGTATAAAAAGCTAACAAAAAACGCTGACTTTTCAGTTTCTCGAGCACTCGGCCGAAACACATGCACTCGGAAGACCGGGAACGGTTGATGAGGTAAAAAAAGTTGTCAACTATTCTACTAAAGAAGATTGCCATGACAACTATGAAACCAATAAATCTCTCAAAAATTTCAGGTTTCCCGTGCCATCGTTTTCCTGGCCGGACCCGCCAGCTCATTCACCACCGGTCATCTACTCGCCATCGATGGTGGCCGTGGAATCATGACTCCTCGATAGTTTGAAAGACTCTTGTTGGTTTATTTTTGATAAACATAAATCTAAATGCTTTATTTGTCTCACGAAACATTACAAACTTGTTAAAGAGAAGGGTGAAGCGGTGAGGAAACTAAAAAAAATCGACATAATGAGAGATAATTTTAATTTTTCTCACATAAATTTGTTTTCTCGACTTTTATCGAAAATAGATAGGTACTAGAAAACTTAAAACCACCTTTGTCCACACTTCTCAACTCGTGCGCTTGTTTGTTGACCCGTTCGCGACTCGAATGTTTCCCCAAACAGGCCCGCTCGCGACGGAACTTGACGTACTTCTAAAACAACAAGAGTAACAACTTTTGGTTTCAAATTATAGTCGATGAGATACTTTTGCTCTATACTATTGCATATAAAAATCACAAAAAAAAACCCTCACTTGATGATAAAAGTCGGCAAATAAAAAGAGGAATCCCAATACACCGGCAGTAGTAATCTAAAAGTTGAACAAAATAAATGTTTATAGTTTAAAAACGAACCTGAAGCCATGGTCGAGTGATGTGGCACTCTTTGCCCGATGAAATCACCGAATGAGCGCGAAGACAGCCAAAGAGACACACGACGAATTGCGCCATTTGACCTAAAACACAATTACAACCATAAAACCGATCATAAAGCGTACTAAATAAGCACTTGAAATACTGATTGTGAGCTGAAATCAAGCAGCTTACTATTAGGAAAAAGTCAGAAAGAAAACTCACTCAGTGCCACTGATGTGTAGCACGGTCGGATATGAAAGAATTTATGCGGTGTCAAGTACGAGAAGAGGAGCACGTGCGCTGCGAGATTTACCGTCACCAATGGTCTAAAAAGTTGATAATAGATAATATCACAATAATAACAATAATAGACAATAGAAAGCACAATAGTAAGCAACCCCTATGGGTTATTGAGTAGAAAGATTTGATAGATGCGGCAAACGAAAAGACCGTTGCATTTATAACAAATAAAATAGTTCCTACGACAAATTTCGTAAACAAAATAAACAAAAGCACTATTCTTTTGACCTATTAATAAATATTAATATTAATACCTATATTAATAAAGCAATATAAATAAAAGATGAATTTTTTATCTTGCCTTATTGAATAAGGCGACAATAGCTCACAATCACAAAATAGATGGAAAGCTATAGCTCGAACTCCAGTCAATGCTTGTTACAGCAACTTCAAGAAAACCAAGCCCACCTTAATAACGCCACCTCTCCTGCGATCGATTTCCAAACGAAGTAGAGTGTGGAAAAGTGATGAAGAAGATGAATTGGAAGTGGCCGTCGATCATCAAGCACAATTAACACCGTTTCTAAAGAAAATCTAAGCTAATTAAATCTAAGCTACAAAATGTTTGACTAACCAGCCAAATCGAGGAACTTCGAGAAGAAGAACAAATTCACCGCCCAACCACTCAGAGGCGCTAAAATCAATTTGAAACAGTTGAAAAGGCAATTAAACCTGTGAAGAAAGTATCGCGATCACAGACAGCCCACGACCAGCCACGAATCAAAATGCGAATCATTTCCGGGATCAACATGATCAACAAAAAGAGCGAGATGAGACCATGTAGACGATACCTAAAAACAAACAATTTAACCAACCACAATAGAGTAGTCAACTTATAATATTGTCCTGTACCGTTTCTCATTTTTTTCGTTCCTAGTTTCGAAGCTCAAAGTTGACAACTGGATTGCGGTGAATTTATTAAGGAAAAACGATGAGATGGATAAACGAAACGAAAACGAAAAACGTGTTAAACGAAAATTTAAACTCTAAAGGACAAGCCTGACTTTGCCTCATGAAGTTAAAATGATACTTTTTCGATTTAGATCCCCCAAAGCTCATAAGAAAAATTTTATTTTTGTTCATTTTTGCCTTACTTTAGGTTTTTTGCGGTAGGTTTTTGATGATTGTCTCATTCTTGTTTTAACACAAATCTGTTAGTATCTTTTTGTGGTTATTCTAACTACACTACTTTTAACTACTTAGAAGCCTTAAAACATCTACAGTGGTCAAAAGTTTGAACCCACCCCCGCGTCCTAGCAAAGGATGGCTGCTAAAACATAAGCTTTTAGCATATTGTACTCAAACCAATATTTTTTTCACACTTTCTACTCCTCTACTTTTCAAATTTCGTTGCTCTTTTACTCAAGCGTCGAATTATTTTTGATCTTCGTGTTTTTCCTGCTTTACCCCCTTAAAAAGGGCAAAAGTTTGGACCCACTTTCGTAAAACAACTCAAATATCAACAAGAAGCAATAGACAATCAATATTTAGTTGCATATCCTTTAGCAGTGACCACTGCAGCATACCATCGAGGCATTGATTCGATAAGGGCTTTTTGAACTGTAATCTTGGCCCAAGCTTGTAGAGCCTGCATCAACTCGGCCGTCTTCGAGTACTTTTTCGATCGAATTCTGCGATCTAACTCTTCTCAAAGATTCTAACTGCGATCTAACTCTTCCCAAAGACTAACTGCGATCTAACCCTTCGCAAAGATTCTAACAGCGATCTAACTCTTCTCAAAGATTCTAACAGCGATCTAACTCTTCTCAAAGATTCTAACAGCGATCTAACTCTTCTCAGACTCTAACTGCGATCTAAATCTTCTCAAAGATTCTAACTGCGATCTAACTCTTCCCAAAGACTAGCTGCGATCTAACTCTTCTCAAAGATTCTAACAGCGATCTAACTCTTCTCAGACTCTAACTGCGATCTAAATCTTCCCAAAGATTCTAACTGCGATCTAACCCTTCCCAAAGACTTTAGCTGCGATCTAACTCTTCTCAAAGATTCTAACTGCGATCTAACTCTTCTCAAATCGGATTTAAGTTTGGGTTTTGTGCTGGTTATTTCATAAATTCATTTTTTTTGCAGAAGCCAGTCTGACCAATCGCAACGCATCTTTGGGATCTTATGGTTTAACAGCCATCCTTTGCTAGCACGCGCGGATGGGTCTAAACCTTTGACCACCACTGTCTATCTCGTGAAATTCTCCTATGTTTTTGGGGGATCTAAACCGAAAAAGCATCGCTAAAATACTAACTTAGCAACTGGAATGCCAATCTTTTGTGGTACACGAAAAGGCCTTACCATAAATACTCTAATGCCCATAATGACGAGCGTACAGTCGCGTAGTCTAACTTTAAACGTCTCGTTCTCCATGCTGGTTTAAGCTACAGTGTACTACATGGTGTCAAATGATAGCCCTTGAAATCTATTGGGTTGATGCATAATTATCCGGACTTCTTTTATAAATGATTTTATTTAACAAAAAAATAACATAAATAGTTAGAAAAATATGTTTAATTGATTATTCTGGAGCATATTCACCGCCTACATCAATAACTGATTGCCATTTGCTTGGAAGACGATCGATTCCACGAGCGAAGAATAAACGAGCTTTGGAGGCAATCCACGCTTTAACATCGTCTATCAAGTCATCCAAATCGTTGTAGATCTTATTTGTTTGCCAATTTTTGAGCGATCGATTGACGTGGTAGTCCGTTGGGGCTTCTCCAGTTCTTTGAGATCGCGAAACGACTCTGCGGCAGACCATCCCTTTTCGAAGTGGTAGAGCATGATATGGCGAAGATGGATATGATTGTCGACACGCATTTTGTTCACTAAAGAATAACGAATATTTAAAAAAAAGAAATAGACAAAAAGCTTTCAAAACAAAAAAGATACAAGCACGCAAAAAGAAGTCCGGATAATTATGCATCAACCCAATAGTATTTTTTTGGTACCAAAAGTGTAGTTAGGAAAGGTCTAAAAGCTGAGAATAAGATGATTTTCAAAAAAGAAGATAGACTACGCGACTGTACGAGTGGGTGGCGTTCTATTAGAATATTTACAGTATAAGTATCCAAGTAACACTCACCAATACGGCATAAAGTTGTGCTTTCGGCGCACATGCACGGGCAAGTAGAAGACGACGATCAGATAAGCGAGTATGATCACGTAGAGGATTTCTGGATGCAATGATGTCCATGTAGTCAAATAAGTCATCTCTAAAGAAAAAGTGGATCATAAGGGGTTTTACCATTTTTTTGCAAGCTCACATCTCGTAACATTATGTCAATTATTCACGCTTTTTGAGCATGACACTAGCATTGAAATGGCCAAATATTCTCATAAACGTTACAAACTTTGGTACTTTTCCAATATCGGGGGAGCGAAAGGAAAATCGGGGAAGCAAATTTTGCCCCCTCGAAAAATGCATTTCCGGGACTATATTATAACTGCAACGTTTTTCTTTTCAAACTTTAATAACGATGCGCTTCTCTGATATTTGTGCGTTCAAGGAATCGACGGCAATCGATTATTTCGTCACCAAAGGAGTCATCCAGTCGTGGATTTGCAATTGTGGCGAATCGATGAAAGTCCGCTCAAAGGGAAAAGATCTATTTCGCTAATATAAATCTAATATAAAGGTTGTGAGAATAACGGGTAATTCGCGGATTTTATGGCGGTAGTTTGTATAATATAGGACATATGTAGCGCTGCCAAAATTTGCTCCCCCGATTTTCCTTTCGCTCCCCCGATAATCCTTCCGCTCCCCCGATATTGGAAAAGAACCCAAACTTTACTTAAATCTTAAAAAGCTACCTTATAAACTTCCACAAACGAGCATCAATTGCGTGAAACTAAAATGAGAATTAGGAAACAAAATAAATTGAAAAACTCACCAATTAGAAAAAGTTGCAAGAAGAAAGTGATGAAAAAATAATTTTGAAAAAAATTTTCTCGTCAAAACTTTTGAAATGAAAATTTTGCTGGAATTCAATTTGCATTTCTGTCTGAAGTTTCAGACAGAAATGCAAAATTTGTCTACAAATATGCAAATTTCATCGATGTTTGTGATTTTTTTATAGGTACGCGCTTTTTTTTCATTAAACTTTAACGACATAGATCCTTTACTCCATTTTTTTCAAAGCAAAGTTACACAATCGGCAATGAATGAAATTATGAAAAGCTACCCGAATACTAGACGGCATAAGATAAGAAAAATTTCGTATGAGCCAACTGAAGCGGGGTGAAAATCACAGAAATGTCAACACTAAGACTAAATTTAAGACAAGCCTCACAATACCACAATCAAAGCCTATAAACACAGAGACACACACAAAAATATAAGTATCTAAAAAAATGGCAGACCATTAGACTAGTAAATTTCCATTCCTACTGCGTCTTTTCTTTATCCCAGTCTGGATTCGTGTATCTAAACAAAAAAGCCATTTCATTGAAGTAAAAGGTAATCCCAACCTTAAATGCGCAATTCGAAGCAATTGCGTGAAACCGGTTAAGAAGACGAAACAATTCACACTAAATAAACAAGTTTACTCCACCGCGGTAAGTGATACAAAATTTTACCCTTACCTACACAAGTAGTAGTTCACCGGAGTGATAACGAGACAATAACGAGCCCAGATCGAGCCAGTTGCCGCGAGAGCCATATTCTGAAAGTGAAAATTTCAACTCGAGTATGAAACAGTATTCCAACTCTTCTTAAAACAATATGAATAATTAAAATCGACCCAAGTGTGATGCAATCTACTCAAGAAAAATTTTTGTGGCAGTATTAGCTAGCTTGACTTTAATTGGTACAAGTCAAACTGTACTAGCCAAACTTTGAAGCATCAAAACTGAAGCCATTCCACTTTTTAGCTTGCACAGCACTTTGAACTGCGATTTATTCAATTTAAAAGCATAATAAAAGCAAGTTAACCTGTCCAAGCGAAAGTTTCTCAGCGGGACGAGCCAAATCAGCAATTCCTGCACCCACCAAGGCCCACTTGATTGTCGGCGCCCAAAAGAAAACCGTCTAAACAAAGCATTTTAACCTTTGACTCAAAATTGTTTTTAAAGATCTGATTATTAGCTTATTATTAAACCTTAATAACCAAATAAACCAAATAATAGCAGCAGCGATGTTTCTTTCTCACTTGAATGCCTGGTTTTAGATTTTCTGGATGCTACAAATGAGAAAGAATAGATAATTTCCAGTTTAATACCTTCTCAATTTTTAAAAAACTCCTACTTTGGGTCCAGCCGCGTGATTCCATGCTGGTCGCGCGAAAGCCGGGAGCAATGGGTAAACCATCTAAAAAATACGATTTAATTATGAAATTCTCTAATCAGTGCATTGATCTCGATAAACAAAAGTTCAAAAGCCCACCTTATCTCCCATTCGACACAGCGCTTGATAAAGGGCCTTGTGGGGCAGCATCTTCGACGCTCCTGAAAATAGAGAACATTACATTATTGTCCTATCGAAGAACTATCAAAAATCAACGAAATGCACGAGTTGAAACACTGTTTCTACTGAATTTGAACTTGATTTTTCTGCTAATTAGATTAAAAACTCAATAACGAGTAGCCTGGGATAAAGTTTGTTCTTTTTGGCACTGCCATTCAGTCTGGCCTAAAAGTTACCTGAAATTAGATCGACTACAGTAGCTGGTATCCAGACAATTACTTTTCCAATGGCATATTTATTTCATCTTTTGCTTTTCCACTTTCTTAGCTCTATTTTTGAGGATCCCCGAAAAAAAGTGTTCTCAAAAGAGAAAGCTCGCGGAAAAGACAGAGAGAAATTTCCGATCCTTTAGAAAAGGAGACAGAGACAGACTTAAAGACTAAAAAGGGGCCCCGGAGGGTCCAGGAAAACGGGCTCCGGGACTCATTGATTTTACTCCCGAAAAAGGGAGGATGGGGGAATAGACGAAATGAGAAGAAAGAGCCAAAATGGGGTGAGCCCCAAACGGAGAGAAAAGAAGGGAAACTGAAGCTTGCCCAGGGATGACGCTATCCTTTTCCACGGCTTTTTCATCCCATCCCACTCCTTCGCTCACAAAGATCTAATCTAAAGCACAAAAAGAGAAATAAAACGATAAGCAAACGAGTACATGGCCTCATTTTTTAACAGTAACCCGACTTTTCGTAAAAATGAGTGCATATTCAAATTTGTCTAGCTTTCAAGATATTTGATTAAAGCTGAATCTCCAGCTTCAATAAGGAAAACGTTTTTTTTAGGATCACGCGTGTTAGTATTGAACTAAAGTACAAAATTTGTCAGTTCTTGATAAATCGTAGCAACAGACTTAAATGTTGATCAAAATTTCATAGACTTTCCAATTATTTATTGACAATCATTTAAGGAGAAAATATAGCAAAAAAAGAAAAAAAGAAAGGAGAATTACACGAAAAATCACAGAAACGGCCAGATAGTTGACGGGAAAGCGAAACGAGAAAAAAAACGTTTTTACGATTGGGATAGGAAACGATAAGTAATCCAGATGACGAAATTACAAAATTTGATTATGATCTGAATAACGGGGAAAATTTCATGAAACGGGTAAATGCGCCAATTTCTCAAAAAAAACTTAAGAACATTCACAACCTGGCTAAGATTTCTATGGGAAAATTACGAAAATTTTTGTTGAGAGACTAGAGAAAATTTTGTAGGCTAAATTTGCTAGTTTTGTATTAGGATACAGGAAATTTACAGGAAATCAATATTTTTTTTGAAGAAAGAGTACAAATTTTGCTCTGTGCACCTGATTTCTCTCAGTGAACAAGGGAAAAAGAAGCCTAAACCGATTATGTGCGGTCTTTTTCAACGCAAAACTTACGCGTTCAGCTCACACAAAAACTTGACTGGAATCTCGGATAGGGGAAAACGCAAATATGGACAAACAGCATGATTACGAGATGGGAAAATAGTAGATTCGCGTGAAAACCGACGGGTTATACGTGCGTTGTGTTGTGTTGTGCGTCTAACAACATCCACCAGATCCACCAAGACCGGCACCACCAGCTGGAGAGTTAGGCGATGATGGGCTGTGTTGAGGTCCCAGCTTGATACCATTAGCCTAAAAGATACGATTTTGTCCCTTTCAATTGATAATATAATTTTGGAACTATCTTGTTAGCTTGACATTCCAAAGCATACCTCGTTGTTAATATCGAACACTCCTTCTTGAATCTTTCGGTAGATTTCTTTGGCCGTGTCGATGAAAGCCTAGAAAAAGAAGATGATAACTATATGAACAATATTAACTCAATGCCCATATCGAAAAAGCGAACAGAATCTACAATATATTTAGTCCATGTTTAGATAGTCGGATCTTTCCGGTTAACGGGGGTAAAAGTTTTTGACCATTTTGTAGCTTGATTTTAAGCACCATAATTGTCAGATCAGGAAGTTTTTATAAGATTTAGATAGCTTAGAAGGTCAACTTTCAGAAAATATTTATTTCATCAAAAGCTATCAACGAAAAACATATCGAAAATCGGGCTGCAAAATGTTCAAGAACTTTTACCCCCATTAACCGGAAAGCACCAGATAGTCATTTAGTCATTTAGCCATTTAGTAATGCTTAAAAAATGTCTAGGCTAATTGCGAGCTAAAAGATATACCTCCTCCACGTTGGCCGCCGTTTTAGCCGAAGTCTCCATGAAGACAAGTCCGTGTTCGCGTGCGAAGGCCTCGCCTTCTTCTCGTTTCACCTCTCGACGAGCCTCCAGATCACTAGAAACTTTTTATTTAAAACATTTATCAACAAAAATACCTTTTGTTTCCGATGAGCATAATGACCATATTGCTGTTTGAGTGTTGTCGAGCGTCCTCAAGCCACGATGAAAGATGATTGAAAGTGTCTCGCCTGTAAAAAAATTTTGTGCGATAACCTTTTTAGATTTTGGAAAATGTTGCTTTAATTTTGTAAGTACATTAATCATTTCGATTAATCTCGATCTTTTCAAAGCACAAACCTCGTCACATCATAACAAAGAAGGGCTCCGGCGGCTCCTCGATAATACGATCTAGTGATCGAACGGAACGATTCTTGTCCTAAACTTTTAAAATAAAAGAAAATAGTTGTTAACCAAACCGGCGGTGTCCCAGATTTGCAATTTGATTTGTTTCCCATCGATTGTGATCATACGAGCACCGAATTCGACACCTAAACGATAGCTTTTTATAGAAAAACATTAAACTTTTATTAGCGATTATTGTAAATATTAGAATTGTAATGTAACGATTATTGTAAACAAAAGAATAAAAGCATCCCTACCAATTGTGAGATCATGCACTGGTTGGAACCGTTTATCCGTGAATTGCAATAGGAGGCAAGATTTGCCGACACCTAAAAAAGGAAAAATTGCTTTAATTTGGCAAGTTATTGCTTTAATTACTTTTAGAAAGCTTTTATATCGCTCTTAAAGCTTTTATATCTCTCTTAAAGCTTTTATATTCTATATCTCTTACTTCGAAATTATAAAAAAGATTCCCTTAAACTAAAATTTGGCTTAAAGTTTTACCTGTATCTCCGATGATGATATATTTGAACAAGTACGCGTAGGACATCTTTTCTGAGTAGTCTGAAAAAAATCAATATGATTGGAGCTGGTAAAAGGAGAAAAACAAAATCGAAAACAAGAATCGATAATCGATCAACGGAGAAAAAAACGGGGGAGGCTAATTTCGACCATTTTCTTGCGCAACTCGCCATAACTTTCTTCTAAGTGGGCCAATCTTTATGATTTTGGTGTTGTTGCACTTATTGAGATCTACAATGATCTACAATGATCTACAGTGATCTACAATGATCTACAGTGATCTACAATGATCTACAATGATGTAGATCTCAATGTGCAACAAAATGCAACAATTTAAGTGCAACAAAATGACACCAAAATCATAAAGATTGGGCCACTTAGAAGAAAAGAAAGTTATGGTGAGTTGCGCAAGAAAATGGCGGAGATTAGTCTACCCCAAGAAAACGAATAACTTTAAACGTTAAAAATTTGAAAGTTTTAAAACTTTAAAGAAAAAGAAATAATATTCAGCTGAAAAGCTAAATACCTTAAATTTAAACTTGCATATTGTGAAAAGAAATAAAATAAAAACACTTAACACTAATACGTTAAATGTTTAGTTTTTCACTGTTCTTTGTCTCATTTCAACTAAAAGAGCTAAGCAAATGCAAAAGTAAAGTAACATTTCGTATCCGTCACCCGAAAGACCTCAATTGTAATGATTAAAACACTTCCGCTACTAGTTCAACTAAAAAAATAGATGAATCCTAATTTGTAACTAGCTTTATAATGTCTACGCCTGATAGTAAGCGCCGGATAGCCTGATTTCTATGGGTACGCCTGATAGTAAGCGGAAATTGTCAACTTGTCATTTTTAAATAGAATTTGATTTAGACGGATTCAATCGCAGGCAAATGAAAGCTTAAGAGGGGCAAAAAGTACTGTTAAATGCTTGGGATTAGATCCATCTGAATCAAATTCGATTTAAATCAATGTCAAATCGATTTAAATCGATGTCAAATCGATTTAAAAACGCTCGAATGAAATTTATATAATTGAAAGCTTCAAGAAAGAAAGAAACAAGTTCAGTAAAAGGTTAGTGAAAGATTCCCAAACACTAAACAGTCATCTAACAACAGAAATAAAGTGATTAAAGGTCATGGGTGATGTGAAAGAGAAAAGATGAAGAGGGAAAAAAAGCGCGTGTGACTACACATTCCCTTTTTTCCTTTCTCTCTTCTCTTCACAAAGCTAAATCAATAGCCATCGTTGTGGGACCAATTTTCCGGGCATCCGCCCGCTTTTTTGAGCTCCACAACTAGCATCAGCGGATTTCTTCACCGAAATGCGAAATGATTTGTGAATCAGATTCGATTGAGATTTGGAGCTAATTCGATTGAGATAAAGCAAAAAGATAAAGGAATAGCAATTCAAGCAAGAATTGCATTCGAAACATTGCCAATGTCAATGCCAATGCCCTCAATTGCCTATGATCTTGAAGTCTACACTGACTAGAGAACTGCTGCAACTTAGCATCGATATGGGATCTAGCGCAGACTAAGGATATAGGATCTAGCACAGAAATTCTAAGGGATATGTGTTTTTTAGTTTTACTCCATAGCATCCATTTTTCGAGGCTGTTTTTGAAGTTTGGGCATTTTTTGAAAAAACGACCCCGCCGCAATATGTGGCTAAATTACTTTCCAACCCGCGTGGCAGAATGGCCTAGTGGATAGCGGGTTTGACACTGGACTCCTAACTCGACCCTCTTGGCCCTGGTTCGAATCCGGTCACCGCCAAATTTTTTTGTTTGCTCATTATTGATGAGGGATGAGATGAGAAAAGATGAAGTATTTTAAAGCATCACTAACATTAGTCACTAGATTTATGTTCTTTTGTAAATGGAGCAGTTCCATAGTGAGCTCAATTCTGTAAACACTCCTTTTTAGTGCACGAAATTCATTTTCTTGCAGAAACGCCTTGATATCATAAGAAAAATGAAGAATCGAGTGTGCTAGAAAGGGTGCGTTTACACTTATATACTCCGCTTTGCCATAAACCGGAGTACTTTTTGAGTCCAAGATACGAATAGCAAGGAACTGATTGTGAAAAGAGTGCAGTGAACAAACTTTAATAGGCTTCAAAAGGCTTGGCTTCAAAAGCTACAGTAATCCTGCGATAACCTTTTGAACTACGATAAATAACTAGTACGAAGGTACTACAGTAACCCGAGGCAGTATATACTACACTTTACTATAAACCAGAGTACTGTAATAGTCTGATTACAATAGCCCAAGGAAAGCAATTCAATTTCGGCAGTTTTTCTGCTTAAAAATTCAATTTCGGCAGGCTACTGGCTACAGTAATCCGGGATAAATTAATGGATCACTCTACGGATTACTGTAGCTCAGGATTACTCTACGGATTACTGTAGCTTACTCTTGCCATTCTCCATTTCTAGCGTCAACGGTTTTGCTGATTGCTAATCTGATCAAACTGCAGTAATTCAAAACGATAATTCTGTCCACAAATCTGTTCAATGCTAAGCTTTTAATGCTCTACAGTACTCAGCTTAAATTACTGTACGCTAGCTAGCTACAGTAATCCACATACAGTCAGCTGCAATAATCTAAAGCGTGATACAGTTGTCCTTTTTGATCATTTTTTGATCATTTTGATCAATTACTGTAATCTGAGCAGAGTAATTGGCCTATTAAACGAAGCTACAGTAATCGTAATCTACTTGGCTACAGTAATCCTAATCCACTTGGCTACAGTAATCCTAATCCACTCGTCTACAGTAATCGTAATCTACTCGGCTACAGTAATCGCAACCTACTTGGCTACAGTAATCGTAATCTACTTGGCTACAGTAATCGTAATCCACTTGGCTACAGTAGTCGTAATCTACTTGGCTACAGTAATCCTAACCCACTTGGCTACAGTAATCCTAGTCCACTCGGCTACAGTAATCGTAATCTACTCGGCTACAGTAATCGTAGTCGACTTGTCTACAGTAATCCTAATCCACTTGGCTACAGTAACCGTAATCCACTTGGCTACAGTAATCCGGATCAATTTAAGCTCAATTCAATTATGAACTTTGCCAATCAATCAAATTATCAAGAAATCAAAGAATATTGGCACAGTTGTTACCAAAAGAATGAGTCAATTAATTAGCCATCGGTGATTTCTCAATTCAATTCCAAAAATTCCAAAAAAACATCTGTAAACACAATTGAACAGATGTGAGAAAGAAATTGGTATAAATAGAAGAAAAAAATTTGATTGCAAATCATTCGACTCTTCTTTTTCACCATCAAATCGAGATGACGAAGCTTCAACTCCCGCAAACCGTTCAAGACGCTAAAGCGATGTATGTTCATTTTGGGTTTTTTTCGAATTTAGAACCAGGTGCACGTCAGTTTCCTTTTCAGTAATTCAGTAGTCCTTTTCAGTAACTTTTCAGTAGATCACGAAGTATTTAAAACAATAAAAATGAATCTCCATACTCGATTTAGTAAAATGTTTGTGATTCGGAAATTAAAGCTTTTAGAATTTCGTGCCTTTCCCTAGTTAGCATAAAAATTTTCATTCTTCTGAGTTTAGGACAAGGTCAAAAACTACCGTAAATACTGCAATAGTATCCCACCCCTCCTCGTACAGTCGCGTAGTCGCAAGTCGCAAAAGTTTTTTTAGTATTTCATCTTTTTCAAAGCACTCGTACTTCCAAAAAATGCGTCTTTGGTATCAAAAAATAGCCCTGAATTTTAGCTATCTTTTGATACCTAAGCGAGGATTGTAGCTTAAACCAGTGTCGAGAAAAACTCGTCCAAAGCTAGACTACGCAACGCTCCGCCTCAAAAACGAGCAAAAATCGCCGCTTTTTTTTTGCCACTTTTCAATCATTTTTTTTCTAAACACTCGTGAATGCTAAAAATATGTGTTATATCTTAAAAAAACCCCCATTTTCTCTACTTTAATTTGACACTCAAGCGCTCAAAGAGAAACGTACTGGTGTCAAGATATGAGCTTTTATTTGAGAGTAAACTTAGACGACGGCTTTTGGGGGCTTTTGGGGGCTTATGGGGGCTTATGGGGGCTTTTGTTCTTCTATTTATGATAGGTTTAAGTTCTATTGAACTTGAATTGAAATTGAACTATTTGTATGGAAATTGCTCAATTTCAGTGAGGTTACTGTTGAGTCTAAACGTCGCGGATGTTTGCTCGAGTCGATCATCGTCATCACTTTGCTTTCCCTGTTTCTACTCATGAGCGGATGTTGCTACAAAATGTTCGTTTTATTCAAAATTTTGACAGCAAACTATCAGTTTAGTCGAATTTCAGAGCAAACTATCAATTTAATAAAGTTCTAGAGCTCAACAATTCCCCCAATTTCTCAATTGTGACCATTTTCTCAATTCCAAGTGACCATTTTTCTAGGTACATCGAGGAAAAAGGCATCTCAGAATTGGAAACCATAAAGACGAAGAACCCTACCTTTGAAGTCAATCAGGTAAACAAATTACTGTAAATACTGTAATAATACCCCGCCCTCATAATGACGGTGCGGAGCGTTGTGTAGTCTAGCTTTGAACGAGTTTTTCTCGACACTGGTTTATGCTACAACCCTCGCTTAGGTTTCAAAAAATAGCCCTGAATTTCAGCTATCTTTTGATGCCTATGCGAGGATTGTAGCAAAAACCAGTGTCTAGAAAAACGCGTCTAAAGCTAGACTACGCAACGCTCCGCCCGTCATTATGGGGGTGGGGTATTACAGTATTTACGGTAGGTGTACTTTGAACGTCCCGTTCTCCGCACTCCTGGTTGTAGCCAAGCGCGCTGCCGACTGCGCCACAGCGACACAAGCGACACAAGCGACGAGACCAGAAAACCAGCTGTTAACCGGCTTTTTCGGCTTTTCGGTCTCCATAATGACGAGCGTACAGTCGCGTAGTCTAAGTTTAAACGTCCCGTTCTCCGTGCTGGTTTAAGCTACAGTGTGCTACATGGTGTCAAATGATATCCCTTGAAATCTAGTATTTTTTG